GAATCTAAAGAAAATGGCATTTCGGAAAAATCGCCCGAAATCTGTGATGGTAACCCTTTGGAATCTGCCAAAAATGGACCCGGATTAAATTTGCCCAAATCGGCACTTAATGGACTTAATCATCGTTGAAGAATAGCCTCAGGCCGAATCCGTGATCTGTAGCCTTCAAAATCAATAGAAAATTGTATTTCGTCGCCCAAAAAATTAAGAAAATGCCATCAGAAAATAAATTGGCCCAAATCGGTGCTTAATGGACTTATCATCCGTGGAGAATAGGATCAATAGACTTCATTATCGATGGAGAATAGGCTCGGCCTGATTCCGTGATCTACAGCCTCCAGAATCGAATAAATATGGCATTTTAGAAGAATCGCCCGAAATTTGTGATGGTACGCCTTTGGAATCTGCCAAAAATGGACCCGGAGTAAATTCGCCCAAATCAGCACTTAATGGACTTAATCATCGTTGAAGAATAGCCTCAGGCCGAATCCGTGATTTGTAGTCTTCAAAATCCAAAGAAAATTGTATTTCGTCGCCCAAAAAATTACGAAAATGCCATCCCAAAATAAATTGGCACAAATCGGTGCTTAATGGACTTATCATCCGTAGAGAATAGGATCAATAGAATTCATTATCGATGGAGAATAGGCTCGGCCTGATTCTGTGATCTACAGCCTCCAGAATCGAAAGAAAATGGCATTTCGGAAAAATCGCCCGAAATCAATGATGGTACCCATTTATAATCTGCCAAAAATGGTCTCGGGATAAATTCGCCCAAATTGGCACTTAATGGACTTAATCATCGTTGAAGAATAGCCTCAGCCTGAATGCGTGATCTATAGCCTTCAAAATCCATGAAAATTTGCCTTTCTTCGCCCAAAAAATTACGAAAATACCATCCAAAAATAAATTGGCCCAAATCGGTGCTTAATGGACTTATCATCTGTGGAGAATAGGATCAATAGACTTCATTATCGATGGTGAATAGGCTCGGCCTGATTCCGTGATCTACAGCCTCCAGAATCTAAAGAAAATGGCATTTCGGAAAAATCGCCAGAAATCTGTGATGGTACCCCTTTGGAATCTACCAAAAATGGACCCGGAATAAATTCGCCGAAATCGGCACTTAATGGACTCAATCATCGTTGAAGAATAGCCTCAGGCCGAATCCGTGCTCTGTAGCCTTCAAAATCCAAAGAAAATTGTATTTCGTCGCACAAAAAATTACGAAAATGCCATCCGAAAATAAATTGGCTTAAATCGGTGCTTAATGGACTTATCATCTGTCGAGAATAGGATCAATAGACTTCATTATCGATGGAGAATAGGATCGGCCTGATTCCTTGATCTACAGCCTCCAGAATCGAAAGAAAATTGCATTTAGAAAAAATCAACCGAAATCTGTGATGGTACCCCTTTGGAATCTGCCAAAAATGGACCCGGATTAAATTTGCCCAAATCGTCACTTAATGGACTTAATAATCGTTGAAGAATAGCCTCAGGCCGAATCCGTGATCTGTAGCCTTCAAAATCCAAAGAAAATTGTATTTCGTCGCCCAAAAAATTAAGAAAATGCCATCAGAAAATAAATTGGCCCAAATCGGTGCTTAATGGACTTATCATCCGTGGAGAATAGGATCAATAGACTTCATTATCGATGGAGAATAGGCTCGGCCTGATTCCGTGATCTACCGCCTCTAGAATCGAAAAAATATGGCATTTCAGAAGAATCGCCCGAAATTTGTGATGGTACCCCTTTGGAATATGCCAAAAATGGACACGGAGTAAATTCGCCCAAATCGGCACTTAATGGACTTAATCATCGTTGAAAAATAGCCTCTGGCCGAATCCGTGATTTGTAGCCTTCAAAATCCAAAGAAAATTGTATTTCGTCGCCCAAAAAATTACGAAAATACCATCCCAAAATAAATTGGCACAAATCGGTGCTTAATGGACTTATCATCCGTAGAGAATAGGATCAATAGAATTCATTATCGATGGAGAATAAGCTCGGCCTGATTCTGTGATCTACAGCCTCCAGAATCGAAAGAAAATGGCATTTTGGAAAAATCGACCGAAATCAATGATGGTACCTATTTATAATCTGCCAAAAATGGTCTCGGAATAAATTCGCCCAAATTGGCACTTAATGGACTTAATCATCGTTGAAGAATAGCCTCAGCCTGAATGCGTGATCTGTAGCCTTCAAAATCCATGAAAATTTGCCTTTCTTCGCCCAAAAAATTACGAAAATACCATCCGAAAATAAATTGGCCCAAATCGGTGCTTAATGGACTTATCATCTGTGGAGAATAGGATCAATAGACTTCATTATCGATGGAGAATAGGCTCGGCCTGATTCCGTGGGCTAAAGCCTCCAGAATCTAAAGAAAATGGCATTTCGGAAAAATCGCCCGAAATCTGTGATGGTACCCCTTTGGAATCTGCCAAAAATGGACTCGGAATAAGTTCGCCCAAATCGGCACTTAATGGACTTCATCATCGTTGAAGAATAGCCTCATGCCGAATCCGTGATCTGTAGCCTTCAAAATCCAAAAAAATTGTATTTCGTCGCCCAAAAAATTACGAAAATGTCATCCGAAAATAAATTGGCCCAAATCGGTGCTTAATGGACTTATCATCCGTGGAGAATAGGATTAATAGACTTCATTATCGATGGTGAATAGGCTAGGCCTGATTCCGTGATCTACAGCCTCCAAAATCGAAAGAAAATGGCATTTCGGAAAAATCGCCAGAAAACAGTGATGGTACCCCTTCGGAATCTACCAAAAATGGACCCGGAATAAATTCGTCCAAATCGGCACTTAATGGACTCAATCATCGTTGAAGAATAGCCTCAGTCCGAATCCGTGCTCTGTAGCCTTCAAAATCCAAAGAAAATTGTATTTCGTCGCACAAAAAATTACGAAAATGCCATCCGAAAATAAATTGGCCCAAATCGGTGCTTAATGGACTTATCATCCGTGGAGAATTGGATCAATAGAATTCATTATCGATGGAGAATAGGCTCGGCCTGATTCCGTGATCTACAGCCTCCAGAATCGAAAGAAAATGGCATTTTGGAAAAATCGCCCGAAATCTGTGATGGTACCCTTTTGGAATCTGCCCAAAATGGACCCGGAATAAATTCGCCCAAATCGGCACTTAATGGACTTAATCATCGTTGAAGAATAGCCTCAGGCTGAATCCGTGATCTGTAGCCTTCAAAATCCATGGAAAATTGCCTTTCTTCGCCCAAAAAATTACGAAAATACCATCCGAAATAAATTGGCCCAAATCGGTGCTTAATGGACTTATCATGGGTAATTAGCATAAATGGTAACAAACCTTTGCACTTAGTACAAAATGGTCACAAACCTTTAATTTGTAACAATACGGTAACAAAACTTTGAAATTGTATAAAATGGTCACCGCTATTTAATTTATGACCGTTTTGTTTTAAGTGCAAAGGTTTGTTACCGAATCGTTACAAATTAAATGTTTGTCATGTTTTGAGGTCGGGTAGTTTGTTCGTTAAATATATGAGACTAACCACTTGAACGACATATAAGATGTCAGGTCATGTGTTCATCGACATATTTGCTTTGCTGAATAAGAATGCCCTCAGTTGACTTTTCAATTTCGATACCAAGAAAGTAAGAAAGTAGACATAGTTTTTTCAACTAAAAAGCAGTCTGGAACCCGTTTGTGAGCCATTGAATTCTCTCATTGTCATCCTAAACAACAGAATATCATTCACATACATTAACAAAACCACCATACAACTAGAGTGAATTGTAACGGTGATTGAGCGTTCAAACTTTTGAACTTAATTTGTACAAAACGGTCACCAAAAGTCTAATTTGCAACGACACGGTAACAAAAGTTTGAACTGGTATGAAATGGTAACACTGTTTAATTTGTGATCGTTTTGTTCCAAGTGAAAAACTTTTGTTATCAAATGGTTACAAATTAAAGGTTTGTGACTGTTTTGTACTAAGTGCAAAGGTTTGTGACCATTTATGCTAATTACCCGACTTATCATCCGTGGAGAATAGGATCAATAGACTTCATTATCGATGGAGAATAGGCTCGGCCTGATTCCGTGATCTACAGCCTCGAGAATCGAAAGAAAATGGCCAATTTTCCACGGATTTTGAAGGCTAATGGACTTAATATCCGTGGAGAATAGGATCAATAGACATCATTATCGATGGAGAATAGGCTCGGCCTGATTCCGTGAACTACAGCCTCCAGAATCGAAAGAAATGACATTTCGGAAAAATCCCCTGAATCTGTGATGGTACCCCTTTGGAATTTGCCAAAAATGGACTCGGAATAAATTTGCCCAAATCGGCACTTAATGGACTTGATCATCGTTGAAGAATAGACTCAGGCCGAATCCGTGATCTGTAGCCTTCAAAATCCATGGAAAATTGCCTTTCTTCGCCCAAAAAATTACAAAAATGGCATCCGTAAATAAATTGGCCCAAATCGGTGTTTAATGGACTTATCATCCGTTGAGAATAGGATCAGGCTCGGCCTGATTCTGTGATCTGCAGTCTCCAGAATTGAAAGAAAATGGCATTTCGGAAAAATCGCCTGAAATCTGTCATGGTACCCCTTTGGAATCTGCCAAAAATGGACCCGGAATAAATTCGCCCAAATCGGCACTTAATGGACTTAATCATCGTTGAAGAATAGCCTCATGCCGAATATGTGCTCTGTAGCCTTCAAAATCCAAAGAAAATTGTATTTCGTCGCCCAAAAAATTATGAAAATGTCATCCGAAAATAAATTGGCACAAATCGGTGCTTAATGGACTTATCATCCATGGAGAATAGGATCAATAGACTTCATTATCGACTAGCTTATAACCCGGCTCGTTGGCCGGAATGTTCATATTTGATTATTTATAATTTTATGTTAAGTTTAAGTCTATCAACCCGTTTAAATGGTTTAATTATATATAGGTCAAACACTCGAAGAAATACCATCATCATTTAAGAATATAAAATAAAAAAATGTATAATTGATTTCATTTTCATAATGATAATATTATATTGGTTAGTTGATAAAATTAGAATATAAAAGCTCAATGGAATTACCACACAACCCATATATAGTTTGAAACTGAATCTAAAACCTCACAATCCTACATAAAGGCTGCAATGCTTTCCTTTTAGGAACAACATGCCACTAATAAAAAAGAAATAGAGAGTAATTGGTTCAAGTCAACTATATTCTACAAACTTAACTAAGAGGGAACCATCAAAACTTGAGAGCAAACGACAAAATTAGGGTTACCTCCAATATACTAATAGACTTTATCAAAGTCATAAGACACAAAATTAGACACTCATTTTCTATAAGTTTCAGTAGGTTGAATAAGAATCGACCTAATTCAGTAAATCAATCAATGATTTCTCGTTTTAAGATAGAAATAGGTTGTGGTAGCTGCAAAAACCATAAACCTAAAGAGCCAATAGCCACCATTCTCCGTTGAACGACCAAATTTTTATCCACTCTATCTTTAATCTCAAGAGGCATATGTTCCAACCAAACAACTCCATTTCTGCTACTTTGATGGACCTTCTCTCCGTAACCCTCAATTTCTCTTCCAATTGGGGTTCTTGTCAACTCGCTCTTCAACTCCTCAATCTTCTTCTTGTGTTTGCTAACTCATCTTCCTCGGGGCAGTTGTAATAAGTTCGCTAAAACCAACATTCATCTCCTGTTCATCAATATGTTCATCTCCCCCTTGTCTGCCTTCACCCACTTCAGTCCACTTCCTTGCCCTTCAATAACCTCTCCATTTTCATTACTATCCTCATCATCTCTCACTTCTCTCTCGTTAACTACTCCAGTTTCGCTTCCATGTCTTTCAACACTCTCCTCAATTCATTCACTACCCTCTCCAACTCCCTCTTCTCTGCCTTCACCTGCTGCAGTGGAACTTTACCTGCTACCAAATCCAAACACAATTTCTTCCCTCCACCACTTTCATTCTCAAACTCAATTCCAACTCTTCTACTCCAAGTTCAAATTCATAACTACTTGATTGAACTCCATTCTATTCGTCATGGATTGATATCGGATTTGAAATTTTCTATTTGCGTAGCTTAAATCCCCAAAATAAAACTATCCTGCCAAGAGAAACCAGAAGATTAATTTTCAAATGCGCCCTTGTACTCGAAAGTGAAAGGACCAAATTATTGCACGATGGAGGGACTTTCGAAGTAAGTTATAAAGAGATAAGAACAAAGATAAAAAAAAAGCACGAAATTTAAATTTAAATTGAAAAATGCAATGTCACAACACGTAGAAAAGAAATAGTTTCTTCCATATTAGCCAATTACAAATTTACCCAAACGAAAATTAAGTAGAGCATGAATTTTAAAATGGATAAAATTACATGAAACTCTACTATGGAAATTGAAGTATTAAGCACCATAAACATATATACGGTAGACTTAGTGGGCTTGTGGATCATGATGTAAAAGTCATTCATTTTCCAGAGTTTGACTTAGTGTATGTTTTGTATTCAAATAGAAACAACAAATTTGTTTAGTGTAATTGGTTATAATCATTGTCTTTGTTTGAAGAGACCCGGGTTCAAATCTTAATGTTGATATTTTTTATTTGAAATAAATCATTAATTGTAAAGACAAAAATGTCCTTCCTACTTTCACTCTCGTTGCAGAAAATTTGAAATGGAGAAATTACACATAACTCTATCATATATTAATGGAGGATGGAGAATAGGCTCGGCCTAATTCCGTGATCTACAACCTCCAGAATCGTTAAAAAAAAATTAGAAATTTGAATTTATACCGTAGGACCTAGAATCATCCTTATATGCTACAAGCCACAAGTGTCATTTGCTCCTGATTCATATCCGGATCATCATGGACCAAACTCGGTCCATTAACATATCTCGTCCACTTGTTTCAGTCCAAAATGTCCTTCCTACTTTCACTCTCGTTGCAGAAAATTTGAAATGGAGAAATCACACAAAACTCTATCATATATTAATGGAGGATGGAGAATAGGCTCGGCCTAATTCCGTGATCTACAACCTCCAGAATCGTTAAAAAAAAATTAGAAATTTGAATTTATACCGTAGGACCTAGAATCATCCTTATATGCTACAAGTCACAAGTGTCATTTGCTCCTGATTCATATCCGGATCATCATGGACCAAACTCGGTCCATTAACATATCTCGTCCACTTGTTTCAGTCCATTATTCTGGTTGTTACTATTGGGCTTCCGGTCCAGTATATATAAACCCAACAGGCCAACAAGTCAACAGAACCACCCGATTTGCAGGTCAAAAGTCTTGTACATGTTTCATTTTCCGTTCCTGAGTAATATCCCAAAACTCAAACCCTTCTATGACCCATAATACAACTAGTTTGTAGCATGGTGGTCCAACCGATCAAACCAAGAAATACCCTGGACCAACCGTATTACACAATCCACCTCCTACTTATACATGATCAAACTTATCATAAACATCACAAATCACATCACATCATCATCATATCACTAAACCACTCACTAATCTCGATCTCGACCCTCAAATCACGTTACTTAAATCGAGTTAATCACCCACCAATACCAAAATGGGGGAACTAAGGAGTGACCAGCAAAGACAGCAACCGCAGCCGCCGTTGCCGTCGGCGCCACAAGCTGTGCTTTCCGTCATGGTTGAACCCTATGCTCCTCTTCCTTATGATCATCACCGCCACCACCAGCAGTCCCCCGCCGCCGATCAATGTTACGGTGAACATTATCGTCAACAGCAAATCAACATCCCCAATGCACTTGCTTATGGTGCACCCGCCACACCGTATCCTGGCCATCCACGACAAATGGTGACGAACTCTACTGTGACGGACCATTGTCCCGTCGGCGAAGATAAGCATTCGGATGTTGACCGGCTGCCTTTCTGCGGCTTGGGTATCGGATGGCTCTTGTAAGTCACGTTCTTTCAATCTCTTTTGTCTTGTTAGTGGTTTAGTAGCTAACTTTTTCGGGCATTGACAATGGTGGTTGTCGTTGATGAATATTTTTAGTGACTGAGTTTTTAGTGACCAAACCATAGTGGTCGCTGAAATGAGCATCTTTGCGACTATTGGCACCGGCGATGGTATACATTCTTTTAAGGCCGTGGTTGTTTGTTTTAGTCGCTAAAAGGGTAGTTTTCAATTAATAGAATAACTATAAGTCTATAACAACTTGGTCGTGGTTTAAAAAAATGTACATTTAGCACCAAGTTGAATCTAAATTTGTACAAAATTTAATACCAGATTCATGTTATAATTCAACTTATAACAAATTTTTCAATAATGAAAAAACTCTGGGGAGCAAATTATGATATGATTTGTGGGTAACTCCTTTACATTGATGAATGGTCGACTGAACCTCTTAGGTGACATCTTGTGGCTAAAATCATATTTCTGGACGGTCGTGCATTTTGGCATTCTACAATGAAGCAATGTTACCGAATTTGCTTGTAATTATGTTCAATTCATTGGGAATTTTGTCAAGCTAATGCTAATTTATCCTGTTTTCTGATATAAGGTTTATATTGGGATTCTTGCTTGCCTTTCCGTGGTTCTTTGGAATTGGATTTCTATTATTTTCCAAGTATGACAACCGCGAGAAGCCCGGATTCCTTGCTTGTACTATTCTTGTAAGCTCCCTTTCTCCCCTCTTGATTCTAGTACAAGAAAAGTTCTAAGTTGTTGTCGTACCGCGATCGATGGTCAATTGGTCACCATTGCTTCCGTTACTAATTGATTATATGTTCTCTTGCAGGCTGTAATTTTCGTGGTATTGGTGGTTTTTGATGCAACAAGGCCGGTTTATCATGCACAATTGTAATCCAGCTCCAGCCAAGTCAATTACATGAACTAAACGAAAACTGTTGCTCACCCTTGTCCCCATTGAAATTGCTCATATAAGTTATGTATTTGTCGGGTATCCCCCATTGTTGATTGATGATTAATTGTGCACCATTGTGTAATTAGCCATTCGATTATTTTGTAAATAAGGGCTCGTGTGGAATGTGTGGTACTGGTATAGTGTATAGTTAATCCTCATTCTTCAGATATGGTTAACTTGAGTCATCTAATAAAATAGATTGCTACCTCCTTGAACAATGTATAAGGTCTCTCTAAGAGATTGAACCACGTTAAGTATGCATCATTGATTTCTCGTTCTTCTATTATGTGTTCGATCAACTGTAAGGACGTGTCGATCTCGTGAAAAAACTAAGGTTTATGCATATGTAAGAGTATGTGATCGTTTACATCAGAAGATCCAATAATATTTGTTATTTTTTGAATTTCAATACAATTTCTGTAATACAAATTCTCGTATTATTTGAAGATTTTCACTCTTTTTGCTCGAATGAGATGACAAAACTAAATGTTTGGTATTTAGAGTGAAAGAGTATGGAAATGAAAATTAGGATTTGATGAATTGAATGAGAGTTGATTTGACTCGAGTCACGAGGCTAAATGACCCAAAAGGGGCAAAAGGGTTTGATCTGACTTATTTCAACGAGCTATTGAAACGGGTAAGAATTGTTCAAAATTGTCTATATAAACTTGATTTTACTTATTATATATTTCATCGATTTATTAGTGAAATCGTCAAGAGCATATTTTATACTGGATTCTAGTTTTCATTGTATTCCCATATACAGCTGATTTTATACTTTTATCATTGAATTTTGTACGACTCTCAGTACTCTCCAAACTCCGGTTGATTTTCTTCAGGTGTGATGCCATCCATTTCGCAATTATTATATGATCTGAGGGGTGCCCATCACATATTTATTTATTTAGGAGAGATTGTGACTAATTATTTAACACTAGACTTTTTAACTTCGACGAAATTACCATCGAGCTAGCTAACAGTTTCCCTTTCAGAAACAAGCACAACCGACCAAAAACCAAACACAACAGGACAGAACCGAAGACATTTTCATTGTAACTTCCCAAAACAACGTTCCTGAAGGAGCAAACCGTCCGGGAATTAACGTCACAAACTGATTGGGGAAAGAGTCTCGTAAGTATCATTATTGGATGATTAATCCAAAGAAAATTCAATTTGTTTGTCGTGAAATTAAACTCTTCTTTGTACAATTAATGGCATATTCCCTAATTCCTCCAAATGCAAGAGCCAGCTGATTAATGAGGTCGCCTGCAATTCTCTAATTGCATTGTGATCGTGGCCTCAAGTCGGGGAAAAGTATATATATTTGTGTAAGATGTCAACTTTTGTTCTTTTTTGATAAATCAGATGTCAACTTATCTACCAATAAGTTGAAATATTTTTTGTTGAAATGGAATAATAAGCTGATAAATAAGATAAGTTGACATCTTTTTTTTTTCTTCAAAAGAAAAAAAAATGTCAACTTATCTTATTTATCAGCTTATTATTCCATTTCAACAAAAAATATTTCAACTTATTGGTAGGTAATTTTACCAACTTAATTAATCCCACTACTCAAGCAAAAATTGTATTCAATTCTTTTTTTTCCCTTCCATTTGCCATTAGATCACTTGCGTAACAAGTCAAATACAGACACAATCAAGCATGTGATAGATTGAACCCGATATCGAAACTACAATCAAACACGTTATATATCGAAACCAAATTAGTCGTTCCTCCACTTAGCATAAAAATGATCCACAAATTAACACACATACTTGTCATCGCTTGAATTCAAATGCCACCCGATTACACGATTTCCACAACGTCCACTACAACGCTACTAAAAAATTCATTCAACCAAATTCTAGTATTTTGGGAAAAAAGTGACTTAATGACAATTTTCTTTTCACCCTTAAACAATTGGTTAACCACTTTAGATTAAAAAACTCCACCACGAATATTTGCAATGAAACCAAATTCATCAGAATCATAGTTAATCACGAACTATGTTAAATTAAAAATATCATAATAACCCCCCGTACACATTGACAACCAGCTAGAATAAAAGTCAATTCCAACAAGGAATCCTACCAACAACAATTCATATCAATTCCACAAAAATAACCCTACAACCACAAGGCAGGCTAGCCTTCATCGTCTTATGCTATATAATCAACATATATAGCTAATCATCATAAAATCAACCCATATATCAAATATCTCTCCCAAAGAAAAAAAACCCTCTTCCCCCCAAAAATGGTTGAAGCCAATAGCAACAACCTTGGATATGGTGGTGGCGCAGCACAAAATACTCAACCTCCTAATAACCAGCAATTTGCCCTCTTCGTAGAGCCGTCGGCTCCTCCCAACAGCAACAATATTCCTCCTCCGTCTCAGCCGCAGCCGCCGCCGCCGCCGGCTGCTGCCTGTAGCACAAACCAATGCGGTGGTGGTGATTATGGGAGTCCGGCGGCAGGGTATCCTTACCCTCCTTATCAACAGCAACAATCTTCCAACGTCACGGCCAATGTGTACATGACGTCAGTGGCGGGGATCCCGGTGCAATCCAACACCACTGAGGTTTATGCCGTCGTTGATCAGAGGCCTCCGGAGCTTCCTTGCTGTGGAATTGGTCTCGGCTGGCTTCTGTAAGTAATATGCTATAGTCACTCTCATCACCCTTGACCATGAGATTAACGGTTTAAGATATAATAGTAAAATCGAATTATCGTGGTAAACTCATACAGATATGATAATTTGTAACGTTTAACCCTTCCAAATAACCCAACGTGTTTGGAAATTTTAGCCCGGTCTATGACGGACATCCAAAGTTGTCAAGCTGAAGTCAACCAGATCGGCTGGAACAGGTCCGATCGGTGCCAGTGGTGAAACAAGTCCCCAAAAAGTCAGTTTTGCCTTCAAACCGGTCAAAAACCACAAAAGAACCAACGGTCTAATCCGATTGATCGATTTCTGATTCTTAGATAGAATGATGTTGTTTTGGCCCTCTCTCAAACCTACTTCTATATAGAAAATCTCACTTTTAGTAGGGGTGTTCAAACGGATTGGTTATCGCGGTAACCATTGGATAATTGGTTTGGTTTGGTTAAACAATTTAGCTTATTTGGTTTAGGTGGTTTGGTTTGATTTCAACACTGCTAACCAATGAAACCAATTAATGATACACCTAATATACAAAATTATTTATACTTCCATGCAACCAATGAAACCAAACTTCCGTGATTCCCTATTTTATTTCTATGCGCACAACAAACCAAAACATTATGGATCAAAAATTAAATGGGTTGCCTATTTACTAAACCAAAACATTTAGGATTACGTAAAATACCATGACAGTCATCTTAAACTATGTATAGTTTAAGTGTTTTGTAGGGGAGCTTTAACTTCCTGATGAGTGGTATTGATATGTATTTAATATTTATGTTAAGTGTTTGCTGTAAGCAAAATATTTTAGGTGCAGAGATTATGAATGATGTATTAACTCGAATGATGATGATAATCATGGATGGATAGTCTTATTATTATTGTTTATATATAATGATAGTTTATGATAGTAATAACATATGGTTATATTTTATTTATTAACAAGATAATTATTTCCATGTAATGTAATGTTAATTATTTGGTTAATCTGATTATCCAATTAACCAAACCAATTAAACTTTGGTTTGGTTAATTTGGACGGTTTGATTAAGACATTTTATTCATGGTTAATGAAATTTAGACTTAATTGGTTTGGTTATTACCATGGTAACCATTTGAACATCCCTAACTTTTTTTTGAAGGAACAGCCCTAAATTTTAGGATTATATAGGATATTCATGGTTGAATTATTTTATGCTACCTGCCAAATTATATTCAGGTTATTAAAATCTTCCATTATTATCCTCTCATATATATTTATAATATTGATAAAATGTCTTACATCAGTTGGAAGCGTCCGATCTAATCATTGAACCTCAAATCATTTACTTGATAGACTCAACGACTTAAACAGATTTGACAACGATACTAACGTCTAATGTGGTCGTTAAAGCTCATTAGTGACCACTTTTAACCCGTGGAAACTGTTTATATGAAGGTTTATACTGGGATTCTTCTTCGCGGTGCCGTGGTACATCGGAGCCGGCGCTCTGGTCTGTTCTAAATACGACAAGCGAGAGAAGCCTGGATACATAGCTTGCGCGGTTCTTGTATGTATCGACCGTCTCTATTGCTTAATCCGTCCCCTTTTGTGTTATTTATGGTTCTAATTGCCCCTACTCGCTCCTTTTGTTGTCTTGCAGTCTGTGATTTTCATAATTTTGGTCATAATCAGTGCGTCAAGGCCAGCCTATGCGTATTAGTCTATGTGATCATCGACAAATCAAGCCATGGATTGCTGAATGGAAGAGTTCTGCATGGAAGGCTTAAGCTAAATGTCGACATTTTGTTAAAAAGAAAAAAAATTGTTTCACTAAGCGTTGTGTAAAATAGATCACCAATTTGATCTGGAGTAGTGCTTTGTATGATTTCAATAAATTCACGGGTAATGGTTGATTGTATTGTATGCATAAGAGAGCGCGCATGTATTGAGATATTTCAGCGCCAATTCAGTGACTAAATAGTTCTGCATGTAGTGGTGGCGAATTGATCTTTATCGAATCTGAGTTTTTTTACGAATGAGATTATATATAGCAATAGACAACAGACATATGAAACTCGACTTATAAATTTGGTTTCATTTCACTCTTCTATATTGTCGCTCTTTACTCGATTGTTGCCCCTTTATCTGTCTTGTCACCAATGTATGCAAGTCCTTTAGAAGGTACGTAAAATGTTCGAGAACTTTTTTTATAAAGTAGAAGGTACGTAAATTTGATAAATGATTGAGTTATTTATTTATTTATTTATAAAGTTGTGAGTTGTGACTATGATCCATATCTTGGTCACAATAGTCACAATGCCACGGATGGCGTCATTATACTACTGGTCGCTAAAAGTACATGTGACTAGTTTGGTGATCATACTTACAGTCGCTAATTAAGAGAGCCAAAGACCAATACAAGGGAAACTATGCCACATACAACAATGATATAGCAACTATTTCATTATTTTGATGCAATAATGACATTATATTATTCTTCACATATGAAGACGGGTAACAGCAGCAGACAGTGAAAAGAATTGGCATAATACAAATTAAGCCTGAAACTGTTACTAGCTAGTTTCTGACCCACAACATAGCTATTGTAACATTAATTAATATTACTGGAAATTTAATTAGCATCAATGATTGTCCCCCTTGACTGCTTGTATAATCGCTACGATAGAAACGACAATGGCCTGCGCGATGAAATTAATAACCAAAATAGATGGAATTAAGAGGAATTGACGGAGAGTGATAATTAATTAATGTTGGCTGAATGGTACTTACAAATGTAGCGCATGCTAGGAGCCCTGGCCTTTCGCGACGGTCGTACCTTCCACAAACGAGAACAAAGAATCCAGCAAACCAAGGAACCCCACAAAGAAACCATCCGATTGCGAACCTTTTTCGAAACAAAATTAAATCGTTCGTCAAATGATAATTAAATTGGATTAACATAATACTACTCGTACGACTTATATTCTAATAACATGGCGCTACATATCGCACGCCACTACAAGATCGAAGAGAGTAATTAATAAGCAGATGTTTCACTTACAGGAACCACCCGTAACCCATGCCACAGCAACTCCATCTTTCTTCCTTAACTGACCACAATATCAATCAGTGTCGTCGTCAAATTAGATCGAAAGGCTAGACATATTGCGACGGACAACAACAACAACAACAACAACAAAAGGTCGTCGCAATAAGCGCCGCAAGTACGTACACATGTGGTGACTAAGTAAGTTAAAATTTTGAGACCATTAAATTTACACCGACGTGTGCAATAGCTAGTTAATTACGTAGATATAGATATTTCACCTATGATCACAGCGGTGGTGGTCCGCTCGGCGACTAGCTCCGACGGGCCTACTGGTATGCCGACAGCCGGCGAGGCGTCGATTTCGATGTGTAGGTTGGTGGTGGTATGTTGTTGCTGATGAGTCGTCGTCGTCGTCGAGTAGTACTGCTGCTGATGATGATGGTGAGGCGGGTCCATCGTCGCCGGCGGAGATTGGGGATGATAAGGCCACTGCCGGACCTCATGATCATCCATATATAATCACATTTCGGCGGTATCTATTGCTGGTCGTGATTTCTTATATGCACGTTGTTTTGACTTACTATGTGTGACAGCTTGTAAGCTAGCTGAATAATATTGTAGCATATAGTATAACTAAACAACGTGCCGTCTTGGGTTCCTATCCAAGGTCAGAAGACAAGAAGGAAGCAGTTCGATCGACGCCGGCGGCGGTGAGTTCGATGGCAAGAGCTTTGATATTTCCTTCCTAAGAGCTAGATTCTCGATGGCCGGCCGTGCGGTGGATATCGGATCAATATTGTTGGTCATGAACATGGTTAAATAAATATGAGGCGGCGGATCAATGCGGCAAACATGCTTAAATTATGTGTTTAGCAATGGTGGTCACGTAACACATGTCAGGGCACATATTCTTCCTCTAGCTTCAAATGGAATGAACTGGATGTCATAAACCAGTTGGCCGGTCCCAATAACTTGAGTTATTGGGAGAGGTTCAATCGTCATATATATCACACTAATACGGGAAACGGTGCCCCTTCTAGTCGGTTGAAGTATTGAGAAATCTTTCTGGTTTTGTGATGGATCCAGTGATTGGGATCTCGTCCAATAGGCTATGGGTTGAATATAACCTTGGTCTTATCTGGGGATGTTTAAAGGGCTGGACAAATGTAATCTTAACGTTTCGATTAAAACTACTTGTAGATAGTGCAACTCATTAATGCATATGCTTCATCTACAATTTTTCCTTTTCCATCAAACATACGTCTCACCATCTTTTGTGATTTTTCTATAATACTCGAATTCTTCAAGAGTTCTGACATCGCTCATTCTAATATCACAGAGTCAAAGTATTAGCTCAAACCATTAATATGTCCTATAGTTTACTGGATTATGGTCCGACCCATTAGGTCGGAGAGCATCATGCTTATTTTGTTGGGTAACTTGCCCATGAATAATATAGGAAAGTATTTGATGTATTTGAGTGATAAAGTATAGGGAAAAGAATATCAAACAATGTCTATGCACCTAATGTATTTACTTACGTGAATTCAACTACACTAGCGTATGTGCATCTTCTCAAACAAAGTCTTACCGATATAAAAGCCTACGATGGGCAAAAAATGAGTTATTTCTAAACAACAGATACTTTCTATTGTAGCATCCTTGCCAACTCATTAAGTGAGAGTAGTAAATCTTATGTACTATCAAGTATTATCACATGATATGGACTGGTAATAAATATCTCAATTTTCCCCCAAAATATATCAAAGTGGATGCATGTTATTCTGAATATAAAATACAACTAATCTGATTTTTCTGTGAAATTTTTTTCAATCATGTTTTGAAAATGAAAGAAAAGTGAAACAAGTATAAAAGTAAAGATAGATTGAAAATACACAAGAGAAGATGTGAGAAGTGTTCTTTTATAACAAATTACGACTTAAAACGAAAGAGAAGTGTTCTTTATCCAACCTGAGTTAAGCAAAACGACGCCGTCTAGTGCCTTGACATCCGCGAGCGCTTTCGTGCACGCGGAGGCTCTTCCGTGAGTAAAGCCTTTCCGCGAGTTGGTTCCTTCTTGTGCGCGCGGTATAGTTTGACCGCGAGTGTTCCCTCATGGGAGCTGCTGCACCCGCTTATCGCGCGACTAGACCCGAGCCGTACCCCCAACATTTAGTTTTTAATATTAAGTGTTACTCGAAGAATTTAAATCCGAGACGTTCAGAAAATCAACGGTTTAATCGCTAGACTTAACTCTTGTTCGCGGAGGAAAAATTAATTATAAAGCAAACAAGGAAAAACCGAAAAAGATGCTTTTTTTTCCAAGTAGATCTTTCATCATTGTACGTACATGGAGTTCTGACAGTAAAATTAGAACACATTATTTTCCCCCAAATGGGGACCCTTCAAACAGCATGTGGCCTGGCGGCTAATCTAGCTAAGCTAATTAACAACAATTCTTACTAAATCTAGTCCTAGTAGTGGTTTGTTTGCATACGATGAGATTATAATTTAAAAGTACAACGTTATTAGAGTTGCAGGAGACACTTAATCATCTTAGGTTCATGCATGTCTGCGTGCGAGAATCTAATAGCAACAATCACTCATCGTGGGCTAGTTATAATTATGCTTGTCGTTTGCAGATTAATTAATGAAGACTTCAATCAGATGGCATCGCCATTATATATCTTAATCCCATCAGATGTTTTACGATAATTTTGTTATGGTGCTCCGCGTACTGTGTGAATGGAATATGTGTTTTGTCCAATTCGAAGTCATTTGGGTCCAACCCAACACTCATATGAATTCTGCAATTAGGTCTGATTACCCAATAAGTGACCCATTGACAATATCCCTATGCATATACACCTGTTCTTTTTGGACTCCATCACAACGAAGCAAGAAGGTGATAGAAGTTAATTAACTGGTGCAGTTTCATGCAGTGGAGGTATCATCTGTTCAGTCGGCTGATTGCTTATTAAGATGGAGTTCATGAGAATGTCTGAGTACCAGGAACAAAAGATGCTCTTCCTAGGTACACTACATGGAGTTCTGACAGGGGGAAAAAAGAGAGAGAGAACCTTATTTTCCCCAAATGGGAACCAGATTACCATAGATATATAGATTACTGTTCCTTAATTATGTTTACCTATGTCTAACTCAAGATTCAAGAAGGCGCTAGGCGTAAGGCGAGCGTTGAGGCTTTGCCTATAGTGCCTAGCTCGCCTAGGCGTAGAGTAGGCGTGGCTAGGCGGTGGAAGAAAAATACCTATTCGCACTGCATGATGAATGAAATAATAATCTAGGACACTTCTTCAATTTAGTTAAAATGGTCAGTAACTTACTCAACACTTAATGACAAGAACATAACTCACGAATTCATAGAATCATAGATCAATAGCTCACAAAGTTCTTGAGCTATTGAAAATATTAATATAGAAATTTTTTTTAGTAGTTGACGTTAATTCCCTCCTATAATATTGACTTACTAGCTCCATCTAGTTATGTTTAGGAGAGACTTAGATGTCGCCTTACTTCATTGACGTGCTCCATTATCTAACTAGGCGCGAACCCCCCTAGGCAAGGCGTTTTGCCATTGCCTTGCACCTAGGCGTGCCTAAGCATAAGGTTAAGCGTGCCTTTTTGAACAATATTATAACTATCAGATGGTGATGGTTTCATTGTAAACCTACGTCTACTCAGGAGTGTGCAACGTTCAATCCGGTTCAGACCGAACCTAATTAATCCATCAGAGCCGCGGTTTAAATAGTGAAAGATATCTTAGGACTAAAAACCGGACAATCATTGTATTCAGTCCATTTGGTCCGGTCCAAATATCAGTTCGGTCAATATTTTCTTCAATAATTATAAAATTCACAGGATCAAGAATCGGCCGACCACATTATACTTGGTTCAATACAATTTGGTCCAAACGCCAGTTTGATCCGATACGGACCGGAACATTGTACACCATACCCTATATGTCTACCACTTTGGAGTGGGGAAGTTGAGCAATTAGTAGGTCTCGACTTGAAGCTCATGGAGTCAGAAGGAGACTTCTGAATTGCTCCCCGTGTTTGGGTTCCAGGAAAGTTCTAAGGTTTTGCAATGTCCAGGGGTTCTATAAAATTGATAATCAAAATTGATCTCCATTGGGGGTTTGACCAGATTAAGAATCAAGAAGGGAGGGAGGAATGGAGGCGGCGCAGCCCTAATTCATAAAAGAAACTGATCTCTAATGGGGTTTTGACCAGATTAAGAATCAGGGAGGGAGAGAGGGATGGAGGTGGCGCAGCCTTGGAGTTAATTGATAATAAGCTTTTTGGGCGGATTTGACGGCTATGAGGGAATATCATTGAACCCATAGACTCAATTTGTGATTCAAATGGTTTTCGTTGCGGCAACCATTGTTTCTCTGCGAATCGGAAAATTGGAGGATTCGACAAAACAAGAAAGAAAACGACACACAGATTTACGTGGTTCACTAAAACAATGTGTGTTAGCTAGTTCATGGGCGAAAGAGAGCCCATTTCACTATATGTCGAGGAGATACAAATTACAGATGAGTATGAGAAGTAATTATATAGCACTTCTCCATGACTTCACTATATTTGCAGTGAGACCCCTGTGACATCCAGTCGTAGCGCCAGATAGTCCGATTCAAGTCACATCAACACAACGGATGGACTCCGGTGAAATTCCATATTTTCTATCCTATTAAAAATAGTATGGATATTGCATATACTTATACTCACACGAGAATCAGGTAGAATATCAAAACCATGTTCACATCTAATCGAGTTCCGGGTATCCACGGTTATCTAAGGATAATAAATTTTTTGTATAACTCCAACCAACATGTTAACATTCACACGTATACTGACACTACGTAAATGGGGAAGTATGATGATAAATCACTAGAATGAAGAAAAGTAGTTAAAAACAACACTATTGGATGAAAATATTATATATGTATGTTAAATAATTAAATATCTTAAGAAAATAATGTCATTTTACTTTACGTATGCATATGTATAATCGGAAAGGTTCAAATTGGATGGTGAGAAAATCACACCGACCCGCGTTGCCCGCAATATTCGACTTCTAATTTTATCCATACCCACTAAAAATTCTCGAGAATTGGGTTTTACCCTAGCCGATTTGGTCAGATTCGAGCGAGTATCCTTGTAGATATATTTTCCATTTCCATGCTTTCAAACCGTAAGTTAATTTTGTTATCGTTATTATTCATTTGAAATAATATATCCATAGATAGTAGCCTATTACAAACATAGGTTAAAATCACTATTTCTTACTTGAAATGAGTGAATGGAATTTTATTACCAAAATAAATTATTACCGCCGCAAAAAAACTAGTTTCCATTAATAGAGAGCTGCTGCAGGAGACACTTAAGGGAGCGGATCAGGCCAGTAACCCTTGCGGTGAGTAATCATCAGTAATCTGATTACATCCGCATGACATAAGCATCTCCTCTTTCCAGGAAAGCCTTTTATCTTTTCCCCTTTAATTTTTAACGGACGATTTCTCTCTCGTTTTAAGAAGAAATATAAATTTTTTTGCACAGATAAATCAGATTAAATGTCATATGATAGTAGGAGTATACTAACTGTCATTTACGACTTTCATCATTGTTTACCACAAATTACCACCCACATACCATAGTGGTAAAGTATGGTAATTTTTTGTCCAATATTTTTTTCACCCAGAAATTTTTAGATCCAATAGATCATGATGAACTCGTTCCTTCTGAGCAAACGTTTTCATAAATGACTTAAAAACGAAGAAGTTACTATATGGTATGTAGTTGGTAAAAATAAAGTTTCTTGAAATATATTGAAAATTGATCTCATTTTGTAGAGCACAACGAACTCGTTCCATGTGTGCAAAAAATTTGAAATCCGAGTTAAAACGAAGAAGATAAGAGCAGATTATGAAAACTATGGAAAATAAAATGTGTTTAATTGACAACTCTTAGATCTGAATTTTCTAGGTCCACTTGGATCTAAATGTCCATATTTAGTTACTCATAGATCATTAACCAATGGTTACTGAAACTATTCTAAGCCGACACTTAACTTAATTAATTATCAGTTTATACATATCTCCGTAGGTTCATGCATGTATTTGCGAATCTAATTAATGGGCAGCTCTTCCTAAAAATTATATTGTCGTTTGCAGATTAATTAATGAAAACCCTCCAAACCGATGCCATCGTCATTATCTTAATCCTGATTATTAATTACAGGTGATATCATCCTTAATTACCATAGTGTATATATGCCATCTCGTGTCATCTCATCTACGTACCATATTCATCTTTTGTAAGCTTGATTTCTCTCTCAAACACAACAACGAAAGACAGACAGAAAGAAAGAACACTCCTTTCTAATTATATCCATCCATCCATCAATGGCTGCAACTTCCCTTTGTCACTTTAAGGCTACGCACCGGTCGCCGTTTCCTTTTGGCTCCGCCGCCAGGCCCAGCCGGCCCATACAACTTCCGGTTAACCACCTGAGACTTTCTCGCGTGGGGAAGAAATGGGCCGCACTCCATCGATCAAACTATAACAATAACAATAATGCAGTTGTGATGATGGTGGCCGCCGAGAGAGCAACCGTTGAGAGGATAGAGTCGGCTAAGTTCCAGCACGCACTTTGGGAGGAACACTTCCACTCCGCCGAGAAAGAAAGAACACTCCTTTCTTCTACTACTGCTCATCGGGTAATTTATTTATTAACTGATTAACTCTACTCATAGCTAGCTAGCTAGCTAATTAATTAATCACAGCGCGCTTTCCATAAACTAATTACTTTTGATGCAATAATAACTAAGCTTTCCCCTTTTTTATGCCTTGTGGTGATCAGCTGGAAAGGAGGGAGTATGAAGCTCTGAAAGAAAAGGTGAGGAAGATGGTTGCAGCTGAGAGTGATCATGTGTCGGTAACCGAGAAGCTGCGGCTGATAGATGCGATCCAACGATTAGGGATTGGGTATCACTTCGAGACGGAGATGGAAGAAGCACTGGAGAAAGTTTATGTTCTTGCTGGGGAATCGTTCATCGACGGTGCTGATCTGTATCACGCAGCTCTCTGGTTTCGACTCCTGAGACAGCAAGGATTTCGTGTTTCTCCCGGTAATGTTCCTTAAAACGTTAATGGAAATCGATCGTATGATCACCACCTGCCCTACTTTCAATGTATACGTAAATGTAAATGTAACGTGGTATTATAAGATTTATAATTAAAACCTTCTCCTAACAACTTGCGACTTATTGGGACCAAACCACTTTGTGACACAGTGTTATAGCTTATTTAAGTATATAAGATTCATAACAACAACTCGAATTATCAAGACAAACCTGACAGCAATTAAACGATATCCATGTGCTTGCTTTTTGTGCAGATGGGTTTAGAAAGTTCATGGACTGTGAAGGAAAGTTCAGAGAATCGTTGGCTTCAGATGATCGAGGGCTACTAAGCTTGTACGACGCAGCACATTTGGCATTCCATGGAGAAGACATATTGGATGAAGCCATGAACTTCGCAACCAGGAACCTGGAGTCCAATAACATTGCTGTTCACGACAGCTCTTCTTCAATATTCAACTCCCTCTGCTTTCCTATATGGCAATGTGTCCCCACGACACTTGCAAGGCACTCCATCGACGTCTCCTCTGACCACCACGCCTCCCGTGGTCAAGCAGTCATAGTGAGGTTCACAAAGTTGGACTTCAACATGTCGCAGAAATTCTATCAGGAGGAGCTCCACCTGCTTTCAGAGTGAGTCATCTTTGCGTGTCCTCCGAATAATTCAAGTTATTGAAATTGAACAATTTAGTATATATATGATTTAACAATATCAATCTTTATTAATTAGGTGGCGGGCAAGTCTTGAAGTGTCTATCAAGTTCCCATATGCGAGAGACAGACTTGTGGAGTGCTATTACTGGTGCAATGCGGTTGCCTTGAATCCCAAGTATCGCTTGTCAAGGATCATACTTACCAAGTTCGCATATGCGGTGACCCTCCTGGACGACGTCTACGACAACTTCGGTAACTACGACGAGCTTGAGATCCTAACGGATGCGATTGACAGGTACAAATAATGCGTATATAATTAATGTTGTAATTAATTTAGGTCCATTCACATTTGATCATATTAATTTTCACAAACAAAATATGGTAGTCACGCTTTCCTCTAAATGTTCGGTCCACCGCAGGTTGGATATGAGTTGCCTGGAAACAGTTCCAGACACGATGAGAGACATCTACGTGATCATCATCAATCTGTTCGACGAAATCGAGCAGGAGCTCTCAGAAGCTGGACATGAAAGTACATATGGTCTCGATTACTCTAAGGCAGAGGTATAAATATATCATTGATGAGCCAAATACGCTTTAACATGTGTCATATGTACAACCAACTCGTCGCAACAACTTGAGTAATTAGGCGAAAGGGGCAAGATTCTTCTTTTAATTTAATTTCCCTCCCTTATTTTGTAGTTCAAGAGACTTTGCAAAGCCTTCTTGGTTGAGACCCGTTGGCGCACTGAGGGCGTGGTTCCCACTCCAGAGGAGTACATAATGACTGCCAAAGTAACCACCACCTACCCTTTCCTTTGCACACTTTCATTCTGTGGGGTGGGAGACCACATAGCCACCAGACATGCATTTGAGTGGGTAACCGATGAAACCAACAAGATGGTGACCGCTGCCTCCCTCGTCTGTAGGCTCCAAAACGACGTCGTGTCTCGTGAGGTACGTATGTACATTCAGAAATCGCGCGCGTCAGTCAAGAACCCGTCCATCCCAATAACTTTCTTGACATATTGCATGTGCGTGTGCATGCAGTTCGAGCGCGGGAGGGAGCACGTGGCGTCCGCCATGGAGTGCCACATGAGGAAGCACCGAGTCTCTGAAGAGGAGGCCATAGTTGCTGTGTGGGGAGATATTTCGGGAGCTTGGAAAGACATGGCGGAAGGGTTTCAGAAACCGAATCCGCTTCCCGTGGCTTTGATGAATCGGATTCTCAACACTGCGAGGGTGGCGGCCGTGGCGTACGAGAAGGCCGATGCTTTTACTCACTGCCACCTTCTCAAGGCGCACATGGCTGCCCTCTTCGCTGATCCGGTGCCGCTTTGAAGTGTTGGAATATGTGGCGCGCTTGGGTTTTTAGCAACCGTTTCTGGGCTTTTCGGCGACCGCTATTTTGTGGTGTGTTGTTTCGTCACGAAAAGCTGGTTCCTGTTCTTCAAGGCTCAAGCATGTGTCATGTTTGTTCTCTTCTTTGGTGTCATGTTTATCGTCTTGTGTTCTTCATTTCAATCACCATGTAATTATAAAGGCTCCTTGCTAATTGATTTCTATTTCATAATGTTTTATGTGTAAATAAGTGGTGCACTCCCGGTAAAAAAAAAAAAAAAAAAACTAATTGGTGCACGTACGGGTAGAGGAGGTGGGCAATGGGTTGGTCCATACCGTACACCACACATGATCGAATCGATGTTTGGACCAGATTATATCGAATCGAATATATATATATGGTTCGATCGTTGATTCCATGAATTTTATAAAAACTTAAGGAAAATAGACCGAATTGACATTCAGACCCAAGCAAATACACCATTGGTCCGGTCCTAAGGTATCTTTCAATATTGCACCGCGATTTTCATGTGTTTGATCCGATCCTTCTCGGACCAGGCCGATGCCCACCCCTACGAACGAGCTTCGCCGAGCCATAAGTTTCTTTGATATAGTATAGTGTTATTGACCGCGGTACTCCAATCGGTATTTATAATGATTCTACTAAAATTTTGGATGGAATTAGATATTTTGTCTATTTTTCATAAAATAACTATTATTATAGCGAACTTGAAAGTTGTGGTGATGCAAGCTGTATTTTGCCAATAAAAAAACTGAATTGCTATTCGTCGCCCTAAAATTCAATTTTTGTCGCCCTAAAATGCATCAAATTGACACTTTTAACCTCTGACCCCGATTTCTAACAAAACCCTAAACAAACAATCCATTTCCCTGGCCAGCCGCCGCCTAACTCCTCTGTCCTCCGGTCGCTTCTGCCGCTGTCGGACTCTTCTCGCGGGCAGCTGTCCACCTAAACCCTACCATCACCGATGCTCGGCCTATACTGTCAGAGTCGATACCAAGTAGGAGGAACAAGGCGAAGAAAAAGAAGGTCGGCGAAGCGGGGAGGAAATTGACAGATATTGATTTCTATGTTCGAGAATTGCACAAGGTCTCTACCAAAAAAAATTGCACAGGGACATGGAAGGTGGCGGCGAAGCGGCGCCGGAAATTTGCAGACGATGATAATTTTTGGAAATTCTTTTTTATTTGTATAATTTTTTAATGGTTACATTTGGTGTAATTGTAACTTGTAAATCATTAATCTTTTATATTTTATTTTGTTATTGAGGGATGTATAGTTGTATGTGTTGGGAGCAAACGTCGCAACACTAATATATGGACAGTTGTTCATTCAAATTGCCTAAAATTAAATTAAGGATATTTAAGTAATTTTGATAAAATTTAGGGCAGAATATTGAAATAAAACATGGGTCGGTATTTCGATTTCCTATTTGTTTCCCCAAAACTGAATCGGAATTGAACTTCGGCCTGCGGCTACTAATACAGAGGCGCGAAGAGAGTCGGCGCGAAAGGAGAGCTTCGGCCGCATCCCCGGCAGTCAAATCTTCGGTTTTCCCCACCGTCCGAGTTTCTGTTCCCCGGCGACTGAAGGAGAAGAAGCAGAAGAGCGAAGATGGGAGAGCGTAAAGTTCTGAACAAGTACTATCCGCCCGACTTCGATCCGGCGAAGCTGCCCCGTGCCCGGCGGCCAAAGAACCAGCAAATCAAGGTCCGAATGATGCTTCCTATGAGCATCCGATGCAACACCTGCGGCAATTACATCTACAAGGGGACCAAGTTCAATTCTCGCAAGGAAGATTGCATCGGCGAGGTTCCACCAATTCCCTTTTCCCCCTTTCAATTCTAGGGTTTCTTGGATCTTTCGGAAGGTTTCTTCTTTTCAATGACTGATTGTGATTGCCTTTTTGTGTTTCCCCTCAGACGTATCTGGGGATACAGATTTTCCGATTCTACTTCAAATGCACCAGATGCTCGGCCGAGTTGGCCATGAAGACCGACCCCCAGAACTCCGATTACGTCATGGAGAGTGGTGCCACGAGGAACTTCGAGCCGTGGCGTGCGGAGGATGAGGAAGTCGACGGGGTTAAGCGGAAGAGAGAGGCTGAGGAGATGGGCGATGCGATGAAGGCACTGGAGAACAGAACTCTGGATTCCAAGCAGGAGATGGATATTCTCGCCACACTTGATGAGGTGAAGTCGTTGAAATCGAGACAGGCGATGGTCAGCGTGGATGCTATGCTTGAGGCTTTGCAGCGCACTGCGGCGGATAAGGTAATGGTTCTGTGAACTCAAATGGTGCTCTCTGGTTATTGCTGTTGAATTGTGAGGTTTTGTGTTGAGCTACTGTGAATTACTATGCTCAAAGTTTCATTCTTTTCAAAAGTAGATCCTTTTAGTACTGGAAAAGATGCTCTTGAGGAAAGTTTGTACTTCACATGGATTATAAGCACAGATGGTTTTATGGTTTTGTTTGATGCTTGTTGCCAGCGTTGTTATTGTAATCTGCATCCGTGGCCAGTATGCTTGGCTAAAGATCCAAGTTTGTGTTGCAAATTTTGTTCGAATCATGCAACTAAGCTTACTAATATGATTATATTCTTGTTCTCGATATGTTTTCAGGAGAAGAGGTTGGAGGAAGAAGATGAAAAACTCATAAGATCGATATTCCAAGTAAGTCTTACCACTGCTCTTCTTGTTGAATGCTTCATTCCTTACCTCCTGTGATTGTTTATTTTACTGAATGTACTTCTATGTCAATTTTAGAAGCCAAGAGAAATTATACGAAGGATTGAAGATGATGATTCTGATGACGAGGATGATTTGGAAATGTTTGGCTTTCCTTCTAAGGTAAGATACTTGCATGTTGCAATTTTGTGAACCTTCTGTGCTAGTTAAGTATGCTTTTGTTCTACTGCCTTTCTTGGTGATGTTCTAATTGTGTGGTTTGGCTTACTTGTTTTTCAGAAGAGACTGGTTGATGTGGAAAATCCAGGGCAGCCTACAGATGCACTGATAAATGCCGGTGCCGCAGATAGCTCCAGTGGAAAAGGTAAAAAAAAAGAAGAAGATATCCTTCATGTTGCTATGCCTAATATTGAATGATCTAATAGGACGAACAATGATTCATAAGCTTCCTTGTCATTTCAATCTCCCTTTATAGCAGTGGCATATATGTTGCTTGCTGATTGTTTCGCTGCTTCCATCACTCATCATCAACTCGTTTTGGGAAACTATCTTTTACTCGTTGAATGATGATGATTTGTTACCTTAACCTCAATGCTTGATTTTCCCAAGCACTACCAAAATATTGACACATTATTGCTTTTGATTTGCAGATAACTCAAGCGACCCCGGGAAAAAGAGTGAAGCTAAGCCGAGTGCCAGAGCTCCAATGATGAGAATATTGGTGAAGAAGAAGCCAGACGTCTCTGCTGGGAACAAGCAGGTAGAGAAAACTGCAGAGGCTAAGCCCGTGGAGGAGAGTAAACCCACTGACGGCGGACTCCAATCCCTCCTCCAAAATTACGAGGATAGTGATGATGGAAGCGAATGATCAATGCCACCCTATTCAAAACTGATGATTGATTGAATTTTGTACCGGCCAGCCTCCACCAATGGCGAAGTTTGATCATTGTACCTGTGTGAACTTATCACTTCATAGCTTTGTGTTCGAACACGAACTCAAAACATTGAGGAAGTCTGCAACATTTGTGGGTATTCTTTTTGGAAGTCTTTACTCCTGTGTTTCTTTTGTAACGAAAAGGTCTACTCATACATTTAGCTGATGAAACATTTTTAACAAAGATATACCATCATTGTCATCCATTGTTCTTCTCCATTAACAAAACATGACACATTACCTGAATGGCAAGCAGCCATTCAACAAAAATACCATTCTCCATTATGCTGCACACATATCATACTCACTTTCACTTCTGGGTCTTCCTTTTCCACAGGTCACCAAACATCTTGATCCCTGAAGATCCCTTCCTCTGCTTCCCGCCACTTCCATACCCTTCATCCATATCATCACCAAACCCAGGGGAACCAGCGTAGCCGGCACCATACCCGCCAGCCGGGGTCTCGAACATGCTCCCACCACCGAACGGCTTCTCCATGGAAGCACACCTCTGATCAGATACAAACCTCCCATTTCCACCAGCTAGCACTGCTGCTGCAGCATCTGCTGCTTTCCTCCACTGCTCCGTCTGAACTCTCATCCTCTTCATCTCACATTCCAACATTTCCTTTCCTTCCTTCACCGCCTCCAGCTGGCACTCCAACTCCGCTGCATTCCCTCTGCTCGCCTCGACCTCTTCCTCCAATTGACTCAACCTTGATCGCGTTTCCTCTTCCTTCGCCTTGCTACATTCAATCCTTGCAGCCGCTTCATTGAGCTGCTTTCTCAGCTCTTCCTTCTCCTGATTCGAAACCAGCAGCTCCTTCTCCATCTCCTCCTGCTTCGCTCGAAGCTCCTTCATCTCCTCCTCATGCTTCTTCAGAGCCATCTCTACTTCAGGGGAAGGAGGATTTGGTGCGTCCTTCTTGATTTCCACTGCAGGAACTTCAAACACGTCGGTTTCCTCCCGATCATTATCCTCCGGCGCAAGAACTGCTTCTTCTTCTTCTTCTCCTGCTACCTCATCCGGTTGTGGATTGGGCTGGGTTGGTTTCTTACTGGACTTGCTCTCGAGCTCCTTCTGTGCTTCATTCTTGGCAGCTTCCGCCGACGCCAGTTGTTCTTTCAGACTCTTGAGCTCTTGCTGAGCTTGTCCCAGTTGTGACTCGAGATCGGCAATTCGCGTGCCGAGCTTCTTCTGCTGCACTGGTGGATCAGAATGTGGCCCGCCGCGAGGGGAGCGACGGTGGTCGGAGACTTTGGGGCTACGGTCTGTGGTGGCGCCCGCGGAGTCGGAGGTGGATGATGTTCTTAGCGTGTGCGAGCCTCGTGGCGATTGCCTTTGAGGCATTTCTGACGATCCCCTGATATTAGACACAAACATAGAAGAGAGATCACTATACCGACATTGATACACAGTATCAAACTCGTCCTAATAAGTCATTGTTATCATTTTCGATTTTCCTCGTCTGTTTCTACCATTGGGTTGCAGATGTAACAAGCACGATATCAGCAACACGACGGTACAAATTGAAAGATGAAAAAAGAAATGATCAAGATGAACTTATCATGACGGATTTGGTGGGTTTTGGACAGTGTCACATATATCGAAATTCAGTATTCAAAATGCGGACAATGAGTTGACACAATCGTCTCAATATCGAATCCAGTGGATAACTGGATGCAGGGTTACTGACCTTGATTTTGGCATTTGCTCAAAGCTCCAAAGGGACAAAGATTGAAGGGTAAAAGGCCTCCAAACTGTTTTAGAAAAAAAACCCTGCAAAAACTGCTGCAGATGTGTGAACACTATCAGAGATTAGAGAAAGTGAAGGAAAGTAATCAAAATCAATCCTTATTGGGTCATTATACACTCTAATTCAATCAAATCAGATTAACTTTTTTTCCTCTAAGATTGATTACTGATTTGGATCCAGCTACAGTAGAGGACTCAATAATTCAGAAGACAGTAATAACTGCTACTAACATGGATATTATCCCCAAGGACAGCAACCTACATAAATCTCTTGTCTACCTAACCATAGACCCACTTTGGCAGTCTGGCAATACCCTCCTTGCATTAATTCCACTTTATAACTGTACTCCATTAATAATAATAACAGTCTGGTATACAATTCCCTTTCATTTACTCCTTTGGATCTTCATGTTCTGTACTCCTTTCTTTTCCCATTGTAATGACCATTTCGATAGACAGCGCGCGCATTCACATTCGCATCCAAGTATCGAATGGAACGAAAACAGGTAGCGGCGCAAGTAGTAAGACCGATGGAATATTGTATAGATCATACGGGTATGTTGGAAATGAAGTTATTGTATAGATCAGACGGGTATGTTGGAAATGAAGTTCTTGACGTAGTAACATACATAATCAATTGAACCAAAATGTAACAAAACCATGATTTTGTCGAGTATTCACAAGACCATCGAGATAATTTCAAATGTAACAAAAACTAAGCTTCCTAGTTTATTAAAAGTTTGATAACGGAGACTTGGGTAGAAAATTTTGAAAATTTAGGAGGACCAAAATGAAGGAATCTTTGGCTCTCAGGTTTGAAAGAACCAAACAAGCTTTTCAAATTCAAATTTTGTTTTTTTCCTCTATACTCACTTCCCAAAAACAGAAGACCCCCTCTCTGCGTCCAATATGTATCGAAGGTGATGCTTCTAGTCTTTAAAGATGTTGGTCCATGGCATGCCAATACGTTTCTTGGGCAGTGAAAAAGAAACTTACTTTCAAAGAAAACTCTTTTTTCTTTTCCACTCTGTAGATATTCTCTCTCTGTGTAACCAAACAGTGGCCTTCTCACTTCTCAGAAAAAGTGGCGGTACTGTCTTATTCCCACCACAGACGACAAAACCTCTGCCACTCCAAGACTTCCCTCACAAACAAAACGGCAGAAGTGTGACTCACGCGCCGCTGTGAGCCACCGTCTACCCTCCGTCCACCGCGCTCAAGTTTTTAAAAGTTCTCCCCCGTTTGAGGAAAAAATGCAGACAAGGTTCAGAAACAGAGCTTCTGCCTTCTGCCTCACTGCTCTGTTTTAACAACAATACAGTGAAAATGAAAGGAAACCCCTTTCAGATCATTGTTTGATTCCCCGGGAAAGAAGAAGAGACCATTCGATTCCCTTAACAAAAGGACAAAAAGATGGAGTCTTTCATTTTTCCAAGCCGTGTTTACAGAGTCCACCTTTATGCTCTGTTCTACACTACCTCTGATTTCCCACCCCCAAAATATATTTTTTTTTTTGGTTCTTTCTTTGTTTCCAGAATGCTGAGCAACAGAAAGGAGATCCATGCTTTGATTTTCCTACACCACCCACAATCTTGCCTATTTCAGAACCCCTGCATTTTGAATCCATCTCATTTTCAACAATTCACTATCCAAATTCACCTCTCGCAATTCTTTCCCTCGACATACCAACACGGATCTATTGAGCACACAGGAAAGAAGAGACGCAAACATAAAGGAAAGCAAGTTAATGGAAGAACTAACTGACCTGGGTTCGTTGTCCACGGAGCACGAGAGCTTAAGGCAGAGAGAGAGAGAGAGAGAGAGAGAGAGGGTAAATGGTTATATGGCTTTTTGAGAAGTCCAACTAGTGGAAGGAGAAGAAGGTAATGGGCATGTCGATGAAGGCGAAAGGCTTTAACTTTTTGAACCGTGGAAGATGAATGGAGTCCGCTGGAGTATTAATGAGGAGGGCAGGAAGGATGAAAGAACGAAGAAGAGGATTGAATCGTAGTGGCTGTGGGGGAAGTAGTACTAGAGCTACTACTTGTGTAGAGTAGAAGTACTAAATAGTAAACAGAAATAAAATGGTGGGGTGACTAGGGACAGGGGTGAAAGATTAATTACTGCGAATATTTTGACAGTTTGGACTCATGCTGTCAAAACTTACTCGATTGGTATTTTTCGAACTTTGGAGTCCATTTTTTACCTTGAAATGTGAGTTCAATTTTGAATCGATACGATTTTTAAGTCAAAACCCACTTTAGCGTCTCATTTTTTGAGTACTTGTAGAGCTGTGATGCACTGGACTTTGGTTATGCATAATGTATCGAATTCATCCCTGCTACGAAGTCGAGTTGTGGTAGCTATTGGTACAAGAGTTTTCGCGACGACTTCAGGAAATAAAATCGCAGCTAAGCTGAAACATTGCCTCTAAATTGTCAGCCAAACACACATCAATGAACCTGAAACAGAATGATTCAACTACTCTTCTGAAAATGTACCTTACAGACACACAGAAACATCTCAATTCTTTGCCCTACAGCAATATGAATGGCTGATAATCTAAACCGACAATCGTGGGACTGACAACTATTCTGTTGCTATACAAACGCTATGGAACCTACAATGGTCGATATGGAAGTCGCACCATTCCAATTTCTACGCATAGCAACGGACACAAACCACATCCCTTTCGTTGTTTTTCCTTGTTCAACGTCGCTATACCTGTCGTGGTACTTCATAGCATATGTTTGGGAGAGAACGTACGTTTGACACTTACAGAAGAGCAAGGAATCTGAATCATTATGGGAAAACTATCCAAACAAACATTTTCATTCACTAAACTATTATATGGTTGCCAAGTGATTCGAGCAAAGATCTAGAAGAAACCCATAGCTACCTCTCTCTCTTTCGAGTTGTAGTTGATGAGCCATGACAATACAACCTCAGAAACACCTGCCCCGACCTAGATTTGGAGATCATTGCCACGTGCTTCCTGTCGTTACAGCTCGAGCCTCAGCAAGCGAAACTGCCATGGCCAGCATCATCTGCTCCTCAAAGCTTTCAGGAAGAATAGGTCCTCCCATCTCATTCAGCAGTGGTGGCCGGGAAGTTGAAGCCGGCAATGGTGATAAGGAAGACCTTCCACACTCTTCTGCCGTCGTATCAGAGGAGCTTGTCGAGTAACTCGTGCCCGCTTCGGCAGCAGCATCGGATCCACGATTTCCGATCCATTCTGCATCGTCCCTTGTCACTATGATTTGGCAATTAGGCGACACATTGCTGGAGCTCTCAGGTTGAGCATAAGTATCTGCGTGCTGCTGGCTCAGCGTGCTGTAGAAGCTATTGTTACAGTGTACGTCATCTGTTGACACGACATTCCCAGGGACCATCTGCTGACGTTCGGCAAGGGCTGCAATTGCACAGGCAAGACCGCCAGAAGGAGATGATGATGATGATGAAGATGATGAAGCAACAACCGGTGGTTGAGCAGCAGTGTTTTGTGGCATAAAGCATTGTGTCCCATACTGCTCGGACGAAAAATCATAGGACATATTTCTTGGTCGGCTGTTTCCCTACAATGTTATGATTCACCAATAGAGAATTCAGTACTTCCTCCCTTGGAAGAAGTGGAAGTACATAAGCAAAGGTAAAAGAAAACAAAAAAAAATATATATAGAGAGAGAGAAGAAAAGGGAAGATGTTCAAGCTCGGATATATAGTACTACCCTACAAGAAACTTAAGTATTGAACAATCAAGATTTCTCAATTCATTAAACTGAAATCAATAGTCAGGGTAACATTAGTAGGAACCACCATTGCAAGCAAAGGCATCACCCACCTCCACGGCCAGGGAATGAATTTGTAGGGCCTATCAGTCCTATAAGCAACAGCTATGGTAACCATAAGGGATTGGCCAAGTGGTAGTAGGGAATAAAAATCCTCTAGTCCAACTTAGGTTCAAACCTCAAAGGAATATTCACCGGGCACAAGGAGCAAAGGATGATTGAATCAACACCCATCACTCACTATCGTATTGACCAAGCTAGATGAGGAAATCTACAGACCCTTCAAACCTCAAAGGATAGATTGAATACACACACACTTGATGCTGATGGTAGGTTACTACTTGAGCAAATAAGATGTCAGCAGCCGGCTTCACTGTTGCCAGACCATCACAAAGGATGTCAAAGGGATGTAGGACTTTTCACTTTAACAATGTTGACCTCTTGCATGTCCACTACAAGTTAACAGACCAGCCAACTTTTGTACGGCAATCATCAATCCATTACCACATTCTGGTCGCTGACAACTAAAGACTTCTAATGAGGCTCTATCTATAATTATTCTATTTCATACTGCAGCGCATGACAAATACAAGCAGGAAAGGAGCTGGCTGGTGAAGCCATCACACTCAACAGCAGAGGACAGACTGGCAGTTGGCTGAGCCAAGGCAAGTAGCAACAGAAACCTAAATGCTTTTGCAGGGTAAACTACAGTATTTCACATTTCCAGATTAAGTTTTCTAGTCCTTCTTCTGCACGCACTGTATGCAAACAAGGAAGGTAAATCTACCTGGATAGAAAGCCAGATTGCCTCCATTACCATAATATCCTCGAGATCAAGGTCAAAGTCTTCATCCCTTCAATTAGAGAACATTCCAAATTTGAATCAGCACCAAATATCAATTAGATTAACCGCTACTATCATCTAAAACGTATACAAACATATATTCAAATGCCAGTACATGAACGACAGGTATACTTAGGATTCTTGAATAGCTACAACAAAGCACTCAGTAATTAATGTCTCAAACAGTAAATAGGAAGTAGAAATACTACCAATCAAAACGATGTTGCTAACAAAACCAATCCTTTCCAGAAGAACTGTTCAAAACCTTAATTTCCCATCATCTATAATCACTAGCATATGAGTGGCAACACATGAACATGTCTAACATCCTATAGGTGATGTATCTGGTGCACAATGAGGTGCACAACTCTCAAACAAGCACCATGCATCAAAGGTCGTATCACAACAAATAGTAAGAGTAGACCAGCAGACTAGTTCCCATCCCAGAAGTATATGAAGAACCTAATCATGTCTGAGCATTTCATATAAGTAAACCGGCTGTCTAGTTCAAACTGCCCTAACAATGATTATGAAACGTATGTGGACAACATGACCAAGCTATTGAATATATTGGATGATTGGCTGCCATACTACTAATGACATGCTTCAAAACCTTCCAAAGGAAATAAATTCAATGTTTACTCAGTCAAAGAGCATGGGTAGAACTCAGTTCAGGAAGAAATGATTGGAATCGGCCACCAACTAATTCATCCAATAAACTGATGCCGCATACAGCAACCTACTAAAGTTATCAACTTTGCTAATGTCTACTAGCTTGATGAAGGCAATTCCCATCATGATTCACGACCCTATGCCCCCACCTATGTAATGAACAAAGCCATAAACAGAAGGAAATGCACAACATACCTGTTTGGTCTAGACAATGCAGGATCTCTGATAGATGGTTGAGAAGAAACAATTTCATTGCTTTCTGCTGATGCATCGGATGGAACTTAAAAGGAGGAAACTCAAGGCATTCAGTACACCCAGAAAGAAAAGTGAATCCAGGTAAAGACAGCAAAACAGAGTGATGATACCTGCTACAGAGCCACAATCAACCTCCTCAGGTGCAATGTTAGAACTGGAAGAACTTGATTCTAGCCTTCTATGCATTCTGTCCTCTTCATCCTGAAGCTCTTGTTGTCGCATCCTAATCTTTGCTTCTATTACTCTTTGTTCTTCCTAAAAGAATTGCATACCTTAGCCACATGATAGTGAAGAAATGCAATTTCCGAATGAAGGTAAATTTGGTAAAGCCTTACAATTTGCTCCAAACCCTTTTCCTCTTTTGTTTTTACACCACGATATTCCACAGCATAATTTGAAGTTTTACAGAACGGACATCTGCTAAAGTTAAGTACAGCAGGCATAGAACATACGACTGAAAGGTATGAGAAGGATGTAGAAGGAACAGAAAGAAAAAATACTAGAACCTTGCAGAGAAGGATACTGAGTAGGACGAGTTGAATTAGGATTTTTCATCTGCAGAAAACATTCTGTTGCCAAAAAAGAGAAGGAAAAAAAATCAGAACTACCATATTTGATCACTTGAAACGTTTATCCACTTATGTTAATGATCATTACCTGTACAGATCCCTTTCGTGCAACATCGTGATCGGTTGAGGCTTGGGTAATACTGAAACAAAGCCAAAAACAAAAATCACATCAATGTCAAGCTCTTCATAGTATAAATAAATATTAAATAAGACCTCCCAATTCTAGAACACATTTCTGCATTTCTCCTTAACAACCAATGAATCAGAAGAAACTTATAAAAAGAGATACAAACCAGGAAGCAAATAGGGCACTCTTCATGATCATTGCACGACTCCTCGTCACCAGGATAGCAAGGTGCGAGCTTGGACTCAAGAATGAGTTTCCTGAGCTTCTTATGGTCTACGTCTTTGTGGACATATAAACCTTGTGGCTTTGTATACCTCTCATCTACCACTTGCCTCCTCCTTCCCAACTTATTACCCATTCAACAACACTTGTGCCTATTTGTGCTCCCCCTTTTCTTCCGCGAGCACAACAGCAATGAGAGCAAGATGAATGGAAGAATTGAAGTGCAAAATTCGAATAGAAGGAATTCCACCAAAGTACTATCTCTAAATCCCTAAACCATGGCGACAGCCTATCGACCCAATATTACTATAACCACCACAGTACATGCTTCGTTCCAGACTCTTAAAGCAGGAATCCATAGTTTCTTACCAACAATCCTGCAAGCAAACAATCCAGCAGCAAGAATAAATTTAGAAACAAATCCATTCCACATAAGAGAAAGCCCCAACAACCATGCGGCACAAAAATACCAACTCATTCACAGTTGGGGACAAAATTGTTTCTAATTCCGGCAGCATATGGAGATCACTACAATCCACAGATTTCACAATTCCTAAAAGCAGAAAGAAAAATTCCACCACACTCGAGAACTGTAACTGGGAAACAGAAACGGGAAACTGATTGCAGCAGGGACGAATAACTGAAAGCAGAGCGGAAAATGGCTCCCGCTACTCCCCGATCATAATACAAAAGAAACGCAGCAGGCAATACGCAACACCGACGAAGAGCTTTGAACCATGAGAGCGCGTCAAAGGGACCAAAGAAAAGATAAAACTGCAGCAAGCAAGAGCGCGAGAGAGCGAGAGGAAAGAACCTGGAATCGTGGAAATCAACAGGGATAGAGACAGCGAGCAAAGAGGAGAAGAAAGAAGAAGGAAGAGAGTCTTGACGTTGAGCTTCCGTCTCCTCACTGGTATGAAATGGAGATCGAGACAAGGAAGAAGAAGAAGAACTTTGTGGTTTTCGCGGCGGTGAGAGAGAAAGGACAAAAGTCGAGACGGAGATTGAGTGCGACGAGAAAGAAAGAAAAGGATGGAGAGTTCATCCACTCTTTTTTCCTTTTTAATTAAATTTACTCGGTCCCTTTTATTTTATTAAATATTGCCGCTTGTTTTATTTTTGCGTCACCCACTCACCCGGGAAATTGGATTTTAATTTAACTAATTTAATAATTTGCTCACCACCGTGTGTCTAGGAATTTTTTAAAAAAAATTATAAAATAATGACATTAAACACAAAGTGCGATAAATTCACCGTTTTGCGTCATAAATGATTATGATCGCGGTAATAATTTCGCAGTAAATGAAGAATTTAGAATTCATTTTGACGTGGAGTACTCCGACGGGAAAGAATCATTTTAATTTCTCTCCCTGCCGGAAAGGCATCCAATCAAGTGGGCCTACCTCTCCTCAATTCACGGAATGTTTGGGCTCCCCCTCAATTCTCGACCCAAGCCCACATCTGAGAGAGTTTCTTGGACTTAATTCATCTAGCAAATTTCTTGGGCTTTGTTCTTGACCCAAGTCCACATCTGACAAGTACCATCACCCTGCCGAAGGGGGAGCTCTGTCCTTCCCGCCGGTCATTTCTTCCTCTCCTCCGAGCCAACAGGCATATCTTCAAAGAGATCGCCGGCAAATATCATTCCGCCGAACTTTCTTTAGATCGCCGGGAACTCAATTTATCTCCACACTCACATGCTCATTCGGCGCAGCAGCAGCTTCGCGCCGAATTGGTTCATTAGCTTGCGCGGTTCCATCTCTGGAAAGTCAGCTACTTTTTCGACTTCGGCGAGCCCGAACTTCGACAAGAGATCATGCATTCGTCTACTCAAGAATTGCAAATCGATGGCCCATCTAAAACAAGTACACTGCCAGATGTTCCGGAGCCGGCTGCACCAAGATGCCGACGCTCTCGGCAAGCTCATGGTCTTTTGCACGGACCCGTGTTATGGGAACAGCAATCTCAACTACGCACAGAGAGTCTTCGATTTCATTGAAAAGCCCTGTTTGTTCATATATAATTTATTGATCAAAGTGTATGCGAAGAAGGGCAGTTTCAGGAAATGTCTGTTGTTGTTTAGCCGACTCAGGGGAGATGGCTTGTGGCCTGATAATTTCACCTACCCGTTCGTCTTGAAAGCAATCGGATGTTTGGGGAAGAATCTGGAGGGTAGAAGGGTTCATGGATTCGTTACGGTGACGGGGATGAGATCCGATACCTACGTGGTGAACTCGTTAATGGATATGTATGTGCATTTGGGGCAAATGGATGTGGCGCGGAAGGTGTTTGATGAAATGCGCGAGAGAGATGTGGTTTCTTGGAATGTACTCATATCTGGGTATGTGAAGTTTAGGAGATTCGAGGATGCTATCAAAGTTTACTGCTCTATGAGAAATGAGAGTGATCTGATACCTGATGAGGCTACAATTGTAAGCACTCTCTCGGCTTGTGCAGCATTGAAGAATTTGCAACTCGGGGAAGAAATCCATCATTTCGTCACGAGTGAAATCGAATGCACTTCGATCATTGCTAATGTCTTACTCGACATGTATTGCAAGTGTGGTTGTTTGCTCGTAGCTCGAGAAATCTTTGACAAGATGCCCTCTAGAAATGTCATTTGTTGGACGACTATGGTGACTGGTTACATCAACTGTGGGCAGTTAGATGAGGCTAGAAATCTGTTTGAGAGGAGTCCTACAAGAGACATTGTTCTTTGGACATCTATGATCAACGGATATGTGCAGTTCAACCACTTTGACAGAGCAGTTGCACTCTTCAGAGAGATGCAAGCCAGAAGAATGAAGCCTGATAAGTTCATATTGGTTGCTCTCCTTACGGGATGTGCACAAACAGGTGCCCTCGAGCAAGGTAAATGGATACACGAGTACATAGTCGAAAACCGAATAGCAGTCGATACAATTCTCGGTACTGCTCTAATAGACATGTACGGGAAATGTGGAAGCATCGATAGAGCACTGAGCATCTTCCATGGTTTAAAAGAGAAAGACACAGCCTCTTGGACTTCAATCATATGTGGGCTTGCAATGAATGGGAAGACATACGAGGCGCTCCATTTGTTTTCGAGAATGAAACAAGTTGGAGTCAGACCAGACGATGTTACTTTCATTGGTGTTTTGAGTGCTTGTAGCCATGGAGGATTGGTTGAGGAAGGTCGTGAATTCTTTCATTCCATGACAGCATCATATCAAATTCAACCGAAGATTGAGCACTATGGGTGCTTTATCGACTTGCTTGGTCGAGCTGGATGTTTGGAAGAAGCAGAGGAGCTCATACGAGAGGTCCCGTGTTCCAATCTTGAGGCAGTTGTTCCTCTTTATGGTTCTTTGCTCAGTGCTTGCAGGATTTATAGAAATGTTGATATAGGCGAGAGGGTTGGTAAGCATCTCGTGACGATGGCATCAGGTGATGCGAGTGTGCTTACGCTTCTTGCAAATATCTATGCCTTGACGAGCAAGTGGGAAGAGGTGAAGAAGGTGAGAAGTGAAATGAAAGATCTTGGTGTCAGAAAGACCCCTGGTTGTAGCTCGGTTGAGGTTGATGGTGTCGTCCATGAGTTTACTGTCGGTGATTCTTCTCATCCTAGAGGTAAAGAGATATACTCTATCTTGAATGAATTGACGAGACCATTGTTGGGTTCGGAAGACAATCTGCTGATGAAAAGCGAAGAGTTACTTGCAGTCAACTCTTGATTCCAATACACTCATCACTGATGAGAGTTACTTTGCAATTTTAAACCTCTAAATGTTATTATATCAATCACAATTGTTTGACAATCGGGACCCTAAAGAATACATTCTGGATCTTCAGAATAGAGTACTTGTTCAACTCACAATCGATCACTTCCTCGACCTCCCAACAGGAGAGAGGACAATGTGTAATACTTCTACCTTAACAACTGCAGAGAGGCCAGTAAAACGTAATTCTGCAGTGTGTTCTAGTTGGAGATCGGTAAGAAACTCAAATCAAAGCTACAAGTAAGCCCTTTCAAAATACAAGGGAGGAAAGGGAAAGAAAACTATATAGGATCTAGTGTTCAGTAGCACACGACATGAACCCTAAGCATGGAGCTCTACAATGGTTTCTTCTTAACTTGATATGGATACTTCTGGTATACCGAAATGCTGGTCAACACTAGTGGCAGTGCAACCACACAGTACGCCGAAGGAGATTTGCCCTCAAAGACCAACTGAAGCAAGGCCGTCACTAGAAGTGCAGAAACAATGACAAAACCCTGCAAAACAATACCATAGAAGAAAAACAGCATCAGAGGGAAGAACTCAAATAGGTTCTAGTTCGAAGAATTGGGGTTTCCGGTTTCCCATATCAGTGGGAAGCACAAAATCCCAATCCTTCATCATTTACAAGGAAAGCAGAATATTTTCCAGTTGATAAATAAACGATTCCCCACAATCGTACAGTCTCATCAGTCATATGTTTACCTTTCTAACGCCTCCCGCTTGGCTTGTGACAAGACCGACGAGAATTCCACCTAGGGCATTGGCTAGAACAGGGATCTACAAAAGAATAGCAATCACCAGAATTCATATAGCAGAAGAATTGCACAGTTGAAAATTTTCCAAGAAGCGTGACAACTCATCCTAAAACACTTCTACGTGGTGAAATTATAATTGAACTTCTGTAAACCCACCAGACAATGCTCTACCAAACTTCTGGTTTTTCACAACAAAATACAAAAAGTTACAATATCAACTTGAGCTAGAAAAATTACCAAGGTTAATGGAGTCCAGCCATGAAAAAACCCGTACTTTCTGATTGCTTCACCATCCGGAGACTTTGTCATGCTGACCAATAAGCACAGGCTCCCAACAATAGACATCTCAATTGTCATGAGGTATGACGAGTGTTTCTTGACCTGTGAACAAGGAAATGGTAATGTACGCAAGTCCCCTAAATCAAAATGTTGATGCAAATAGTTTGTAACAAACCTGAGAAGCCCATTGACACAAGGATGAAGCTAAACCAGAAAGAACTGACGCAACCAGTACAGGCACAATCCCATAGAACAAAATCTGATCAGGGTTACTGCTAGTAGTTCCTTTGCTAGAGCCTTCACCGACACTGAGAAGAACAGCAGCCATAATCAACAGGAACAATGCCCCAATTTGTTGGATTGACTGCTTCTGCCTGTGGATTAAGCCGCGAAATCAAGTTAATAGGACTTGACTAGATAAAGAGATTCCAGATTGTCGTAAGATTCATATCTAGCTATACTGAGACGATATTATGAACATCATATGCAGCGGTGCATATTATTGTCCGAAAAAAGCATCAAACAATTGCATGAGAGCTCTGTCAAAGATACCTCAAGATTATATAGGTGAACAAGGCAGTAAAGAATATCTTGGTCTGGTTCAGTATTGAAAATGTGAGCGAATCCAGATTCTTGTAAGATATCTGGAGTAAGCTGTTTTGCAGTGCATAAATTGCTGCAGGAAGTCCTGATGCCGTCAGTGATCGAACCAGACTCCATTCCTTGGTTAATTTCTTCATAGAACCGTCTTTCACCATGAGAATTGCAGCACATGCAACCTAAGGTAATAATCAGATGGAAGATTATGCAACCCGGGGTCAATAATTATCTATGTACAGAATGTATAATCATTGTAAAGGACAACCAAAAGGCACAATAGTTACCTTAACGATCTCACATGTCAAGACCAATGTAGTCACAATAACTTCTCGTCTGCACAAAGCACGAATCATTACAAAGAAATCGACTAAACTATATATCAATCAAAAATTGCACTGGAAGCATACTAGATATGTGCAGAAAGAACAATCCCTTCATTGAATTCATATACCATTTCAAAAATCTATAGACATGCTAGCAGTTTCACAACGAATTAGCACGGTATCATCAAGTTTGTAATTTATATTTTGTGCCAGCAGCTCCCACTACGCGTAGTTCCATTCAGCAACTACATCTAAAGCTAATTCATAGCATGAATGCTCCTGAAAATCTCATCAACCAAGCTCTGCCTCGATCACTAAATTCGTTGCTGATTAGCGCATCAAGTACATCTATACTCTTTAGGAATTCTCTACATTTGGAATCCCTAGAGCTGCTCTTTGACAGATTCTTGCTAATCGATATAATTGATCCAAGATGCCCTCCAATCGCAAGATTCTAACAGCGATGCGGAATCATCTCTCCCAATTCGCGTCGAGATCAGTTCTGAAAGTGCCGGAAGCAATGGAAGGAGGGAAAGGAAAGAGTTGGAGCTGGCGCGCGTACCTGACGAAGCGCTTGGAGATGAGAGGTTGAGCGCCATATTGAAGAGCCAGCAACAGAGAGTAGAGCAAAACTCTAGAAGACATGCTATTACCCGAATTAGCAGCCGGGCTCGAACCTCGCAGCCTCGTCGCCGCCATTTCCCCCGGCAGCCGCTTGAGAGAAAAACCGTCGTCCTTTTCCCACGCTATTCCCCGGTGTTCTTGGAGCTCGTCTTCAACTTGGAGGAATAATTGCAGCAAGTATAAGGCTGAAAAATGGACAACTGTCCGCTCCAAAATAAGCCCAGAAGGCCAGAAAATCACTCCCACTCAGCCCATATTCCCGGACCATTGGCCTAACTGTTTCGAGGCCCAACTCGTATTCATTCCCCCAAACCCATAATTTTCAAACACAAGCAAAAAATCCAAATCGAATCTCCCAAAGTAGTTAACGTAATCACACCATCTCCGATAATTAACACAAATACAGAGAATAATCTTTTCAAAATTTGCAGAAAAATCAAAACAGAAAAACCCTTTCATATTTCCTCACTTTTCCCACTCTCCACCGTTACCATATAAATATGGCGACGGGGAAACCAAAAGATCATTTCATTCAGTAAAGAAATAAAAAAAAAATATATGGGTGGGAAAATGTTGAGTTTAGCCACCATTGCTCCTCTCTTCCTTCTTCTCGCCTTTGTTGGTGCCGCCATTGCCGATTTCAACTACGACGCCTATTCATATCCTAAGGTGTTCGATGTCCGTCGCTACGGAGCAAAGCCCGACGGCAAGTCAGACTCCAGCGAGGTACTACGTATTAGGATGTTTCTGGTATGCTTTCGTACAAAACGATTTAATCTATGTTCTCGTAGTTATGGTAATTTTTTTTGTTTATGGTATAGGCATTTTTGGCTGCGTGGAACGACGCTTGTCAGTACGAAGGGAAGGCGAGGGTGGTGGTGCCACCAGGGGAGTACGTGACGGACACGATCTTGTTTTTGGGCCCTTGCAAAGGGTCGATGGGGTTCATAATGAAAGGGCGGCTGACGCCGCCTGACAGGCTGAGCCACTCCGATGAGTGGATCACGTTTAGGTATGTGAACGGGTTGTTGGTTTCCGGCCATGGCACGTTCGACGGCAAGGGTTACGTTGCTCCCACTCCCAAACCTCCGGCCATTGTAAGTGTAAATGGTGTAGCGCTTGCTCTTCTTTCTTTGTTTTTCGTTTATGGAAATTGTGATTGGTCAATTTAATTGACGGATTTTGAGTTAAGCTATATAAGCAAGTTGAATTATTATCGGTCAATTGATTAGAACTAATTGGATATTTACTACCAAAAATGTATTCCAATTACCATACTAATAACCTTGAATATTAAAAAGTGTGATTTGTCTAGAACGAGTAACAAGATATCTCTATTTTTCTACCCCGTTTTGGCAAAATTATAGTAAAATCCCATTAACCCTAGTGGATAATGCGAAATGGAAGGTCAATATTTTATTGCGGTTTTAGCCTAATAAGAAGATTCATAACTTTTCGCGACTAAATATTCGTTTAATGATTTTGTTGTAAATTACTTTTCAATACATGTATTCATCATGTACAAATTGGTGTTGTCACTTGGTGAATTCACCGTCTTCTCATCAATCCATGTAGTTCAATAATTGAATATGTAAAGAGTAATCCAACAACATCAACATGTGCTCGGTAGACCGGCTCTTTAGTAATCACTTAAGTATGCATTTAACCAATCCTCTTATTCCCCTTATTAATTATCCTGGTCATTTGAATCACAATATAACGTTTGGTGGCACATTGCAGTCGCTGCGGTTCGAGTTCATAAACGACGCCGTGATCAGCCACATCCGCTCCCTCAACAGCCGCAACGCCCACTTCCAGCTCTTCGGCAGCAATAAAATCCGGATGCACAACCTCCTCATCCGCGCCCCGGGCAACAGCCCCAACACCGACGGCATCAAGATCGGCGCCTCCACCGACGTCCACGTCACCAACTCCGTCATCGGCACCGGCGACGACTGCATCTCCATCCTGGGAAAAAGCTCCGACATCTACGTGTCCCAGGTCCTCTGCGGGCCCGGACACGGCATCAGCGTCGGAAGCATGGGGTTCTACGACAACAACGCGGAAAACGACGTCGTCACGGACGTCACGGTGACGGACTGCACCTTCCGCGGGACGTCTGACGGCGTCAGGATCAAGACGTGGGCCACGGCTAACGCCGGCCTGGTCCGTAACTTGACGTTTAGTAACATCCATCTCGATAGCGTGGATAATCCCATTGTGATTGATCAGGAGTATTGCCCTTACCCTCCTTGCAAGCAGGTAATTAAAATTTTGCTACGTCTCGTAACGAATTTTTTTCGTAGCAAGAAAGGAAAGCACCACTACCTCGTAATCATTATTCGCATTATTGCTATGTTATGTTATGTTATGTTAGGTGCCGTCGCGTATTCGAATCGAGGATGTGACGTACGACAACGTATGGGGGACGTCGAGGACGGCGGTGGCGGTGAAGCTGAACTGCAGCAAGATGTACGGGTGCAAGGGTTTGGTGTTGAGGGACATAAACATGGTTCAGAAGAATGGGCTCGATGCGGTGTCGTTTTGCTCTCACGCCGTTGGTGCGACTCACGGCGTGCAGAAACCGTCGCCTTGCTTGTAGGGCAGGGGTCAGGCTTCTGTTTTTAGATTCTGAATCTTTTTTGTTTTAGAGTGATCATTAGTTGATCCCAATTAAGAATTTGATTAAGCAGCCATTAGAGAGTTAATTACATTCTACTTCGAATAAAGACGGTGAGGTTGAGAGGTGGTCGACAAATGTAATGCAGCGACCCTTTGAAGCCAATTATTCATTAATTAAGGTCTTGTTGGAGTTAGATTTCGATTTAGTCGGGTCCAAGTTATGGGTGGGCTTTTGTATCAAAAGTGGCCCGGTTTCTGAATGGGCTGAATTTGGTCTATACTATGGACCAGTTACTGAGTTTTGTTGATTTTCATAACCGACACGGTGGCATCAATAAAAAAACGAAAAGAAAAATGAAACACGAAACGTTTCCACCTGCAATTCCAAAGCTTTCTCGCAGAGATCCCCGCCATGGATGAGATCCTTCTGTTCGGCGCCATAATTGCCATAATTCTCCTCGCCTTCATCTCCGTTTGCTTCATCACCATCGAAGGCACTCGCCGCCGTAGTAGCAGCTCCACCTAACTCCGGCGCACAGTCAACGTCGTTTCTTAGTGATTTCCCCCAATTTCGTTATTCAGATCAGATCCCTCCATTTGTCATTTCTTTTTTTGGAATTGAATTCACCTGAAAACTACAAGGAAACCCTATCGGGGGGTTTTCTTATCTATTTATATAGAGAGTAGGTAGTACCCAAAAAAAGCCATCAGCCGCCCTCTGGTTTCTCTTTCCCTGACTTTGCGCAATTCGAACAGTTCGAGTGAACTAAAACAATGGGCCGGAGCTCGCCGCATCTTGTATTAATGGTGGCGGTGATTGTCGCTGCGGGGATTTGTGCAGATCTGTGTTCCGGTGACGGACTCTGTAGCTCGCCGGTGCTTGGTCATTCCGACGACCATCACCACCACGGTCATCACCATCACCACGACGACGGCGGCCAATGTGGCGGCCACCATCATCATAATCATCATCATGACCATGACCATGGCGAAGAAATGGAGTACAAGTTGCCGGAGGAGCTGGCGGAGGAGGAGGATATGAAACTCTATGGCTTCGGGAATTACCATGCTCACGATGAACATGATCACCATCTGCATTCTGATTCGCATTCCAAGCTTTCTGGTCTAGGTATTACTCTATCCAATCTCCGAATCTGTGTGAGTGCTAGCAATCACTCAGTTACTGCCGTCATTTCTTTTTCTTGTTATCTGATTGGGATTTATAGGCATTGTATAGTTGTTATCTGAAGAAGTTGTCTTTCTGATCTCCAATGTGCCATCTTTTTGCCAAAAGTTTGTGAATTTCTCGGTTCCAATTTGATTGTCATTCTCCCATTCATCACGATCACCTTTCAATTATCTGCGCGGTCTACAGAGTCAAGTACTCGAGTTCTTTAGCAGTCCAAGTATGCACAAGTTCTCGCCTTTCGAATCTTGGGACTGGCCTTTTCATCTTTTATAAGCCTGTTTCTTGTCTCGCCTGTTTACTTATCAGGTCTTTGGATCAATGCCTTGGGCTGTTCGCTTTTGGTGAGCTTGGCTTCCCTTATTTGCCTGATCATCTTGCCAATCATATTTGGTAAGCGGCTCTTTGCTCATTGTAAATACATTCCAAGTTACCGGGTAGCTGTTTTAGGGTGTTGTCAATGATTGCTTGCAGTTTGTTCACTGCATACACAATGCAGAAGTTTCTACGTATTGCGCCAATGATGTTGTATTAAAATGGTGATTTATCTGTTTCTGATTGCAGTGCAGGGAAAGCCTTCCAAGGGAGTTGTTGATTCATTGGCTTTATTTGGGGTGAGATTCTTGTATCCCTATCTTTTTTGTTTGTTTTCATTCACTGTTGATACTGTATTGTGGATGCCAGAACTGATTTCGGACGGTATCTTCATTGGTGTTATGGTTGTTCCTTCTCAACCACATTACAATGTTTTTTATGTTTTAAGATTCTGTTGTTCATAATACAAGAGAAGTAGCCTACTACAGGGCATCACCTATTTGTAACTTGTCTAGTATTGAACCTTAATAAAATCCTACTTTGATGTCTGCTAGGAGTCAAGTTTTTCTGTTCTACAACTTATACAATTTTCTGCTTCCAGGCCGGAGCAATGCTTGGAGATGCTTTTCTTCACCAATTGCCACATGCATTTGGTATGTTCTCTTGCGATTGTTTTACCTTGTGATGCTTCTATGTAGCTAGTTTGTTTTAGCAATACCTTGTGGTTGTTATTATCTTCAAGTTGAAGTCCTTATGAGAATTTCGTTCAACATTCCCAGTGCATGATGATACAAACTGGATATATCCACCTCATAGTTCTCAAATGCTCAGTTGGTGATTTCATGGTATTATTTGACCGAGCTTCTGATTAAGATTGCTTGTGTTGTAATTCTATCTATGTATCCTTCTCTGATACCAGTGGCGTGTGTGATTATATGCGATGCCAGTCATTAACTATTGGTATTTGGTACATCTATACTAGATATTTCATGTGTTTGTGCAGTTTTTATAAGTAAATTTCCATTTTACTGATAGCAGTTGTTGGAGCAATTTCCGTTCTTACAACGTTGCGATACTTAACAGATCACATGCATAGTGTTCGCCAATTTTTTTATTAATCTCTCAGTTTTCACATTCTCGAGCTAAAATTGGAAGAAGAAAGAGGCTCGTCACTATGACTTATGGATGTTTATCGATTGTGTTGCTTATTGAGTAATCCATCGAAGAAACATGTACAGGTGGACAGCAGCACTCACACTCCCATTCACACCACCATGCTGATGATTTGAGCCATGATCATTCTGGCCACGAGCATTTGCATATGCCGTCAAGTGGGCATTCACATTCTTTGGAGGATCTTTCTGTTGGATTGTCCATTTTGGGTAAGCAACAAACTATGCAATGCTAAATATCCTGCACAATAATGTAGCACATTTTCACTGGTTAATGTGCATTGGCTCAAAAGTATCATATATATTACTATGGATGGTGAAGCCGTGCTGCCCTTACAAATGTTTTAACAACTTTTGAGTTTACGGTTTTGAAATCACTTGAGAATGTGGAGTTGTGAAATTGTGAAGGTAGGCAAAAGGTTGAAGAAGAATAAGTTCAAGACAGTAGCTGAAGTAATTCAGTCTATTAATTTACGATAAACAGAAAGATACAATGTCAAGATTCAAGTCATTTGCATAAGCTAATGTCTGTCTTACTATCTCATCTTTCCGCTTCTATGTGTTGTTTTTCTTTCGTTAGTCTTCTTCATCTTTGTCATGTGACGAGTGCAAAATCTGGTTCTGAATTGTGATTAATTCAATCGCTTCCTGCTTTTCCTTTTCGGGTTTTGTTGTTGCAGCTGGCATTGTAGTCTTTCTTCTTGTGGAGAAGCTTGTGAGATATGTTGAGGATAACTCTACTGGCGATGTTTGGGGTCATAGTCATCACCACCACCATAAGAGCAGTGAGAAAGTGAAGGATGGCAGTGATGCTGATGGAGCATCTGATGAAATTTCAGATAACATGTCAAATGGGGATAAGTTGAGTCAAAAGGATTCTGTTGTTCACAGGGTAAGCAATTGGCATTTCGCAAATCTGTGTGCCCTTCTCGGCTTTCTCCAGATATATTAGCAGTGTACTTAAGACCATGGTACCATATTTATTATTGATGCAGAGAAAAGGCAAGGCTGGTTCCAAGGGTGACAAATCAGATAAAGCCACCTCGGACAAATCTACTAAGTCTACTAAACTCGCACAGGGAAAAGAACCTGCAAAGTCGTCTTCAAATCTGGTGTTCGGGTATCTGAATCTCTTCTCTGATGGTGTTGTAAGTATGTGCTGCTCCTCGCTGTTCGGCTAAGCTTAACACATTTTGACAATGTGCTTCCACATTTAACAAAAGAAAATGTGTTGTTGTAAGGATATAAGTTCAGTAAGTAAAAGAGTGTTTCCGTTGTATGTGAAGCAAAGAAACTATACAGTTCTGCCCTATGAACCTAATATGCCGTGTTGACTTTGCAGCATAATTTTACTGATGGAATGGCTCTGGGCAACGCTTTTCTGCTTTATGGATCAGTTGGTGGATGGTCTAGAACTCTCTTTTTGCTTGCACATGAGCTCCCTCAAGAGGTTTGACTCAACTCTCTGTTGCAGTATGGAGAATATTGCTTTTTGAAGTTGTAGATTGGTGAAGACTTCCACTGGCCTAGTTCTCTTGCTGTGTTTTATCAGCAACCGCAAGTAATAATTCTCTTGATCATTACAGTGTCGGGGATTATAGTTAAAGGTAAGCTTGATTATGTATGTAGGTGGGTGACTTTGGAATCTTGGTGAGGTCGGGTTTCAGCGTGTCTAAAGCTCTTTTCTTCAACTTCCTGTCAGCATTGCTCGCTCTCGTTGGAACTGCACTGGTGAGTTCATTTACTTTTCACAATTTACTGTCCACTCAATGATGTGAATGAGAATCAAACATGCTGATTTCTTTCTACTAGGCTTTGCTTTGGGGGAAAGATCCCGGACAGTCGTCTCTGATCGAGGTACACTTACCTCGACACATGATCCTCATATTTTGCTTCTATCTCATTATTACTGCTTAACCTGCTTCATCCCCCTTTATCTCCCTTCCTAACAGGGTTTCACGGCAGGTGGGTTCATATACATTTCCGCAGCTGGTGTGCTCGCAGAAATGAACACTGGCAAAACGAGTCTGAAGAGCACGGCTGTTCACACAGTGTCCCTGGTATTGGGCATGTCTGTCGCCCTTTGTATTTCGCTTGTAGAATGAAATGCATAGCCTTGTCTGGTGCTTGGACGTGGCCGGCCTGGTTGCCTGTTGTATTCTTAACTTTTTGTAGGATGAGGAACTTAAGTTTGTTTCTTTTCCGCCTTTGGGATCTTCTACTGGTGTGGACTGTTTTGCAACTTTCTATATAGCATGTTTCCTGTTTCCATTGCATCTCTTCCTAGCCTACCTTGAGTAGTCGAGTCTGGCCCTCTTCATTTTTAAGTTGATCGGCTAGATGTGAATGAAGTTAGCAACATTGACTGATCCTTTGCTGACCAGGTGGCGAGAAGGCTAGGCGCGAGCTATCATGCCGCTGTACTCGCCACCATGGTTCGAGGAATGGTAGATGCATCAGCGAAAGAAGTTAAGCAACATTGAAGTTAACCGCATTTTGCCGTTAGATAAAACTGAGAATCGAAAATGCTAGTTGGTTACTGGTTTCTCTCTTAGACCACCGGAAAAGTATCACATTCTCATTCATAGATCTGGAGTTCGAAACCGATATTCAACAACAGAAATTGCTCGTTGGTGAGATCGAGACTTTTAATTGTTCCATATCGAGTTTAGTGTCCAACGTGATACATGCGCCCGAATTCAAAGACTCGAATTTTTTTCAACTCATTGATCTAAGAGTTTACTAGCAAATGTTACTGATTTTGTTCGTTACTTAAATTTGGGTGATAAATTTGTTAACAAATGCAAGGTCGATGACTGATTAGTTAAATCCCAAAGTTTAGTGGTCATTAATCAATTGACCAAAAGCAAAGGGTCAATTTCGTCATTAGATCCATTTTACTTCCAGCCCCTACTTGGGTGATTTTGTATTCCTGCTCCGCGGTTTCATCTAGGTTTTCGCTATTTGACGTCGGTAGCTCTCGGTCAATCGGAAAACTCGACCTGCCGCCAGCCATGGCAGATGAACTGGGGAATGTGGAACCAGAGGTAAACGACGCGAGCAATCAGAAGAAGAAGCACAAGGGAAAGCACGACAAGCCTAAGCCATGGGACGACGACCCCAACATCGACCATTGGAAGGTGGAGAAGTTCGACCCTTCGTGGAACGAAAGCGGCATGCTTGAAGTCAGCGAGTTCGCCACCCTCTTTCCTTCTTACAGAGGTCTGTTCATTGTTTTCTGCTCGTTGGAAAGCTTCTGATGGTATCTTTATTGAAGTTCGTCCAGTCATTCATTGTTTGTTCAATCCCCACTTCCAGAGAAATACATTCGGGATGTTTGGCCAATGGTGAAATCCGCCCTGAAAGAGCATGGCATTGAAGGCAGGCTCGACCTGGTAAATGTTTCTGATTGCCTCACATTTGTATTGATTTTGAGCTGTGGATATAATATAACTAGCTATGAGATTTAACATGCTCCTGACTCAGTTATTCACTTTGCTATAGTCAGAAGAAGCAATAGAGAAACCTTAAGTTCCATGCAAGAGGTCAAAGTAATGTGCTTATTATGTGTCGCGTTTCATGACATGTTCTTCATTGCTGAATCAGGTTGAGGGGTCAATGACTGTTTCAACTACAAGAAAGACGAGGGACCCTTACATAATTATCAAGTCAAGGGATCTTCTTAAGTTGCTATCGAGAGGTGTCCCTGCACCTCAGGTACGGGATCGATTCCTGCTCTGGTATTCCTTGTATTACTAATCTAACTTGGTCAAAGAGTACTGCAGTGCTACAATAGGTGCTGCAACTTCTCCATGCACGGAAGTTTCTGCGGCTGAAACTTCCATTGCCCGTTAATATGGATTTCTGGTTGCACTTTCGTTGACTGGTTGATCGAATTTCTTGTTTCTGTTGATTGATTCAGGCTATCAAGATTCTCAACGATGAAATGCAATGTGATGTTATCAAGATTGGCGGTATGGTTCATAATAAGGTAAGCCTTGCAGAAAACAGTCCATGGTATTAACTAAATCATGTTGTCCTTACATCACCACATTCTGAGGTATGTTTGAAACATTTGGTAGTAATGTGGAATATGGTGGAGTTTGCCAATAATTCTGTTTTTATAAGTTTATCATTTGCATGCCAATATTATTTGTTGCAATCTTGCAGGAGCGTTTCGTCAAACGAAGACAACATCTTGTTGGGGCAAATTCATCTACTTTAAAGGTAATGGTGATCTTTGTCGTTGTATGGTCACTTGAAAACCATCTTCATTGGAACTTTGACATTTAGGTAGATCTAGTGCAGACCAAATACTTGGCTGAAAATAAAACTTGAATGCTAAAGCTAAGAGTCACTTTGCTTTACTCCTTTTCCCCGCCATAACCTTCTGTGATTATATTGTTTGCAGGCGCTTGAAATTTTGACAGGCTGTTATATTCTAGTTCAGGTAGGTGCTTTACCTTTTCTAACAACTTTTTTCAATCCAGGTTGCTATGAACAATGTGTGATTAAATGTATTTCCTTCTCGAACAGGGACACACTGTTGCTGCTATGGGTTCATTTAAAGGTTTAAAACAAGTTAGAAAGATAGTGGAGGAATGCATGCAAAATAAGATGCATCCTGTACACCATATAAAGGTACTCATGTTTCTGTTGTGACTCTTCCTTCTGCTATGGGTTCGTTAACAATTGTATTACTTTTGCTTTCAGATTCTGATGATGAAGAAAGAACTTGAAAATAATCCAGCATTGAAGAATGAGAGTTGGGACAGGTTTCTTCCCAAGTTCAATAAGTACGATATAGCTTTTTATCTTTTAATTTTTGTGCACTACTTCTGTTATTCCTGGGTCCTACTTTTTTACATTTTCTGGAAAGTTACATCTGATGTGGTTTGATAACTTTCAGGAAGAATGTTCAACGAAAGAAGCCTAAGAAGAAAGAAAAGAAAGAATATACACCATTCCCTCCTCCTCAACAGCCCAGCAAGGTTGATATTCAATTAGAGACTGGAGAGTACTTCTTGAGTGAACAGAAGAAGACAGCAAAGAAATGGCGAGATAAACAGGAGAAACAAGCTGAAAAATCTGCTGAAAACAAGAGAAAAAGAGAGGAGGCATTTGTTCCTCCAAAGGTTGGTTCTTTTTTCCTTTTGCTTTATTGGGCCACTATATCGTGCTGTTTTTATAGTTGTAAGCATGACCTTGAATCTGTTTGGCTATTTCAGGAATCTGCGAAGGCAAGTACCAGTAAGTCGGAAGAGGAAGACCTGGCCACAATGACAATGTCCATCAAGGTAAGCCTAAAACATAACTCCACAATGACACGTACTTGTTCGTGTTATTCTGCTTGTTATTGAATAGAGAAATATTTGATTCTAGATATGATACCTCCTTTGAACAACGTCGTGTCCCTTTCAAATTTTGCAGCAAAAGGCAAAAGAGTTTGGGAAGAAGAAAAGGGACGAGAATGTCAATCCGGAGGATTATATAGCTGTAGCATCTAGTGAACAACCGAAGAAGAAAAAACAAAAGAGCAAGTTTTCATTTTTCTGAAAATTTACTCTTTGTTCTTGTGTCACATTTGTTTGATCGATTTCACATGAATCCCCTCCCATTGTCTAATATATGTCATCGGACATCAAGTCTCACATGCCTCTCGGAAATGGGAGTTGTTTATTGTTGTATGTTGACATTGGTAGAAACAGGGAATGGAAGTTTACAAAATTTATCAGGCCTACTGTTATTTCCAATCTGGACTTTTGTGTATTTGAGAATACCGAACACATAATGATCGGCCATTGTTTCATGGCTTGGATATAAAGGGCAATGAAGAAATTAAGGTAACTGATCCTTTGCTAAACCAGTAGTTGCCCAGCTTTAATGTTGCTGTAGGTGCTTACTGGTTTGTTTGGATTTGATGTTCACCTTACTCATCTGAGCTTCTTGTCTCTTCATTTATTCGTTTTACATTGCGAGTTGGAAGCTGATGAGTAAAGCAGGTACTTATGATAGTTGTGGCACACCCCAGAGATGTTTCTCCAGGTGCAGCAATTTCTTTGCTGTGCTGAGCCGCCTCTGGGTTGTGCCTAGACATGACTAAGGCAATTAGCTGCTGTCTGATTCCTTTTATGTTGTCGGTACTGATTTTGAAGGTTGACTTGGTTTCTCCTTTTTGAATTGTTTTATGGACAGCATTTTTAAGCGGAAATTGTTTTTTTTTTTTTTTATCTGCTCAAGGATTGGTTTCTGGCTTGCCCCTGTTCTACTGCAGCTGCTACTATGTCAGTGCAACTTGCTGTAAGTCTTGATTTTGAACCTCTTGATAGGCTACAGTTTGGTTTCTATTGCTGGAATTTCCTGTTGTTTGATTAGAAAGAGTACATCCACAGTATAATCTCATGCCAGTCTATCTTTCCATTCGTGAATACTCTTATCACACAACCTTCCAAGTTCCAATAGGAGACCAGAAAATCCATAGCCAAAGTTGAAGTCTGTCTTGACGATGGATAATAAGAAAGGATCTAGTTAGCTATACATACAATTGTAAACGTCTCACATAGAAAATGTGTCCTGCCACAATGAGCTTCCATACCCATGATCCTCATGTACTAGGTGTTGGATCCCATGACCTCCCAACTCTTCCAATAGCATCATACCCTCATACCTCTGCAGAGAGCCCTCCATCCTTGACCACAGATCATGATCATATTCAGCACCATTGTTTGACGTGATTGAAGGATGTGCTTGCATATCATCGACCCGAGAGAGTTCCTCATAATCATCTAGGCATAGCTCGGTACTGTAGTAGCAATGCTCGTTGTCGTCGACACTCTCGCTTGAATTTTGATCTTCCATGACCATGTCGGGAATACCATCGATCTCTGCTTGCAGAGATTTGATAACACTCCGCAGCCTTTCATCGTCGTTGTAGTCTTCAACTTGTAGCAACGACTCTTCCAGTAGTGACATGAGAAGGGCTTCGTGATGGCCCTCCATGGGATTGGTCTGGGATAAAAGAGATGCCATTTTGGAAAGACTGAGGATATGGAAATGGTGAGAAGTGGTGGGATTTTGCTTGGTAAATGGTTTGTGATTGTGTTGTTCGTTTTGAGTCATTGAACCAAGTCATGTATGTATATATAACCTACTAGGAAGAGACCAACTTGCAAGTTTTATCATTATTGTACCTTTTATCTGGTACCATTTTGCTTTTGTTAGGTGCACGAATGAGGTGCCCATGTGAATGTATCATCTGTACAAATCAGTGGCGGACCCAGAAATTTTTCATAGGGGTGTCCTCTTTTAAAAAATAAATTAAATAAAAATTAAAATAATTAATAAAATTAAAATTGTAAATATGTAAATACCTTACTCATATAGGTTAAAAAAATCCATGATGTGTTTTCATATTCGAAAATAATTGTAGAATACACTTGGTGTCTATAGTGTTAAAAAAATTGTCTCTTTATACACTACTAGACAATCATTCACCAACTTATCGCATATTCGATTTGTAAACTTGTTCTTGATGTAACCCAAAGCTGAAAGACTCTTTCAACACTTGTCGTACAATCATAAAATCAATACAAATTAAGGATAGTTTGAAATTAGTTTAATTGTTAGGTTTTTAAAATAATTAGAGATAGGGAATGCCATTTTACTATTACACATTGTTCAAAATCGAACAACAAATGAGTTTAGCTCGACGGAAATTAAGTTTATTAATAATAATAGTGTTCTAGATTTGAATTATCCAACCTACCACTTATATTCCTATACACAAATGACAGTAGGATAATCATTTTTTCAAATTTAAGGGGTGTCTCTCACTATCAATTATATTTTTTTTGTCCATACGTAAATTACCACCAGGGTTGGATAATCGTTTTCCTAAAATTTAGGGGTGTCCTAAACCACCCTGGGTCCGCCCCTGTGTACAATAATGGGTTGGTGCCCGAATTGATCTTCTCGTCCAGCAACCATGTACATGTGTCATTGAATGTGTTTCCTCTATGTTGGGTTGCCTTCAAGATCCAGCATTGGAAGAAACAAGATCCAGCATTGGTGTGCATCGAATATATCATTTTGGTTGCCACTACAATATCATTTGTCAAAGTATGATCCTTTAATACAAGTTTGCGAACTCCGACTCGAATACACGGCGAACCTCAGAGGTGAGTTAATGACTTAGAATATTGGTTCCCACAATAACATAGGAAATCTCATAGGGCTGGCTATTTGGTCCTGAACTGTTTGGTTTTACCCGAAACCGGACTGTATAACCCAGATCGGGACCGAACTGTATAACCTAGACAGGGACCGGATTGGGACCGGATAGCAAACAATGCAATCTCATATTCGGGCTAAGATTTAAGGTAAAAAACCGGATAAAGACCGGATAAGAGACCCCCAACACCTAAAATCAAGATAAAATTGGGACCGGATCGGGTCAAGACCGGGCCGGACCAAGACCGGATTGTATCCAATCCAATCTTTGATCCTTATATTCCCGAAAATACTGGACTGGGACCGAATCAATTTGGTCCAATTTAACCGGACCGGACCGTATAGCCACCCCTAAAATCTCATGCTCACACAACAGAACATGAAGCTTAGGAGCATGCTCCAACCCTGGTCTCGTTTAAGACCTTAAAATGGATGGATGAATCCAATAATTTGGGAGTGATTAAGGATTTCCTTTCCAGGCAAACATTTAGCTAATTGTCTTGTTAATCCATACTTGGTTGGTTATTATGAGAGGCGCAGCAGCACTGCGATGTCGGATGGTGCATCTTCATTAGGGATGGCAATGGGCCGAGTTTGGGGCGGGTTTGCCTAAACCATCCCCATCCCCGCTTTCAAATATCCAAACCCATACCCGCCCCATACCCATGCGGAGAAGGATTTGCAAACCCATCCCCATATCCATGGGTTTCGGGTACCCATGGGTAATACCCGCCCCGTACATCCTACATTATAATAGCTAAAATTTTACATACAAAAATTTCAATTATAATACTAAACGCACCTACTATTTCATAAAGTCGTCAAAGAGACAATCATTCTTAATACTATTCTAAGCATCTTATTCTAAAAGATCCAATAATCCATAAGATAGAGTAACAATATAAGCCAAATCATTATTCTCTCACTTTGGTACATCTATTAAGTAATAAATAACTTACTAACATAATGTTGTAAACATGAGGGAAAAAGTCAAAGAATGAAGGAGGATTTGGAGGAAATGAATTATGCTTTGATTTGGGTGGTCACTCAATTGTGAGTTACATTTGCCATTAATGATAGATTACAATTTAATTAATGTACATTTTATATGTGAAGAACTGTTTTTGGTGGGGGCGGGTATGGGTATGGGTCGGGGGAGGCTAAACCCATACCCGCCCCATACCCATCAAACTTTTTGCGGGTTTTACCCATACCCGCCTCATACCCGATCAATGCGGGGATTCCCCGCGTTAACTGGGTCGGGGGCGGTCGGATACCCACAACTATGGATTTAATTGCCATCCCTAACTAGCACAGGACCCGGCCCGTTGGCCGAGAGAATTTTGTCTAAAAATATGATATATAATAATGGATATAATAGATGATTTACAATACATGGAATGATTATTTGTACCTTAGTTACGCACATAACATTTTTGAAAGTGATCCAACTATGCATAATGTGTTTAGACCTATATGAAAAGAGGAAAAAGTATGGTATAAGCATTACATGCAATTACTGAATGAAAAAGAAATAAATAAACTAATTGTAATTCGTTGTTTAATTAAATCATATAGTTGAATATTAGAGTTACTTTTCATATTTCATACACACGTAATCAACATTTAGGATGAAAGAAAATATATCTCATAGAGTTTAGTATGTCCTTTAAGTTCTTTTCCAATATAGTGCATTCTTTTTTACCACATAATTGGTAATGAATATGAAGTTGCTTGATTAGAAATATATAAAACATGATGTTAAGTTTTCGCTAAAAGTTAGTTGAACAATGTATTGTGTACAGACTTCCCAAATTACTCTCATAACACAAACATGTCTAGCAACAATGTAATAATTTTCACTGTAGCAAATATTTTTTTTCATGAAGTAATTCAATAAATATCATGTATGAATTGGAAATCTCCACTCACTAAACTGAGAGATAGAGGGCTAATGTAAGTCGACTTGACAACTCCTCCATTTGAGATATCCTTACAGCAAAGTGAAGAGTTCTGCAAGTCAAAACAAAATAGAACAAAAGTAAAAGGATCACTTTCTATTCTAGTAAAAGCTGAAATCTTTCAATTTTCTATCCCCACTCCATAAATGAAATCCCTGAATCCTGATAATCGGCTTTGACATATTGAATTTTTGGACTTTATATGATTATTCATGGTATGTTTTAGCCGATTGGTGCTATTTTAGGGCTCGCTAACCCGAGAATGGTTGAAAAACCATTACTGCCTAGTGCCATGAGTTTGATGTGTTACAGGTGGAGAAAGCACGAAAAAGAAGCGAGTGCACGAACAATTGATTGGGCCCAAATCACCCCACCTCGGGAAGAATTAATTTGGGCCGGGGACTTTGGAAAAGGCAGGTGGCGGACATAATCTCTTGGGCCAGCAAATTGCATAGCTGGCGGTGGACAAGGCTAAGAGGATGGAGGAGGACGAAATTGCTGGGGGGGAGATTTCTTTTGGGAAAAGAAAGCAAAAGGCGGCTGAGATTTATTATTGAGAGAGGGCGGAATTCCATAGCCAGAGGGGAAAAAGACAGCAGCGCGCAGCAGCTGAGGGAAAAGAGGGAATTATTTTTCTCTGGGCGATTTTTCTTGGAGAGAAAGAAAGCGAAGGGCAGCAGGTAATTATTGTTGGGGGAACGAAATTCTCTTGGAAAATAAAGAAAGAGGCGAGAATTCTTTGGGGGACGAGGGAATTAGTGAGAAAAGCAGCGCAGCGAAGCATCGGGCGATTGAGCAATTGACGATCAGTTTTTCCAAGGTTTGAGCTGAATTCAACGAGAGCGATTAGTTGGTTGGATTTTCTAAACTGAATTAGTTGTTTCTTGTTGTTTTAGAACATGATGAACAAAACCCTATCGATTTATTTTAATTTCGTCATGAACTAAACCCCAATTTCTGGGGGAAACACTATAGGATGTAGCTATTTCTTGATTTGATGGATTGGTTTATGATTCTTTTCTTCCAATCTCTATTGCATGAAATTTCTTAATGCTTTGTGTTGACTGGCCACCAATACATTGATTAGTTGTTAATTAGGTGATTAGCGACAGTGAAACCCTAATAACTGAACCTATTTCATGTGACATAGTAACTTATCGAAGCGACAGTGGATTAAATAAGGTGCTATGCGGTTCGAAATAGGATATCGATCTTCAGACTATATAGTTAATTCATTGAGCTACGACAGTAGGATTTGAATTGATTATTTAGTACGTAGTAATTCCCGACAGGGATAGCTAGCACTTTCGTGATATCCTGGCTGTAGAGAGTTGGATTAAATTGATTGGAGTATGTGAATTAATCTGGATAGGATAGGTAGTGAATCCCGGTGTTTCTCCCAGAGCTTTCTCCCATTGAATTTCTCCCGACAGTTTACATTTAGTTAATTTGTTTATTTTATTTTGCTTTTAGAAATTAGTCTCATTAAACTATTTTCACTTATAGTTTGCTCATAAATTTGATAGAATATAAGGTTGTACCAGTCCCTGAGAGACGATACCCGGACTTTCCGGTTTACTACGAGATAGGAATTTAAGCATTACGCTTTTTCCCTATCAAGTTTTTGGCGCCGTTGCCGGGGACTGCCATACCTTATTTTTTGTTGATTTTTGTGAGTGAACTATTTTGATCTGTGTGCTAGTGTGCAGGTGAATTTCAGGTTAATCCTTTTTGTGCATGCCTAGGAGGACAACCAGGGATTTATTGCCACTAGACCTGGAGATCGAGAAGACCTGTCGACTGAACAGGAAGCAGGTCAAGTTAGGGAAGCAGCCAACCACAACTCCTAGGCCTTCCCTAACCCAGAGAGGGCAGGCTTCATCACCTGTCGTCCCTACACCACCACCACCACCTCGTGACATTGAGCCAGTCATCATGGCAGACTAGGATCGTTCGATCAGGGCTCGTTTAAATCGACGGACTGGAGCCCGGGCTTCATGTGTTTTCATTCCGGCTGGGGATGCAACCATGGAGATTACCCCAGCATTTATCAACATGATCACCAATGGGTATACTTTCTCTGGGGCTAGCAATGAGGATCCTCACGAGCATCTCCGCCGGTTCGCGAGTATATGTGATACAATGAAGAGCCCCACAGTATCTGATGATGCAATCCGTCTTCGGATGTTCTCATTTTCTCTGCTAGGGAATGCATCACACTGGTTCCAAAACTTAACACCCCGTTCCATCACGACATGGAGTCAGCTTGAGAAGGTATTTCTGGATAAATACTTCCCACCTGCCTTGGCAATGAAGAGGCAAGAAGAGATTGTTACTTTTAAGCAGGCTGATGATGAGAGTCTGACTGAGGCATGGGAGCGCTACAAAGGGCTGTTGATGAGATGCCCAAGCCATGGTCTTGAAGATTGGAACGTGATCATTATTTTCTTCAATGGAATCAGAAGGGAGTTTCGGGATGCTCTGAATAATGCTTCCCGAAATGGTTTCACAAGAATGGAAGCACCAGAAGCATATGAACTGGTGGAGAAGATATGCTCTGAAGATACTGAATGGGGTAGTGAGACCGGCATTCGAAGGAGAGGAGGCTTGCATGAGATAGACAGAGTGGCAAGCTTAGAAGCAAAGATTGATGCTAAGTTGGATTCCAAGTTCGATGCACTCGAACGAAGGCTGGCTAAGATGGCTCTTGGTAGACAGGAGGAGGTTGCTTTTTGTGAATTATGTGAAGGTGTTCATCATAGGGATCTATGTCCACTGGTGGCTGATCAGTTGGAAGATGTGCACTATATCAACAATCAACGAAATCAAGGCCAGGGTGGTATGTATTCAAATACCTACAACCCGCAATGGAGAAAGCATCCTAACTTTTCCTGGGCGAACAACAACCCAACTGGTGTTCGAAACATCCCACCTCCTGGTTTTCAACAGCAGAAGCCTCAACCAGAGAAGAAGCCCCAGCTGGAGGAGTTGATTTTGGCTCATATGCAGAAAACAGACAATAATTTCAAGGGCCTGGATCAATTTGTCACTCAACAGCTAGCCATCAACAATAATTTACAATCGTCTATGCTAGCTATGGAGAGGCAGATGGGACAGATGGCTCAAACTTTGGCAGATATGAAAGCCAGGATTCCTGGGACATTACCAGCAAATACTGAGAGGAATCCGAAGGATGCCATGGTTGTAGCAGTGACATTGAGGAGTGGAAAGGCCTTGGAAGACCCTAGCAGCTCGAAAAAGGCACCAGAGGCAGAAGAGGAAGCACCGGGAGAAAGATCTTGTGCAGAAAATGAAGAATCAGCCTTGCACAGGCAAAATGAAAGCAGTTTGCCTGTGCAAAAGCATGCTGCCCGTGTACCTCAAAAAGTGGAAAAATTGAAGAATGAAGAGGTAAAGCCTTATGAACCTCCCGCACCATTCCCTCAAAGGTTAATGAAGCCCATGGAAGACCCAAACTTCAAGAAATTTGTGAATATCTTCAAGCAACTTCAGATTAACATACCCTTGGCGGAGGCACTTGAACAGATGCCTACATATGCTAAATTCTTAAGGGAGTTGCTGACAAAGAAGCGGAAATGGGCTGATCTGGAGAAGGTAACCCTTACTTCTGAATGTAGTGCTGTGATTCAGAATAAATTACCAGAAAAGATGGATGATCCGGGCAGCTTCACCATTCCATGTGTCATTGGAGGTACAGAATTCAATAAATCACTTTGTGATCTTGGAGTAGGAATTAATTTGATGCCATACTCAGTCTACAAGAAATTGGGATTGGGAGATGTTCTAAAGCCTACTCGGATCACTCTCCAATTGGCTGATCGATCAGTGAAAATTCCAAAAGGAGTGGTGGAGAATGTATTGGTGAAGGTGGGAAAGTTTATTCTCCCAACAGATTTTGTAATCCTGGAGATGGAAGATGATCGGGGAGTGCCTCTAATCCTCGGCAGACCTTTTCTAGCAACCGGTGATGCACTCATCGATGTTGGGAGAGGCAAGTTGACATTCCGAGTAGGTAAGGAGGAGGAAATTTTTAATGTCTTTCAAGTTGACCATAATCATGATGAATTTGAAAGTGAAGCTCGAGAAAGGAAAAATCCCTCTTCCTGTGATAGTGGACCATCCGAAGAACTATCACCTATCCTATCTGCTCAGATTCTGAAATCAAAGCAAGGGCAGAAATCCTTGCCAGGTCACCTCAAGTATAGATATTTGGGTAAGGATTTCAATATTCCTGTTATTATTCCTTCTTCACTGACATTGAAACAGGAAGAGTACTTGCTTGAGGCGCTGCAATACCACCTACGCCTCACTAAAGGGTCCAACATGTCAGCTAAGAAGGTCATACCCAATTTTCGCACACCTGGCCCTGCAGAGGTGACTCATATGCTGGATGGAGGTTATGCGTTCTATCATTGCTCGGGAGGGTATGCTGGATACCTTTCCATACCCATTGGTTGAAAGCTCCATGAACGTCAGGCTGAGGACGTTAAACAAGCGCTTCTTGGGAGGCAACCCAAGGTAAGTTTTCTTTTCTTTATTTTTCTTTTTAGTTGTGTCAAACCCGTGCATGTTTAGAGTAGGAGTTGAACATTAGGGACAATGTTCCATCCTGAGTGTGGGGTGGCGAGTCTTAGTGTTGTTTGTCCCTGTTGCATGTGGTAAAAAAAAAATCCAAAAATCCAAAAAAAAAAAAAATTCAAAATTTTTTTTGTTCCTTTTGTCATGTGGTCGGTAAAAAAAAACAAAAAATCCAAAAAAAAAAAAAATTGCCATTAGGTTGAGCACAGCCAAACTGCATGCAGTTTGCCTGTGTAAAAAGCAGTCTGCCTGTGCAAAGCTAATGGCTTAAAAACACCTAAAAATCAGAAAAATTAAAAACAAAACCTTGTACTCTTGTGGTAATATGATGTAAATTACTGTGATGCATGTGAAATGAGTTTGTGCTTGAATGAAATCATCAAAATCACCCCACTAGTGTTGAATTGGATAGTTATTCACAATGAGCTTGAATGTTTTGACTGACTTGATATGCTTTGAATGAGCAAACTCTTTTAGCAACATTCTCTTTTTGTGAGGATAGTGTAATGACTTTTGGTGAAGTAGTTAGGTGGAGAACATTGACCATTCGACATGTTTGGATACCGTGCTTACTTGCATCAATTGTGAGCTTTTGATTTTGCAACGAGTCTCTCTGTTTTGATGGTTTTATGATGGGGTGAACTGTATCTTTATAAATGAGAAAACACTACCTGACAAGTAAAATATAAGAAAGTTGCCATAACAATTAAAGTGTGGGTAAAAATTCCAAAATCGTGTGAGGCAATCACTCATTGCACATGGGGATGAGGAAAGATTCAATTGAGAATCGGTTCGCGACCGTACGATGTTGCTTATCAAGTACGATCCCCAGTTGAGTGAAGTGCCATTTGAGGATGTGCAATGACCCTCCACACGGACCGAGGATAAGGAGTTAAAAGAAGCTCTTATGCGAGTGCTAAGAAGCAGAAATTGCTCTTGCTCGGTCACCGGTAGTAAGAAACAAATCCCACTTGTACTAAATACGACCTCTCGGCTTTGACATATTGAATTTTTGGACTTTATATGATTATTCATGGTATGTTTTAGCCGATTGGTGCTATTTTAGGGCTCGCTAACCCGAGAATGGTTGAAAAACCATTACTGCCTAGTGCCATGAGTTTGATGTGTTACAGGTGGAGAAAGCACGAAAAAGAAGCGAGTGCACGAACAATTGATTGGGCCCAAATCACCCCACCTCGGGAAGAATTAATTTGGGCCGGGGACTTTGGAAAAGGCAGGTGGCGGACATAATCTCTTGGGCCAGCAAATTGCATAGCTAGCGGTGGACAAGGCTAAGAGGATGGAGGAGGACGAAATTGCTGGGGGGGGGGGGGGGGGGAGATTTCTTTTGGGAAAAGAAAGCAAAAGGCGGATGAGATTTATTATTGAGAGAGGGCGGAATTCCATAGCCAGAGGGGAAAAAGACAGCAGCGCGCAGCAGCTAAGGGAAAAGAGGGAATTATTTTTCTCTGGGCGATTTTTCTTGGAGAGAAAGAAAGCGAAGGGCAGCAGGTAATTATTGTTGGGGGAACGAAATTCTCTTGGAAAATAAAGAAAGAGGAGAGAATTCTTTGGGAGAGAAGAAAAAGCAGACGTAGCGCAGCGAGGGTTTTTGGGGGACGAGGGAATTAGTGAGAAAAGCAGCGCAGCGAAGCATCGGGCGATTGAGCAATTGACGATCAGTTTTTCCAAGGTTTGAGCTGAATTCAACGAGAGCGATTAGTTGGTTGGATTTTCTAAACTGAATTAGTTGTTTCTTGTTGTTTTAGAACATGATGAACAAAACCCTATCGATTTATCTTAATTTCGTCATGAACTAAACCCCAATTTCTGGGGGAAACACCATAGGATGTAGCTATTTCTTGATTTGATGGATTGATTTATGATTCTTTTCTTCCAATCTCTATTGCATGAAATTTCTTAATGCTTTGTGTTGACTGGCCACCAATACATTGATTAGTTGTTAATTAGGTGATTAGCGACAGTGAAACCCTAATAACTGAACCTATTTCATGTGACATAGTAACTTATCGAAGCGACAGTGGATTAAATAAGGTGCTATGCGGTTCGAAATAGGATATCGATCTTCAGACTATATAGTTAATTCATTGAGCTACGACAGTAGGATTTGAATTGATTATTTAGTACGTAGTAATTCCCGACAGGGATAGCTAGCACTTTCGTGATATCCTGGCTGTAGAGAGTTGGATTAAATTGATTGGAGTATGTGAATTAATCTGGATAGGATAGGTAGTGAATCCCGGTGTTTCTCCCAGAGCTTTCTCCCATTGAATTTCTCCCGACAGTTTACATTTAGTTAATTTGTTTATTTTATTTTGCTTTTAGAAATTAGTCTCATTAAACTATTTTCACTTATAGTTTGCTCATAAATTTGATAGAATATAAGGTTGTACCAGTCCCTGAGAGACGATACCCGGACTTTCCGGTTTACTACGAGATATGAATTTAAGCATTACGCTTTTGCCCTATCAAATCCTACAAACTTCTTGAATCTCCAAACTTGAAGTCCAATTGAATATGTTGTTCCCTGCTAAAACACAGAGAAACTATAAAACACCAACGTAAAACAATGGGAACCCAGCCAAACGTTGTAGAAAGAATGGAATCGAAGCTCAGAAATATAAATAAGAAAATAAACCATAAACGATAATTTTTATTAGCAACTGTATATCTAGGTATGCTAATCAAAATCATGCTTGACTTGGAAATCATATCTCACTTATCCACTCAACTTAAATGTGAAACCCATAACAAAATTAGCCAAGACAGAGGAAACATCCAAGAAGGGTGGTTTATTTGAATGTAATGTAATTACTAATTAGTAAATAAGAATGAGACCCACATTCTGTAAACACTAAACCCATGGTTGCACTTGCTCTTGCTCCATTGCAATATTGGAGATTTCAATAGATATCTTTATCATCTACAATTTACTACATCATCTAGTCTAATAAATACACAGCCATATCTAAATGCTCTGGAATTAACATATGACATCAAAACATGGTTTCTCATCCTTAATGTTTTTTTTTATATATAATGATGATATTCCCATCCTTAATATTTTTTTATATATAATGATGACATTCTCATCCTTAATATCTTATATAATGTTAACGCAAATAGATAGAAAGAGTAAAACATGGTACCTAACAAACTTGTTCCTTTTGGTTAGGCAAGTAAGGTGTATTTAAACTACAATTGTACATCTTAAGCAACTCAATCATAACCGCGCGGTAGGTTAGTATGAAATTGGATTTCGATTAAGTGTCCGCGAAAGTAATAAACTATTTCCACCAACACACTAAAATTGCATATTCAGAACTTGATGACAGCATATCTCTATAGAGAATCACCATAACAACAAATCTCAGTCCAACTCTTTCACGCGGCTATGAAGGGATGAAGTAAAGGACCAAACTTGAACATAAGAAAGACTTGTATTAAATGCCAGAAATAGCACCAGAGGCAGAACCCAGATGGATTAATTGATCTTATCCAGCAAAAGAAGAAAGAAAACCAAACTTACATGGACAATGAAAATCCATGGTAGATTGAAACCACCCTGCCCATTCCAGAGGCTTACACACGAAGAGGGAATTTCGGATGCTGGCGGCGGCTTCTTTGTGCTTTATCTCCGACGACGGCAATACGTGGGAGTTTAGGAATTGATTTGATATGTCAGAGATGATGTTGTTCTGGTTGCAAAGTGGCAAGGGCCCGTTAAAATAGCCAAAAATAGAAAACATAAAAGGCTTGCAGATGGGAGTAGTGTGGCCATACTTGAACCAAGACCAAGAGTGGACAAAACAATTAAGCCCCATCAAAATCCAATTGAAACGTATATATGTACGTGAGAGGAAGAAAGAGATATTTACCTGCATGCATGCGTTCAGTTTTCGAATGAATAAGATTGAGTATGACATTGGGGGCCTCCGAGCGCCTGTCTCCAATCACACCACCAATCTAACTACAATCACACCATAAACCTAGCTGTTGACCGGCATATTGAATTACAGCAAAAAGTAAAGGGGAGAAGGATATAGGGTCGGATATGGAGAACAGGGGAACGCAAAAGTGAATTACGGTAATTTTTGTAGTACTGGGAGTAAGAAATTCACTACTCCATACAACAGTCCAAAACCAATTATGTACCTAACCATTCAACATTTCAAAGGCAAAATTTGATAGCAAGCCGAGCTGACGGCCCAATTACCAGATTGAAAGAGTACTCTAGATGTGAACCCTGCTTGTCTTGATCGATCTTCGTTGACAGCTACAATTACAAAAGCGATTGGTAATCCGGGTATTGATCTCAGTTGCCGCCGTCCGGATTGAAAGAGCAACAGAACCCTTCTGGCGAAAGATGTCTGCATTTGTAAGGTCGAGTGTCAATGCTCCTCCCTAAATGGTGTATTCTTCCAGCGTTGGATTTTAACCGATTATGTACCATGCTTGTCTTCCCACTTAACCGCAACCTAAAATCGACTACTGGCGGGGGAGTTTGGGCCCATATCTGGGCTCCGGGCTGGCCCATTCGGCCACCTGTAAGGTCCAGTGGAAGGTACTTGTGTTAAACGCACAACTTCACTTAATTGATAGTAGATTGACAGTATTGCCCCTCCGGGAAACCCTCTAAAGGCTGCAAATTCAAATCCCTGAAAAGTTAACCCTTGTTTTGCCTTCATATATTTTGTAGATCTCCATATGCCCTAAGAGGCTGAGATTAATTAATCAACCTCTAAATATTGTTGCTTCTAATCCGAAGGCCCACCAAAAGATCCCCATCCCCATTCAGTGGGCTTCAAAGCCTAATATGTCGGGCCCGTGTTGCTTCTGAATGGATCTGATCCAACATCTCGCGGAGCTTTTATTCTTCCCCTTCCCCACGCCAAGAAAGCCAATACAGCACCGAGTCACTGCACTGACTTCTCCCCTAAGTTGGAAGAGCGTCGATTCATAATAAGCTTTGCTTGCTCTTTTGTTAGACAAACCAAACTGAGAATCCCAGCTGATCTAGCTCAAGCAGAGGAGCGCTGCAAGGAGAGGATCAATGGCGAGATACGATAGAGCGATTACTGTCTTTTCCCCCGATGGCCATCTCTTCCAGGTTGAATACGCACTAGAAGCCGTCCGTAAGGGAAACGCGGCGGTCGGCGTCCGTGGCACCGACACCGTCGTCCTTGGCGTTGAGAAGAAATCCGCCGCCAAGCTTCAGGACTCCAGGTTCTTCATCTTTCTTCTGCCTCACCCGATCCCCTTTTTTCCCCCTCTAATTTCACCTTGTTAGTTCAAAAGTTTGAAGCAATAGGTTAGGGGTTTTCGGCAGCACTCGCTCTTGATTAGATTTGGGCTGTTGATGATATAGAAATCAGTGATAGAATTGTGTTTGCTGCCTTTAATAGGTTGCGGAGGAAGGGGAAAAGTAATCGTTCGATTTCCTGAAATGTTGCTGTCTAATTGATGGAACGATTGTTCTCTTGCTTCATTCCAGCACTGATTGCTGGCTCTTTCTTATCTTTCGCCCTGCTGTGTTCTTTCAGATCAGTGAGGAAGATTGTCAACCTCGATAATCATATTGCTTTGGCATGTGCTGGCCTTAAGGCAGATGCTCGAGTGCTGATCAACAGGGCCAGGATTGAATGTCAAAGCCACAGGCTAACTGTAGAAGATCCTGTGACTGTTGAGTATATTACCCGTTACATTGCTGGACTTCAGCAAAAGTATACACAAAGCGGTGGTGTCAGGCCATTTGGACTTTCGACCTTGATCATAGGATTTGATCCATATACTGGGGTGCCATCACTCTATCAGACAGACCCTTCGGGCACCTTTTCAGCTTGGAAAGCAAATGCAACTGGGAGGAACTCCAACTCCATCAGAGAGTTTCTGGAGAAGAATTATAAAGAAACTCATGGGCAAGAAACCATCAAGCTTGCAATCCGTGCCTTACTGGAGGTATGTACTCGACAATTAGTCAAGTTTGAAAGTTAGATGTGGGGATATCTTTTGGCAAAACCGATTCAGCTTGTTTTGTAGTTTCTTGATCCTACAAGATCAATGTCTGGATAGTGTATGGAGCAGTTCGTTTCTTAGATAGTAGAACCAATATGATCAAATTCTGGATAGTATATGCAACAGTTTAATATGATTTCGTTCCGATGGTAGAGAGAGGGTCTTGGTTAACAGCATTTATTTTCCCAAATGGTTATGAATAATCTGAATCTGCTTTGGAAGACAGAATCTGATGTAGGTTTCATGACAAAGATGCCTGAATCATTCTAGCTGACAAGCATAGAGTCAATGCATTGTTTCTGTCTGTCTTTTCTCCATTTGGACTTCCAGCAAAATTGCTTTATTTTTGCTAGTCCATGTAGAGTTCCTGCTTTGTATCAAGTACGTTCAACATGAAGTATTGATGAAACGATTGAGTCAGATATCTGATGAAAAGCAAATGGTCTAGGACAAGACGACCCAACGGATATCAATATTAGATCTTCGCCTGCGAGAATAGCACGAAAGGTCAATAAATGAATTGTTTCATTTATCGTTATTTCCGGGCCTTTTCGTTGCATTCACTTATAACAAGAAGCAACCACCAGCGTTTGGTGCAGCAAGATTAATTTATTAAAGCGTCAAAGGCTGTCTTTCGGTCTACGTTAACTGATAGCTGATTGTTTTGTTCTGTTCTGGTCCATAGGATGATGGTCATGCGTGCTTTTTTACATCAATCGAACCAAATTGCTCCAGGCTTCTTGCTGAACTATTAGCAGTGGAAACCAACTGAATTGTTTCGTGACTCGTTTGAAAGGGAAACAGTTGCATATGTACGTGAATCAGTCTCCAAGTCCTGAAATTTTGAATTCTGTGTGTAGGTTGTGGAGAGCGGAGGAAAGAATATCGAAGTCGCAGTGATGACGAAAGACCAGGGCTTGCGACAACTTGAAGAGGCTGAAATCGATGCTATCGTGGCCGAGATTGAAGCGGAGAAGGCAGCTGCTGAGGCTGCAAAGAAGGGCCCTGCTAGAGACGCCTGATATTAGGAACACCCTGAATTTGTTCTTCCAACATTCGCAATGCAATTCAAATGGGGCACAGAACCTTTCGTTGTTGTTTTTGTTATCCAGTGCTACAGTACTTAACGTCTTCGAAGTTATCAGACTGAATGATAGATCATCATTATCAAGGTTATGTTCTGTAACTGCTGTTCTCAACCTGCTGTTACATTGAAGCTTTCTTAATGAAATAGGTCCCAAACCACCAAACGTTTTGTTTGATTCTCTACGATCCGAAAACATGGTAAACAACGAAGCATGTTTCCCGAAGGTGAATTTACAGATTTGCATGCAAGCAACAGCGTCGATCTTACATATATATACATACACGATACAACCATATCACCATTGTAGTACCCAAATCTCTTTCATACAACCATGTAGTATGCTACGTTTGCCGAATCTTCTCGTCCTCCACCTCACTATCCTCAACTCCTGCTTGATCAGTAGGCTTCAATGTCTCTTCTGGCACCTTATAGCCTGCTTCCGAGCTACCAGCCTCCTTATACTCCTTCCTTTCTGTGCCCTGATCACCATTACCATTCACATGATCAGTATGCTCTTCACTATTCAGCACATCATCATCTTTTATGGGCGCGGGGATGGGATTGCCAACAATAACTGGATGAGCAACAGCAGGTTGAGATTTATCATCTTCATCTTCATCGGAAGTGTCCAACTCAGCATCCATTGCTTGCTCCTCCCCTAACTCCGGACCACAGCCTCCTCGGGACATTTTGGATCCTTTCCTAGACAACACATGCTTGAAGCTACGAGCCGACTTCTCCATCTTTTTCAAAATGCACTTCGTCTTCTCCCTCTTACTGCTGCCCTTCCCAGGGCTGGAAGCTGAGTCCGGGCTCGAGTTTGGTTGCTTATTGGGTATCTCCCCGGAGAGGCTATCCTCGACGATGAACTTCACTCCACCTTCCTTCTGATTTGCTGCTCGAATGTTGGCATAAGGAGATTGAACAGCTTCCTCGTTACTACCATCGCCTGGATGATTAGCTTCCTCTTTGGGAGTCCTGTGAAATGCCGCGGAGATCCTGTGCAGACCACGACGAACTCGGCTTTTTCCTTGCTTTTTACCGTCTGCAGCAGCTTCGTCGGTGCTGCTGCTTTCGTTGCATTGCAGTCCGGATGAATTGCTGCTCCCGAATGAGTCGCCCAAGGACTTGCTGCTCTGGGTGTGCTCGACTTTCCGAGTTTTTCCTTTTCTTGGTTCCCAAGTCTGTGATACTTCAGACCCAGGGTGATGGATCCATACCCCGGTCTCTTGTTGTCCCTCCACGTTGATTGGCTCGAAGTTATCGGATACTTTTTGGGATTCCGACGTCATAGATGAGAATGAAGATCGATTAGTAGCATCGTTGGCAAAAGATTCACGTACTTCTTGTTTGTTTATCGCTTCTTCTCCTTCTATGGAACAGGTGGCATCCTGAAAAGGAATTACATCAATAGCCTGAAACTAGCTCCAGAAAGAACTGATTTTAACAGAAAAGAATACCTCTTTTTCTGATCGCACAGTTAAGGCGAGATGCAGTCGACCCATTTTGATGTTCTGAAGGGGCAACCACATGTCGTGTCTCTCGCCATCTCTCAGATCGTTGATATTGACGGTGCACTTCCTGCAACATTAAACATATAAAGATGGTTTAACGGTAGCATGAAGGACAGGAAGAACTCCAGTTAGTTACTGAGGAGGAGAGGCAAACCCGAGGGCATCGTCAACAAAGTGGTCTTTGTCGCGAACTTCGATTGAGAGAACATTCGGCGACTCCCAAGTAACAATGGGGATTTCAAATTCCTCGAGCCATTTGGGAGCCAAAGTTTTCCTTTGGATCTTTGTCCTGAATCCATAGGGACCAACTTGTCCTTTCACGTATGGATCAGCTAAACCTGTAAGGATTTGAATACAATCAGTGTTCCAAACAAGGGAAAGGTGATGAAGGTAGCAAGAACGGGGGAAGCTATTCTTTTCTAGAACAAACCGTTTAAGTCTGACGGCTTCATGTCAGATGCTTCGATAACTTCAACCTTTGCAAAAGCGATAGGCTTCTTCTCATCGACAGAGAACCAAGTTTCTGATCATATGAATAGACCACAAGCATAAGGTCTCACACTTGGCATATATTAATGGCTGTCTTTCACCTGGCATGCATCATATATCTTCTACAATGCTATCATTCTATGATCTCCGGATGCAAGAAAAGGAAACTCTAATTACTATACCTTGACCAGGTGAAACAAACTTCTCCATGTCAGCAACTAGCATATTCGGCTGCAAAAGCAAATTATAGTTCGTCAAGAACAGGACTAAATTTCCGGATGTCATAGTACGATTAGACAATGAGTTGCTAGTTCATGTCAAACTAGATATTAGTTCAATGCACATAATAAGTTCATAATTCTACCTGAACCAGGGTCTGCTCAAATGCCATCGACAGAAGCTTGTCCTGGTAAAGGAACATATTGACCACATAAGTTTGTGATTATATGAAAATCTACAAAAGAAAGAGGTGGGAAAGGAAAAACTTAATTTGTTCTTTCAAATTGAATGTAGAAGAACTCACTAGCCACCCTGCAATCCCAGGAAGCACAGTAACATCAACCCCATGAGTAAAGATGGGTTTCACCGTCATTTGGAAATAGGGCGGCTCAGCAAAGCATACTCTTAAACGTCCAATAAAAGGCCAGCGACGTAGAAATTTTATTCCAATCAAGACCTACCGAAACAAAAACAAAAATGACAGTTGAGGAGACAGACTAGGTATACCCTTCCCGGGGGATAAAAAAACAGACATTAAAGGAATTCTTTTTAAGAATGGGTGACCAAAACTGCAGCTAAGATCTTAAATAAGTATAATTACAAAAAGAAAGATAATTGATCAAGTAACAACCATTACTATCAACATCCAAACGACTGGCCGCAATTACTGGCTTACTTAGAAGTAGATTTGAGAGTAACAAATGTCTGAATGAGATGATTGATGCAATTAAAACAGAAGATTTTACTTGGAGTGATCTGTAATCAGTAAAGATAATATGCATAACCCAAGAATATGTGCTTGATATGGAATCAAGGACAGAATGAAAACAAATTTAGCAACAAGATCATGAGAACAGCCAGAGCATGCAAGTCTACTATGTCGGCATTAAACTAACATCCACAGTAAGTCAAAACCAGTGAGTAACTCCAGATTTAGATTTAGCCAGGCCATAGGCCAAACATACCTTCCCCTCCACTTGCATGCCGGTTATATGCAATTTTGTCCACATCCCAAATCCAAGCCTTCTCCTTAATTTCACAGCAAGAACTGCAAGCATATCATCAGCTGTACAAAACCTCATTCCCATCTCTAGTGCCTGCATAATTGTCGCATCTTGAGCAAACAAATAGACTACTGGAGAAAGTTAAAAATATGAAGGAAAATCTAAATGCTTGATAACACATACCAAGTGGTCATCGCCAGTACATTGGCGAAGAACCCTAACTTCAGTGAACATTGGCGGGTTTCTCCCCATATATAAATGCTGCACAACCGCCTTTTTCTGTGGACAAGCCATCACCGATCAGAAACAAACCAGAACGAATTCTCTTGTATTACTAACAAAAGCAAGACACTAATTGCACATAGTAAGTGCCTCAGCTTGAAAGAAAGCTAAAATCTTTTTGAACCAGTAAGTCAGTAACCATATACTAAACAGATGGACAAAGTAAAGTACTAGTTTCGTACAGCAGTCCATGGTTTATACTTGTCCAAGAACCAAGGAATGATAGGGAGAAGAATCATCTGAGAAGTGATCTCTTCCATACATAAAGGCCATATCTTCTCCACCGCATGGTTCAGCCACCTCACTGTTTCAGAATCAGATAGCACCTGATGGAAAGCCAAAAACAAAACCAGCAAAACCAAAAATAACCCATCAATTGAATGTCAATATCTGGCAGGACTCAACTCCAATACAGGAGAATCAAACAGAAAGCAGCTGGAATAAGCCAGTGCAAAGAGTATGTAACCTATAAAAATGTTGAAAAATGAAACATCTGAGTTCCAGAAACAAATAGATCCCCTGAATGCAAGACCTAAACAAAATGCCATAAAGGCACAAGATTTATGAGAAGCAAGTGGGGAAAATTTTACCCTTTTCCGATTAGCTTGTTTTGATTCTTCGTACTGCAGTTTCTTCCTCAACTTCGTTACACATCTCTCGTGAACCTATCCCCCAACAGGTGAAAGAACAAACCAATAAGAATCAACAAAGGAATTAAGATCAAGGTACTAGGTAAGTTGTAATTAGGAGGGAATCCATACCAGGAACAAATAAATCAGGGCAACGAAATAAGCAAAAGGGTGAGTCCAGCCGAAGCAAGAGAGCGCCCAAAGGAGAAACAGGACGATGGCCACATGGTGCATGATCGACATCTCTGTCAAATCCATATCAAAAGCCTTTCCACTTCTCTTCTTCCCCACTTTCCTTCGCGCTAACTTTCTTCCGATGCAAACAGAAACTGGAAATAATAATGCCCGGTCTTCGAAATCAAATCTGAACCCACATCGGGACCCACAAAAGCGAAGCCGTATCCCGAGTGAAAACGCAGCATCTGCGACTCTGAAGGGCTGGGATTTTGCCTGGGACGTTTCGCGTTAGAGCTGTAACGGTAGAACTAAATATGTTTCCCCTGTTTCTTAGTGCGCGGAGCTCATTAACTTTGATGATGGCGATTGATGAAGACTATTTTCCCGCGGAAAACGCTAACGCAACACGTCGATTTGGGTAATAAAGAATACTTTCTGGAGGGGACACAAGTCAGAAGCAGCCGACATGGAGCAAGAACGAGGGAAGCAAGCAGGCGACGACAGAGGGAGGCAAGTGGAGCGGGCAATGGGCAGAGGAGAAAGCAGAGTATTTTAGATTTTGTCGTATATCCTATTTAGGATTTGCAACATCAGCTCATTGATCGCTCATCGCAGAGATACATTGCACCAAAAAGAGGAACTTGATGAAGACCTCTTATTCTAATCCACCGTTGATTAGAGAGGTGCTGGATAGAAAATCATACTTAACGGAGTAAATAAAGTGTCCAGTATAGATTATACTTGCGATCACCAGTATGAATGATTAGAAGTCAAAAGGTGAGGCACTTTATTATTAGATTCTTGCATGTATGAGTTTGTTATAAGTGGCCTATAGATATTGAATCAACAACTTGTGGTACTCAATCGACTTAAAGATATCAATATGATCATTTGAAACTCGTACTTAGTCTCGTCATATTCATTATCCTTATGTAATTAGCGGGAATTAATTTTGAGTTTGAAGATGAAGTATTACGGATGGCGGTGAAGAAATGAGGGAAAGCAGAGTCAAATATCCTTTCATTATTCTCTAGATTCAAATTTTTACCTTTTATCGACAAAAGTAAAGGTTCATTTTCGGAGACAATGAAAGGTTTGACAGAATGAAATTTAAGAGATATCACAATTATCCAAACAATAAGAAAGCATTGTTCATTCTTTCACATAAAAAATAAAAACCTAATTTTCACTTGTGAGAAGTTCCTTTGCATTTGTCAAGCTAAGGATTGGTTAATTTAGTACCCCGAAAGAAATGAACTTTGACTCGTACGAAATAGTCGATTGATCCATCATTTCGAATATTTTCTCTTAATACATATGAAAATGATATAAATAACACAATCTTGTAAAGGAAGTGAAAATGACAGATAACCAATCCATGAAACGTGAACCGATCATCTCAAAATTATCGTCCTGCCACCGCTGTTACAATTAGACATTGTAATTCGTATTACTCATGAAAAAAATCATCATTTATTTATTCGATTGTTATCAGAGATACATGTATAGAAGTAGCAAAACTAAATTAGTACAGACCACATGCCCATATCGCAAGTACAATCGTATATCAGTTTCCATTCAAATTATCGATAATATAACTAGAATAATAGCCACAACCGTCGACAAAGCAGCCTGCACGGAAAAAAAAAAGCCTTCATTAGTAAATAAGTTCTCAAAATTATGAATCAATAAAATAAAATTTGATAACAATTCATGAACTTTTGGGAATTTGATATATGAGTACAAATGAGAGAAAATGAAATGAATTAAGCTAAGGCTTACAAGAACAGAGCAAGCAATCAATCCAATCCTCTCCCGGCTGTCATACTTGGCACAAAGAAAGACGCAAGCCCCAGCATACCATGGAATTGCTCCCAATATGAACCCCAATATAAACCTGCAGCTCACCATAATTCGATCAGCTCAGATTCATCTGATCCTAACAACTCGAGTTAATGGAACGAATTCTTTACTACGATCAGGGGAAAAGAGCAGTACAGTAGCACTTACAAAAACCAACCAAGGCCGATACCACAGCAAGGAAGGGCCGATGATCCTCTCTGAACCACGACATGATGACCTGTGACAGGAAGCTGGTGTGGATGAGGATGATGATGATGAGATGCAGCAGCATATGGCTCAGTCACAACGCTAACTCCTTGGAAACTTTGCTGCTGTTGCTGCTGATCGATTTGCATCCCGAATCCTGATGATCTTTTGGTCTTCTCCCCGCTCATGATGATGATGATTTATTGTTAAGCTTCAAGCTAGCCCGAAATCTTATTACCAGAGAACTGAATATCTACTAGTTTCTCAGAGAATAACCCAATAAAGAAAAGGCTCTGTTTTCTTGATGTGGAGGATTCTTGGTGAAGTGAGTGAATGATTTGGATGATGGGGACAATCTTGAGGATCGATATATATTAAGGCACACAAATGGTGGGAGGAAGAAGAGAGGAGTTTTGTTGAGTGCTGACTTCTCATAATTTGTCATTTGGGCTGTCGGTAGGATGAAGGCCGGATGGATTTGGTCCAGAATCGGACCAATAGTGTTATGAGATATTTACAAGTGATTATTGCGATGTGATTCAGAATGAAACCCACATAGAAAATGCATCTGAAATTTTTATTTGCGTGTTTATTTCTTTGTTTAACAAACATTAATGGAATGGAAACAAAAAAGAAGGGAAAATATTGTCTGTGAATTGTATTGTGGATCTGATTCTATATTAATCAGATTTGATTCGGCATAACATTTTATTATGATTGGAGATGTGAATTGATCGAATACTTTCTTCCGCGTTTCTAACTCTCTTATGTCTTACCAACCTGTACATTGGATTCAAACCTGGCGTCTTTTCTCTTGCTAATGGATGGGAGGAAAGTAAATTAGAGAACAAAGTAAGTGTTCTGTTGCGGTCAAATATGCAACTTGTGAATGGCGTTGTTTCCTATAGGGACAAAACAACAAGTGTCTTAATAATCATCACCATGATTGCTTGCCAACCCTCTTTGGTTCCTTGTTTGGTTGTTTTGTTTTCTTCTTTTTTCGTCTTTCATGGGGATGCCGCCAAGTAATTACACCATCCCTGAATTATATGCTCGCTGACAAGTGAGTTTTGTTAGTTAATCGTTGAGTTCACACTTTGATTTAACATTTACTCAATTAGATGATAATTTGGTGTTGGTTAAGTACATCTCTGATTCCTTCTTCTTATATCGAACGGTTGCTCACCCCTACTTCACGTGTAATACGTAAATTAGATCGTATCACTTTATACAGAACATTGGTGAGAGTTTTTGCCCGCTGAAAAAGTCTCTGTTGAAGAGAAAGTACAAAGATCAATTCCAAACGAAAGGAATACCTATAGACTATCTAGTTATGACAGAAAATGAAACCTCTGTAACATACGAAGTGGCAAGAACATGACTGAACGAGTCACCAAATAAGCCTGCTTGTTCTCTATCTAGTATCTACCAATAGTGATGACAATTTGAACCCGCCCCGCAGTAGCGTGGGGCGGGACATGGTTATCTTCTTCTGACCCGCCCTACCCAACCCCGCCCTGTTCTTGACCCATTCTATCACAATTTCTTATAGTATCTATTAATATTTCTTCTATTTTCATTTTTTTCAACTAGTTAGAGTCGATCTTTCAACTTGTTAGACTCAATTATCCAGTATATTGTCACTATTTTTCAATTATAAAGTGTTTTCCCCTTCATTTTATCTTAAAAAATAAAATTTTGAGTGTATTATTTTCAAATAACATGTAAGAGTGGGTCGACCCGCTCCACCCTATACCCACATGGATATTACCCACCCCGACCCGTAATAGCGTATAACGAAACATGGGTATTGACTATTGAGATACCCATTCCGCCCCATCCCATCTCATTTCCATCTCTGTCTACCAACAAAGTGTTAACGTGAATTTTGAATGGGACTTTCAAAGGGTTAATGGGCGCTGTATGTGGAAGGTTAGTGAGTTGGTTCAAACAACGGACCAAATTACCGCTTGTACGTCGGGCCTAACGACTGGTGGGCTTGAAGTTAACTACTGGGACAGTCATTGAGTTGGGCCCCGGGTCAGATGATTAGATGGGCCGTGTATGTGTGCAATTAGGATAAGAAAAAAATATTTTAGGGTTGGTTTGGAAGGTGCGAATGTTAAATTGTTGCATTGTAATGAATCACCACAATAAAAATGCATGTATTGATACAATGAATGCATTTTACCAATATATTGTTTGGTTGTTGATATTCTACTTTATGTACTGATTTACATTAAGTTACTTTTATCGGGAAATGTTACATTTACCCTCAACTTTTAGAATAAGACAAAAACTATTAGGAATATAAATGGAAAGAAAAAGTTGACACAAATCTAAAACCAACAATCACAACAATCTCAACTAAAAGTTGAGATTGTATAATGCATCATTTTTTGTGATTGTTGGTGAGACCTACCTTGCATTGTTTTACACTTTGACACTTCCAAACATTGTATTGTGCACAATACATGTATTCAACAAACACAACTCTCACAATCACAACTTCCAAACGAGATTAAGAAAATTTGATAAGATTGAAACACATTAACACCAACTTTTCATCAACATTGCAGGTAGAAAAATTGTACCCTCGACACTCTCCATGGTGATTAACAGTCCTAGCTAATACGATGCATCACTCTTTCTTTCTTCAAAGTTTTCTCAAAACTTTAATGTCCTTCCAACGGGACTCCATGTAATAGGAGTCGTTGAGCTGTGCATAGACACCACATTTGAATGCATGAGAAACACCACCACGACCGTCGACCTGCAGCTTGAGCTCACCGTCGATGTAAATTTCAACTTTCGACGTCATGGATCACATTCAATCGAAACCATTTATCATAAATATTCTCCGCCAGCACATTCTTCCTATAGTGAGTGAGGTTGCCGTCGTAGACTCTCACCATCGCCGTCGAGGCATGCGGCGGTGGGGATGCCCCTAACACCTGCATAATGCACACTCCAGATGTTCCCTTTGGCACGTAACCGTAGCCTTCGAATTGCCACACTCCGGATGTGTAGTTATAGCCCTGTTAATCCGATTAACATGTAAATTTATGATGATTAGCAGCAACGAACAGAGTAGTAGAAAAGAGAGTAGTGCTCACATGGATGGCAATCTCGGTACGTGGCAAAGTGTTGGAGGTGGGATTGTGAGGCTTGTCGGTGGAGTAAACCCAACACCTGCGGACGCCATTGATGAAGCTGTACCTCTGGTTTTCAGGAACATCGTAAGGCCTCTGGACGTTGAAATAGCTTTGATTGAATGGGAGCGATTCGAAGCCGCAGTTAAGATCACGGCTTCCCCGTACCAAACAAACTCCCATTATCAAAGTCGACCACCATAAAATGCACACAATCATCATTTGCTTCTCTAGACCAGCCATGGGAACTGATATTCGATAGAGAGGAATGTAAGAGAGCTGAATTGAGCTGTTTGGGTCTTAATGTAGATGGGTTCTCCGAAACAGACATCACTACCGCCGTCGCCGGCGGCGGCTGGGCGGCCTAATATCCTATCTTTTGGCCTTTTCCTGTATGTCAGCATGTGTATGTATATGGTCACAATAATTAGTTTACATACATCGACTATTCAATATTGCATGATTAAGAATGAAAAATACTGATATTTTTACCTTACACATAACCAGAGTCCACGTGGCTAGATCAAACGGTCCACGTGGATGACATGCAGGAAAGGAAACCCCTCTCTCCCCTCCTCCAACTCAGAACTTCCATGAAGAAAACAGCTATCCGCATCACCCAACAGTCGACCAAGATTTCCCCACCCTGAGAAGCCATTTCCACATCCGTACGAAGCTCACACAGAACCGCGTACCACCCATATATATAAACACTTCAACAGAGAAAAGGGAGAGGATTTCGATTCAACTTTGTGATATAGCGGTCGGTAATCAATGGCTGAGCAGAGTAGCAGCGGCGGTGGCGGGAGCTTCAACAGCTTCTACGAGACATGGTTCCAGCAGCTGCACCAGCTGGTCCGTCAGCTCCGGCTGTGTCCCAACCCGCCCACCACCCACGACCACCGCGCCGCCGTCTCGAACCTCGTGCAAACCATCATGTCCCACTACTCCGATTACTACCAGGTACCTCCCCTGCATACCATCATTCCAACTCTGTAATATAACCTTAGCTAAATCACCTTTCGTCTTTCTGTGTGTTTTTCCCACCTTGGATAATCCGACGTACCGCGGGAATCTGTTGTCAATTTGTCATCCATCCTTACTGTACCAGCAGGTATATATATTCAATTACCTTTGGCACCGTAGCTAGATGTAGTGGTATCCAATGATATCTATGTTGAACATTTGCGGGAGTACTTCAGGTGAAGTCAGCTGCGGCGGAGCGCGACGTGCTGCAGATGTTCACGGCGCCTTGGGCCACCTCCCTGGAGCGATCCCTCCACTGGATCGCGGGTTGGAGGCCGACCACGCTGTTCCACCTCGTCTACACGGAGTCGAGCATCCTGTTCGAGTCCCACATCGTCGACATTCTGAAGGGGTTGAAGACGGGGGACCTCGGCGACCTGTCCCCGACCCAGTTTCGACGCGTGAGCGAGCTGCAGTGCGACACGGTGAGGGAGGAGAATGCCATTACCGATGAGCTGTCGGAGTGGCAGGACGGGGCGAGCGATCTGGTGGGCTGCTCGACGGAGGGTGTGGAGAGGAAAGTGAGGAAGCTGGTGGGGATCCTGAGGAAGGCGGACGATCTGAGGTTGAAGACGGTGAGGCGGGTGGTGGAGCTGCTGACTCCGCAGCAGGCTGTGGAGTTCTTGATAGCTGCGGCGGAGTTGCAGTTTGGTGTCCGCGGTTGGGGACAAGACCAGGATGGCGTTCGTCGGTGTTGTTGATACTGGAAGACAACGGACGATCTGTGGTTGGAGACAGCGAGGCGCGAGTGGTGGAGCTGTTGGCTCCCCCCAGAGGCTGTGGAGTTCTTGATAGCTGCAGCGAGGTTGCAGTTTGGTGTCCCTGGCTGGGGACAAGAACAGGAAAGGATGGCCTTCGCCGCTGCTGATACAACAAGTCGACTTCAATCTTTCCTCAATAGCAGCACAGTTTTATTGTTAGCAAGTGCAAGACCAAGTTTACTATGCTGTTAGATATGGCATTGCAGGAGTGTAGCTAGCTAGGTAGACAAGACGAGACAGTGACATGGATCAGCAATTGTTTCAGTGCTTTGCTTCACCTGTTATAATGTTGTCCCTCGCTACCCAAATAAAATAAAATTTTGTGGTACGGAAGAAGAAGAAGATTTGAGCTGTAATTTTGTACCTTAAACAGAAGGATTTCATCAGTACATGCGTAACATGAATCAACACTAATGAATGTATAGCCGAATGAGATATTCAGCAACAGAGTCGTATGCACATAACAAAACAGGGATACAAGCTGATACAGATTACATGTTTAAGAATCTATCTGTAGACATCGAGACTTGTGATAGTTTTCAACCAAACCGGCGCAGTAGTATAGAGAAGTTCCAGAGTCGCTCCAAGGAGACGGTTTACATACACATGATACTGAAACAAACCAGGAAGAAGCTATACAAGTACACACACAGGATATCACCATGCATGAGCACCCTTTGTGGCTCCAAAGACGATTGCAACGGTCGCAACCACAGCCTATCAACAAGACATAAAAACAAGAGAACGAACAAAACAGCAATTACATCACTTATCTTTCCCTGTGAAAACAAACACGTATGACATGGCTGTATGAGGATGAAAAATATAATGGTGGAAGACTGATATCTACTCCTGTATGAACTGAGGGTGAACTAGTAAAGCTAAGCATAGTTAGGGGATCATATTGGGCTCTCGGGTTAATCGAAGCCACCTAATCCTTTGAGCACATCGCTCTGAGGGTGGTTTTTATGGATAGGTAGGGGTTGCTACTGGGTTGGGAAGATGCAAGTGTACTGTTGTAACCAAAATGCCAACCCAAACCTCACTCGGTCCACTTGTGAATTCTCAGTCCCGACCTAAGTTACCGAATGCTAACTCTTCCAAAACATTGAGCATACATACCTCTGGTACCAGTTACACTAGATTGGATTTTAGAGCTTCCAATTTCAACATTGCCATTGTTGCTATACCATGGAGCTGACCTGCTATCTCAATATTAAGCATCTAACAACCTAATCCCCATGTTGATTTCTTCTGCATGTAGTATTTGCTGGTGCCCATCCCTGGCCCAGCTGCCTATTTTTAAGTATCAAATCTCATAAAGTATCAAAAGCTTTACTTACAGCGATTGTGCAAGCAACATAGCCTGGTTTCTCCCTGGGGTCTATCCTTGCACAGAGTAGAACAAACACCCCGAGGTACCAGGGGATGGCACCAAGAAAGAAACCAATGATGAACCTTCAAGAATGGGGTAGACAAAGGAGCACATTAATATAGTGAAGAGAGAATGAAATTTATGAGACTAAAAGTAGATGTCTTGACATGTCATGAATATTAATATACTTAGCATCAACCAAATCTGTATTGCCTAACTACGAATGTTTCATGCCGGTTTTTCCTGCTCCAGTGAAATGACATATACAAAATTGACAATGTGCTACCAGGGATAAGATCCACGCCACAGATCATCAGAATCCAAACTAACCAGTGTTTACATGTAATAACCCGAAAGTGAGAGCACTTACATCAAAACTCTATCACAAATACTAGCCAACCGAAGCTCGAAAAACATGCTACCCACTACCAAGGGCTTAACAATGAGGTTTCCCTTCTTTTGTAATTTGGGTGGTGACTACATCACAATTACCAGGAACTACTAATTTTAAACATAGAAATCAACTGTTTGTTTACCAAGATTGCATCTTTTTACATGATCAAATCTTAAGCTTCCTCATTACAGAGATCACTAAAATCTTAAACATCAGATTCACCACAAAGATCACTAAAATCCTTTGAAGTTCATCCTGAGCATTTCGGAAGCTGCATGTTTAGCCACCAAATGCATTGTAGAACTATCTCATTACTTACACATATGTTTCAAGATCCTAGACCATTAAATCAATCTTGCACCCCCGTAACCCTACTCTCAAATCTCTATAATTTTGTGCTCACAAACTAGAGCAAAAATTCAAAGTCAAAATGAAGTTGCCAGAGCTCAATCTGTTCAGTATAGTCGGAAAGGAAAGCACTTGAGCATTAATCTGGATAAACAACTTACAAGACCCAGCCAAGGCCTAGACCGCAGCAAGGGAGTCTCCGTTCCCGCCGCACAGGTCTTCCTTCAGCAACGGCATACCCTGAACCAGCGATCAGCCCAGCAGCTAGTCAGCAAAGCTCAACGAGCCACTTCCAAACCCAACGAATCGATCGGGACTGAAATTGCGAGTGAAGAGATCTTACCAGGGACGGTTTGGTAGCCATGAGCATAGTACTGGGAGGCGGCGCCACCGGGGAAAGAGGAGTGAGCGGCGCCGGGCGGTGGCACCGGCTGAGGGAAGCCGATGACGGGCTGATGCGGCGGCGGCGGGGGGTAGTTGTCGACGCCTTGAAAGGTACCGTACTGGGGAGGCTGCTGAGAAGGTGGAGGAGGATGGTGCTGGTGACCAACGACGAATCCTCTGTTGTTCTTCGTGTCTTCTTCTCCGCTCATCGTGAAATCGGAGCCGAGAATCGCGGGATTCGGGAAGGAAGGAGAATCGGCGATCGAGCAGGGAAAATGCAGAATTTTGTGTGATTTATCGCCGGACTGAGTCAACGATTTTCAGTTGTTGTTTATATATAGACGTGAATAGCCCAATCTCAAATTAACCTTCAAGATTTCAACTTTGACACATAGCAATAGTTCTGAGATTATGTTAAGGTCACTATACCGTCTTTAGCCTCTTAGGAATATAGTTGAGTTACATTTTTTACCCAGGCTTGGCTAATCCTTATGAAAATACATGTAGTTTGGATGAGTTAATTGTCAAATGTGGTATTTGTATAGGGAAATAACTCATTTATTATTCAAGTAGTATTTCAGTATTATTTCGGTGGTAATTGAAATAAATGATCTCGTTTAGCAGAATCATGCAAATGTGGTATCTGGTAAAATCAGAGTGGTAAAATGAGTTATTTCAAATAACTCGTTTTGAGTTATTTGTAAAGAACTCACTGTCCAAATAACTCATTTCAGTAAATCGCTGTCAAATGAGTTATTTGTGTCCAAATAACTCATACAAATATTCCATCCACCCAAATAACTCATTGTGAGCTTATTATTGGCAGATGTTACTCCAAGAATCATCGATGTCACTGAGCATTGATACAGGACCTTATCTGAGACGCTACATCAGTTAGGCTAATCTTGTTCTGCATACCTCGCCAACATAACAATTAAATATGTCGTTATAATTACACTATCTCAAATTTTTTATAAATAAAAGTCCTATATTTTCCATATAGATAGATTTTGTTTGCTTATTTCTTGGAGTTGATATATAAGCATATAACTATATCACTAATAAGTTTCATTTCTTCTTCCTAACATCTTTTATGTCAAATATGAAAATTCTTCCCGGAAAACAATATGCAATCATTAACAATTAATAGCAAAAAACTTAACTATCTAAATATCATAACCGAAAATTCTTAACTAGGAATGATCATATTTCCTAGTCTTATTATTAAATTGGGCCAAATGAGAATAATGTATAGTTTAGTTTGCGCTTAATTTTCAAATTTAAGATACTATTTCGAATTGTGTTTCATTTAATCTCGTAAAATGAAATCAAGATAAACTTAGTGAAGATTCGACTCAACCTAATCAAAATTATATAGAGTGGAATCTATCTATCTATCTATCTATCTATCTATCTATAAAATATATAAAAGGGTTTCTCAAAACCCCCTCATCCACGTCAGCCTCCTTGGCTTCCCCGCAACTTTCGGGCTTCTTTATTTTTATTAGTTTTTCTTTTCCCTAAAGTCTAAACCGTTCCCTTCCAATCGTCATGTTTCTTTATTTTTTTTGGATCATGCTAAAGCTTTTTGAATGCTCTGCACTGTAACGGCAAAAACCGCAATCCACAATCATTATAATAACCACTTAGGGTGCGCCTTCATCGTTCATGGCCCATCAAAATCGAGATCCGTAATTTCTTCTCCCTCTAAAAGTCATCCTCGCGATGATAATAAGATCATGGATTTCCCTTATGCATCACTTCTCATCATTCCCGACCCTTTCACTTCTAAAATCTCTTGATCTGTAATTTCTTAACATTGAATGACATGTCCTATTCCGAAACTTCCTCCAACCATCTTCTGGTGTCGGCGGCGCCCCCAGAAACCCAGATCTCGAATTTGTAACTCGACTCATACTCAAGCAAGATTTTTAATACTAGCCCAACCTCAAGATCCGACGAGTTCAGCGTCGCAAAGTTCGACCAAGTCCCTACCTTTGGAGACGAGGCGAGAGATTGGCCCGATCCAATAAGAAGTAAGATAGAGAGCAATTAAGAGGGATTGGGCTATCGATGCTTTGTGTGGTGGGATCGGGATTAGCCATTTCGGAGAAGGATAGAAGGAACGGGAAGATGGCAGTGGGAAGAGATGGCAGCGGATGGGATGTTGTCGGTGGTGATGGTGGGGAAGAGGTAGAAGAAGACACGCAAAAGATTGGAGCTTTTTCCCTTTTCTGATACAAAGATTCCCCCCCCCCCCCTCCTTTTTGTTGGTAGAAAAATAATTGTTTTTTCTCCTAAATTATCGGATACAAAATGATTTTCTTGATTAAAATGAGTTGTATTTGATTAAGTATAATTCTGGTAACTTTAAATAAACCTAACAGATAATTTTATTATTTGTTTAAATCATCAATGTTTTGCCGTCATTTTGCATTTTGATAAGTTGAACTGTTATTTTGCATAAATAAGAAAGATTCAGAATTTCTATTAAAATGATAACAATCGCATCAAATTGAAAAATAAAAGACAAATTTACCAAAATCACCTGCCCAAAGGGCAGGGTACAAGCTAGTTGAAATAAGTACAATTTTATCCGATTCAAATGTTTGTATGCCCTACTTTTGATACGATTCTTTGGTTAATTGGGTCCGATTCCGCACCGAATCGGGCCATACCCAACCCTTACCTCAGCGCGCCTTATCGAAACAGCAAAATATGACAGGCGGAGAGGCAGCCACATTTCTCATCAATTTCCCTCTCCATCCCAAACAATCCTGCTTCATCTCTTCTACTTCCACTCTTTCGCCGGTCTCACTTCCCCTGCCCGAGTGAAATTCCCTCGGAATTCTCGAACCAGAAGAAGAAAGCTCCGGTGAGTGCTTCCATTGATGCTCCCTAATTAGAGTCGGGCCTGTGCAATTTGTTTGTATTCCTTTGAACACATGGAGTTATAAATAATCTGGTTTTTTAGTTTGTGGTACTGAGGGGGTTAAGGGGGGAGAAAAGGGTGTCGGAAAGTTTGTTCTTTTATCTTCTTCCATGGGGTCGATGGTGGTGTTAGTTGGAAGCATGCCGTCTTTAGCTTCTTTAGTTAGCCTGGGGAGCTTGGGCATGGCGGCAGGGACCTCTACTGCTCCCGAATCCTCGTCTTACTCCATCGTCCGTAGGGTTTCCGTGTCGAAACGCGCCCTTAGGCGAGCCAGGACGTGGCATTGTATATCAACAACTTCGTCAATTTGTAGATACTCTGTTACCACCACGGATTTCATTCCCGAGCAGGCTAATGCAGTGCCGTCTCCTGATCCGAACAGTACATTGAGAGTCAATAATAATAACGGCGATGCTAGTGAAGGTGATGGTACTGATGTTGTACTCCAAGCTGCTCCAAAGCCTCTCTTGAGACCTTCCCTTGGGTTGAAGAGTCCGTCTCGAGAGGCTTCATCGACTAATAATAAGGTGGAGAGTGATGGGGATGATGAGAGGGAAAGGGTGATCCAGTCTCTTGGTGAGGTTCTGGAGAAGGCGGAGAAGCTTGAAACTGGTAAGCCGAGTCAGCTCGGTAGTCGAAATGGTAGTAGTGGGACTAGCAGTAGTGTAGATAAGACAGTGGCGGCATCCAATCAGGTAAATCCAGCTGCGGCTACTCGTAAAGCTAAGACCTTGAAGAGTGTATGGAGGAAAGGCGACACAGTGGCGAATGTGCAGAGGGTGGTGAAGGAGATTCCCAAGACTGTGAATAAGGTTGTTAAAGAAGAACCTCTAACTAGTATTGACGGGGATAAACTGGAATCGCAACCCAAAGCCATGCAACCACCTCTAAGACAGCAGCCTCAGTTGCAGGCCAGGCCAGCTGCGGCTCCTCCTCGACCTGTAGTTAAGAAGCCTGTCATCTTGAAGGATGTTGGGGCATCTCCGAAATCATCGGTAGTTTCTGATGAAGTCGACGTAGTTAGTTCTGGTAAGAGTAAAGAACGACAGCCAATATTGGTGGACAAATTTGCACGTAAGAAGCCTGCTGTTGATCCTATGATTTCTCAGGTTTTAGCCCCAACAAAGACAGGGGGGAAGGGACCTGCTATGGGGAAGTTCAGAGAGAAGAGGAAAAATGTTTCAGCTGGGAGCCCAAGGAGGCGGCTGTTGGCTGATGACGATGTACCCGATGATGAGGCATCCGAGCTGAATGTCTCGATACCTGGTGCAAGGAAAGGGAGGAAATGGAGTAAAGCTAGTAGGAGAGCAGCTAGACTACAGGCGGCCAAAGATGCTGCTCCAGTGAAAGTAGAGATTTTGGAGGTAGGGGAGAAAGGCATGGAAGTGGAGGAACTAGCCTTCAATTTGGCCATCGGTGAAGGTGATGTTCTCGGTTATCTATACTCGAAGGGAATTAAACCTGATGGGGTGCAAGTACTGGATAAGGACATGGTGAAGATGATATGTCAAGAGTATGAGGTGGAGGTTGTTGATGCTGATCCAGTTAAATATGAAGAGATGGCTAGAAAGAAGGAAATATTTGATGAAGATGATTTGGACAAACTGGAAGGAAGGCCTCCTGTACTAACAATAATGGGTCACGTCGATCATGGCAAAGTAAGTACAAACCGTCCTTTCTTTGTTTTTCTGATGAACATGCTATACTTTGGAGCCTTCCCCTTCCGGTTCTTATTCCTTTTCATGAATAAGTGAGTGCTGATTCATGTTTTCTCTTACCGGCATGACAGACAACTTTGCTGGACCACATTCGTAAAACTAAGGTATGTTGAGAGGCTTATCATTTTGATGCTGCAAAAATTATGTCTGTGCTATATCCACATAGGAAATCTGGGTTTCTTGCATTTCGTCTATCTAACTTTCAATTGTATGGATCTCCTTTCTTCTGTTATCAAATGCCGCATGAGAATTAAGTTTAACTGGATGCAACTTTTTGTCTTTCTTTAGCTAAGTTTGTCATTTCCAGCATGACCTTTTCATAATTAACTGATGCTTGCTATTGGCAGGTGGCTGCATCAGAGGCTGGTGGGATTACTCAAGGAATCGGAGCATATGAAGTTCTTGTACCTGTGGATGGCAAAATGCAACCATGTGTCTTCCTTGATACTCCTGGGCATGAGGTAAGCTGAGTTGAAGAACTTTGTGGTGTAATTTTGGCACCTTACCATTTAGGTTTCTATTCTGTGACGAGCATCTCTGCTCTGGCATGTTAGCTATCTTCTAATTAGCTTGGTTTTATGGCTAGCTGATTGGTCAACAAAATCTTGCAACAGAGACCTGCTTGCTTTCTGTTTTTCTTCAGATGACATATGTGTTATCTGATCCTGTAGGCATTTGGAGCAATGAGAGCACGTGGTGCACGAGTGACGGATATTGCTGTAATTGTGGTGGCAGCGGATGATGGTATTCGTCCTCAGACAAATGAGGCCATAGCTCACGCCAAAGCTGCTGGTGTACCTATTGTAATTGCTATAAATAAGGTGCACCAATTACATAGAAAATTTTGTTGCTTAACTCTTCAACTTTCTTACCTATCTTGTATAGTTGTATGGACTTCTGGGAATTACTGACGTGAACAGTTTTCAATGCATTAGATAGACAAAGATGGAGCTAATCCAGAAAGAGTGATGCAAGAGCTGTCTTCAATAGGTCTCATGCCAGAGGATTGGGGTGGTGACATCCCAATGGTTCAGGTCTGTCTTTATCCCATTTGATCTCTTAGGCTTGCAGCTTTTTTCTTATCCTTACATTTTTTTTCTGTGTGCTGTTGGCAGATCAGTGCCCTAAAGGGGAAGAACATTGATGAACTGTTGGAAACTGTTATGCTTGTTGCGGAGGTTAGTTAACTTTTATTTGTTTCTCAGCTGTGTCTCTCCGCCTTTCTTGTGAACGTCCATTTTCATAAGTTTTGAATTAAGTATATGTCTGCATTCTTAATTTGCAGCGATAATATTATAAATGTAATTTTCTTAAGAGAGTTAGTTTCCATCTAGGCCTTCTCAGAAGTGTGTCTAGATGGAAATAGCTGTTGATAAAAAGTCCATCTGTCTGTTTTGAGTTTTGAGTTTTGACTTCTTGATTCTTGTTTCAGCTACAAGAATTGAAGGCGAACCCTCACAGGAACGCCAAGGGAACTGTTATTGAGGCAGGTCTTCACAAAGCTAAAGGACCCATGGCTACATTTATTGTACAGAATGGAACCCTAAAAAAAGGGGATGTTGTGGCTTGTGGGGAGGCCTTTGGAAAGGTTGGTTGACTAGCTATTTTTCATATATGGGTGAAACATCAGATTCTTTTTATTCTCTCTAATCTTTTATGTCTGAATTCCACCCCTCAAATACTTACCTTGCTCCATGATAGGTGCGGGCTTTATTTAACGATAGTGGAAGTCAAGTTGACAAAGCTGGACCGTCAATACCTGTACAGGTTTGTCTTGTAGATTGTTCAGCGTACATTCTGTATGAGTTCCATTGAGCCTTTGTCTGTACAAGAGCTTTGTCACTAAGTTTTTATCTAAGGTGCTAATTTCAAAGCTGAAAACTGAGTGTTGGATTTTGTTAACAGAATCATATAACTGCTGAAGTTATGTTATAATTTGTTTGGTTACTTTAGTTGGAAATGACATTTTATTCATTCAAAATTTAAGTTAGAGAGTTTACAAACAATTTGTTTTAAATTCAGTATGATATATGCTCAAGTTATACTAGTGTTGATTGATGCTTATGGACTAATATTCTTCTCCGTGGACAGGTCATTGGATTGAATAATGTACCACAAGCAGGCGATGAATTTGAAGTTGTTGGCTCACTTGATATTGCCCGTGAAAAAGCAGAAGCACGTGCTGTCTCATTGCGAGATGAGCGCATATCAGCAAAGGCTGGGGATGTGAAAGTGACACTTTCTTCCTTAGCCTCGGCTGTTTCTTCTGGAAAGCTATCTGGTTTGGACTTGCATCAGCTGAACATTATACTGAAAGTTGACCTTCAGGTACATCTGACATTTATTAATTGCATATTAACCCTCCCGATACAGAAGTATTCTTGTGAATTGTGATCTATCTAAATCTATTTTTATTGTGCCAGGGGTCTATTGAGGCTGTGAGGCAAGCATTACAGATACTCCCTCAAGACAATGTCTCCTTGAAGTTCCTCTTGCAAGCAACAGGGGATATAAGCACCAGTGATGTTGATCTTGCTGCTGCTAGTGAATCTATCATTTTTGGATTTAATGTGAAAGTACCAGGTTCCGTTAAGAAGTACGCTGAGAACAAAGGAGTAGAGGTGCGGCTCTATAGAGTCATCTATGAACTTATTGATGATGTTCGCAACGCAATGGAAGGACTTTTGGATTCTGTTGAGGTGACTGCTTTTTCTTTGTGATCTTCCTTCTAAAGTTCATAAAATTACTGGTTTCCTTGTATCATGTCTTGCAAGTAAAGGGAATTTATACTCTCTTGGAATCATAGGTTTCTAAAAAGATGAATGTTACTTTCCACTTATAGGAACAAGACATGATTGGGTCAGCAGATGTCCGAGCTGTATTCAGCAGTGGCAGTGGTCGTGTTGCTGGGTGCATGGTGACTGAAGGGAAGGTGGAGAAAGGATGTGGCATTAAGGTGGTACGGAACAAGAAAACTGTCCATGTCGGTGTTCTTGATTCTTTAAGAAGGGTGAAAGAAATCGTGAAGGAGGTATGTTCCCCTTCTAGAATGCTTTTGCATGGGGTGCTATGCTACTATTCCTGCAAAACTTGGCTCTTAATCTGTACTTAGCTTCTATCAGCTTGAAAATCACGCCGTCCTTTTCTACCCCTACGAATCCCTCTTTTCTGACCTCGTTTGTTTCCTCGAACAGGTAAGTGCTGGCCTAGAATGCGGTATTGGGTTAGAAGATTTCGATGATTTCGAGGAAGGAGATGTGCTGGAGGCTTTCAACAAGGTCGAGAAGCGACGAACCTTAGAAGAGGCGTCGGCTTCAATGGCTGCAGCTGTGCAAGGAATGAACTGACGTGACTATATAGATCATCTTCATAAGTGCAGGAAAAAAAAATAGCATTTTGGAAAATGGACGACAACCCAACTCGAGGGGGATGCGTCACAAATGGACTTATATTGGTTGACCAACAGCAGCAGACTGTAAGAGGAATCCATCAACTGGTTCGGGCAGGCAGGCTGCTGCATTCGTGAGCATTGCGAAAGTCTGCAGATGCAAAACTCATAACCCAGAATGAGGAAGGTGGGTGGGGATGGATGCAATGTAGGGGGCAGTGATTTTTAGTTTGTGCATTGCTTGTTATGTATGCCATCCAGTTGGTGTATATAGTGATGGTGGTGGGGTGATGATTATTGTATATCTTCTTCTTCTTCACATCTCAGCGGATCTTTCTGCAAAAGAAAGAGAAGTAACTAATTTAAAGGCTTATCAATCAATCATTCTCAGCCAAGTTCATTTCTTTCATGCATCTTTCAGTTTTTCTTAAGCTAGCTCACTGTAAAAAATGTACTCTCAGGTTAATATAAAATCGTAGTTCATAGTCGTAGATGATAAGAGCTGTTGTGACGAAGCTAAAAGCACCATTGGGTAAGTAGGAGGTTAAGGTTGTACAAGCATATCATGAGCTAAATCATGTTATCAAGTTTTTAATTAACTAATTTTCGTTAACAAGGAATACTCCGTCTCTATCGATATTTTATTATTTATAGTCGATACATATAAAAGGATTTAATGTTGATATTCTTCGGGTATCTTAGGGGTCGTTTGGAAGTTGCAATTGTTAGTGTTGTATTTGTTAAATACATGCAATACAACGATTTAACATACGCAACTTCCAAACGACCCCTTAGTCTCGTATGATTAGTAATAGTAAAATAGGTTAAAACACCTCTTGAAGTAGCTTTACTGGAGGACAAAAGATAACCAAACAATTTTTAATAGAATAGACATTACGATATTAATATATACAAAATTCTATGTATTATTGTAAGTTTTTTTTAGAGCGTATTATTGTAAGCTAACAAAATATTATAAATTTAAATTTAAAAATAAATATAATTATAAAAATGATTAAATTATACATTCAGCTCCTTCGAAGTATTGTTAGCGTATTATTGTAAGCTAACAAAATATTATAAATATTTAAATTATAAGTATTTTTACTAACTTGAGTGACCATTTAGTTATACACCCGGTTTTAAAAATTCAAATTTCAAAATCCAAAGAAGAAAAAAGGAATCAGAAAGGCGATGGCCAATGAGCATAATAACGGGCAGCTCGAGTGATGCGAAGCGAGGATACCGCCAACCACGCTTTCCATTTCTGAATTCAAATTCTCCACAGTCGAAAACCCTTCCTTCTTCTTCCTTTCCACACACTTCACTCATTTCCCCCCACCTTTTCCCTTCTCCAACCGAATTTTCTTCCCCAATCGGAACAAAAACCCCACTTTTGAGATCATCCCAACGACGGGTAACGGCAGCATCAGTTAACAGTATAAAAGAGCAACAGTGCCCTCTCAACAGTCACCAGCAGGAGATCCATGGCGGCGGCATCATGACCTCCAGTGTTTATGATCAGTGAGCTCTCTCGCAAGTCGTAACTGGTTGACCTCCATGGCGGATCCCGTTTCGTCTCCTCCTCCTTTACCTAACGGTAACGATTTTCGTTTTTCTCTTGGAACTCTTCGCTTTATACGCAATTACGTTATTGGGGTTTTTTGTTGTTCCAATTTCCAGGCCGGTCATTGCTGGGTTTTTCTCTGACTTCTCCCGATCTGGTTATATGCGCTGGTTCTCCTGATTTGATGAGCAACAATACCATTTTCCAAAATTCCCCGGAAATTCTTGATAGGAACAAGTATTACTCCACGGAGCTCTCTCTAGACAATGGCATCAGTGGGTCACCTGAATCTCGCGCCAAGGAAGAAACTAGTAGATCTGTTAAATTCTCCCCTTTCTGTCAGACGTTCTACAACAAAGAATTGTCTCCAGATTCCTCCATCGAGCTCTCCCTGCAAGGTGCCATTCCTGCGCCTCTTCCTGGTGTGATAGGCATCAATGTGGGGTGTACGACTGATGATGGCGCTGTGACTGTGGTAGATGGTTTGAGTTTTGGCAAGGATAGTTGTTTCCATGGTGGCGATACTGTTAGGACGAATGCTATGGAGGATGAGAGGCTTTCTTTGTACCAAACAGCTCGGATGGGTAACTTCTCGTATTGTTTTGGAGGGTTGGAGGCAGGGGATTATGATGTTGCTCTTCACTTTGCAGAGATTGTATTCACCAATGGGCCTCCTGGTTTGAGGGTGTTTGATGTTTTTCTACAGGACAAGAAGGTAAGGAAAAGACTGGTCTTTTTTCGACAGTCGAATTTATCTATATGCATTACAGTAAGCATTGAAGCACCAAACTCACCTTAATAAGTCTCGACTTATAAGTGTGCATTTGGTGCTATAATTGTGTCAAACTGAGTTCAGTTACCAGCTTGATACATATAAGTTAGTTCAGTAACAAAATTGATATTCAACCCGTTGATATTGGTAGGAATTGAGTTCCTCTCGGTGACATTATTCCGCTTGATGATTGCTCCTTCTTGTAGGTTGTTTCCCATCTGGACATCTATGCTCAAGTTGGGGCGAATAATCCGTTGGTCATATCTGACCTTAAAGCTTGTGTTGGTAGGGGGCAAGACTTACGTGTTAGATTTGAAGGTTTGATCGGAAGTCCAATTTTAAGTGCAATTTCAATCACCAAGGATGATTCTGCTTGTAAGTGGGTTTTCTCACGAGGGGTTCCTTCCTGCCTGTTTATTCTGTTTCTGTATGGTTTGAGTTAGAGATGTAGCTACAAGATTGTTGATATCTATTTGTTAAATAAAGGTGCTGGAGAAGAAGCTCTCCTAGCCAAACGTATGAGGTCTCAAGTACCAGAATGTGAGTCGCCAAAAGTAAGAAATCTTTATCCTCTTTGGCGCCATTTGCAAGTTCTTCTTTTACTAGTGCCAGATGACTTTTAAAGTTTGAGTTTTGTGCTAAACAAAGTATCGATTGTATGACAGATTTCTGACCCTGAGATGGAAGAGGATTATCAGACACTACTGAGTGCTTATGAAAGTCAGAAGAGCAAACTAACAGAGACGAGAAAGGCACTGGAGGAGGTTAATAGGGAAAATATGCTCAAAACTAAGGAGTGCCAAGAAGCATGGAAAACTTTAGAGGACCTTCAGAATGAGTTGATGAGGAAGTCTATGCATGTTGGGTCCTTAGGTACGGAAAGCTGAGTTTTTTCTATCTGTACAGCACTTAAATATCATAATATCTAGGACTCTGCTGAGCTTTTACTTCTTCCAGCATTTGCTGTGGAGGGGCAAGTCAAAGAAAAGAGTAAGTGGTTCTCAGCACTCAAAGACTTGACAAGAAAATTACAGGTACTTCAGTTGTCAATTCTGGTCTTTTGTCCTGGCTTGTGGAGAAGCCATTTCAACATTCTATGCTTCATGGTGACAGATTATGAAAGGGGATCAAATCAAGCTATCAGAAGAAGCAAGGTCATATAAAGCATGCATGGTTGAAATGAATGGAATGATGTCCATCATTCAGTCCACAAGTACAACAAGTCAATTTACTCATGAGTTCACGTTCATATGACTGCTATACTAATACTTGCAGGGTTTTGGTAATCAAGTTTTATAGTTCTCTTTTGTTATATTTGTACCAGTGAAACAGCAAGTACATGTGCATGGAGATCTTATGAAGAAATTCGTGGAAGGAGCAAAGGAACGGAAGGAACTCTACAATAAGGTGTTAGAATTAAAAGGTTAGATTCATGTTTCCTTCAACAACTATAGCACATTAGAGGTCGGGAATATGTAGATAATGACTGAATTTCTCATGATCACTTGCAGGAAATATAAGGGTCTTCTGCAGATGTAGGCCTTTGAATAGTGAAGAGGTGGCTGCAGGAGCTTCAATGGCTATTGACTTTGAATCAGCTAAAGAAGGAGAGCTTACTGTTTTCTCAAACGGGATTCCTAGAAGGACCTTCAAGTTTGACTCTGTTTTCAGCCCCCAAGCAAACCAAGGTAACAATTTGGACTTCAAATGAGAGGAAGTATGTTTCTAGTATTTATCTTGATTAATTTTTAATCCCTTTGCGGCTTGTTTGCTCTTTTTAGCTGACGTCTTTGAAGACACTGCTGCATTTGCAACCTCAGTGTTGGATGGTTACAACGTCTGCATATTTGCTTATGGGCAGACTGGAACTGGGAAAACTTTTACTATGGAAGGCACAAAAGAGTCTCGTGGAGTGAATTATAGGACTTTAGAGGAATTGTTTCACATAATTAAGGAGCGAGAGAAGCTTTTCAGGTACGAAGTGTCAGTTAGCGTCCTAGAAGTATACAATGAACAAATACGAGACTTGCTGGTCTCAAGCTCACAGCCAACAGCAACCTCAAAAAGGTACTCTGAACTTGCCTGCACGCTGCTTCTCTCTTTCTATTATTGAAGCACTAGAGCAAGAAAGTGTCGATCTTCCCATTCGATCCATTTACTTTTGTGGTTATAATTCTTTTGCACGAGAAATGGTTTAAATATTCATTGAGCTGATCTTCTTAACATTTGCCACTGATGATGATTCTTAGGCTAGAAATAAGGCAAGCAGTTGAAGGACAGCATTGTGTTCAAGGTCTAGTTGAAGCCCGTGTCAACAATGTACATGAAGCATGGGATGTTCTACAGACCGGCAGCACTGCACGGACTGTTGGTTCAACAAATGCCAATGATCACAGCAGCAGGTCTCATTGGTAAGTGATCAACCACAATATTGACTCTTGAGTTGTTTTAGTTCTTGTAGTAAAAAACGAGCATGGGATCTTGTTTTGGATTATGAAAGATTGTTTCTTGATACACAGCCTACACTGTGTGATGGTGAAGGGGGAGAACTTATTGAACAATGAATGCACAAGGAGCAGGTTGTGGTTGGTTGACCTGGCTGGAAGCGAACGAGTGGCGAAGACAGAAGTGCAAGGAGAGAGACTGAAAGAAACACAGAGTATCAATAGATCATTGGCTGCATTAGGGGATGTTATATTTTCTCTTGCAAATAAAAGCGCCCACACACCCTTCAGGTCCACGAAGTTCTCTATGACTGCCTTTTCCTTCATTATAGAAGAGAAGTTCATGCTAATTTCGGTCTCTGAACTTTGCTTTATCCGAAACCAATACCCAAACTTGGGGTAATAAAACCAAAACTTCTCAGCATTGTTTTCATTCTGTGCAGGAACTCAAAGCTCACACACTTGCTTCAAGATTCCTTAGGTAGCCCCTCTATCTCGAGGGAAAGACAGAAAGCATAGTTTTTTAATTCTATATGCAGCTAACCATGGAATTAGCATCTGATGAGAGGCTTTCTTCTCTTTTTGCTAGGGGGAGATTCAAAGACTCTAATGTTTGTACAGATAAGTCCAAATGAAAGTGACCTGAGTGAAACGTTATGCTCCTTAAACTTTGCAAGCAGGGTTAGGGGAGTAGAGTTGGGCCCTGCAAAGAGACAACTGGACACTTCTGAACTTGTCAAATATAAGCAGATGGTGAGAATGTTCCTTACCATATGAATGTCTCCTTCTTTGTTCTGGATTCCTGATTGACTGACTGGCTGATGGCTGCTCTCTTTATGGAAGGCTGAGAAAACAAAGCAAGACCTGAAGAGCAAAGATGTGCAGATAAGAAAGTTGGACGAAACGGTCCAAGGATTGGAGCTGAAGGTCAAAGAAAAGGACGTCAAAAACAGGCATTTGCAAGAAAAGGTAACAGCAATAGAGAAACCAAACACAAAGTTCTTTTAGGACTGGAATTGTGGGTTAATATAAAAGGCCGCTGATCACGGCACTAGGAGATAACTGAAAACTTGTCACTGAAATTAGGAATAACTAACATAATAGTTGTTTCATATATCTTTATCATGCCCTATTCGGATTGTACATGGCATCGTATCAATTCTCCTAAGTTAGTTGTAAAAACTAAAAAGATAGTATAGACCCTCTTATTAGTTATAAGGGAGTAAAGGATTAGAATGATTTCAGGAAATTAGATTTAGAAGGGTCAAGTGCCAAGTTGGGTTTGGAATGAGTATGACTTGAATTTGATTGGTACATTGTCCATGCAGCTGATAGCTTTCCATTTTTGTTATTAGTATAGTTGAGTTGTCACGATAACGAAAAACCTGATATAATGGACGAAGTGACTAACATGCTAGTTATCCTAAACTCACATGACAAGTTTGTTAGAAATCCATGTTTAGTGACTGCTAACAAATTTCGGTGACTCATTTCTGTAATTGACGCCCTGAATTTATGGTGGTTCGTGGTTATCACTTGTTCCGCATTACTAACGTTTGCAGATAAAAGAGCTTGAGTCCCAACTGCTCGTTGAAAGGAAGCTCGCCCGTCAGCATGTAGACACCAAGATAGCCGAGCAGCATCAACACCAACAACTAAAACAACCAGATGAATTACTCAGCAGTACTGCACCACCAGCCCCAAGGCCACCACTGGCGACCCGACTATTTTCAGACAACACTAGTAACAAGACCTCAAACGAGTCTGCAAACAATGCCCTCTCCAGCAAGGAAATGACATATGGAGGGATCATGGAGATCGTCGACCCTTCAGAGAAGGAGAACAACCCTGAGATGGCTGAGAATCTAGGAGGAGGGATGACGGTGATACCTAAACGAACAGGCAGGTTCTCAGTTTGCCCAATGGGACGGCCAATGATTCCTCTAACTCCAGCTCCACCTAGAAGAAACTCGCTGATTCCACCCCCGAGCCTACCTTTGTTACCAGCTCATCAAGCCAATGTAGATGCTGAACAGAGCCATTGTGATACTAGTCCTCCCAAAGAGTTGAAAACCGTGACCAAGAAGCAGAAGATGAGCAGCGTGATGAGAAGAAGCCTTGGCAAGAAAGTTTCGGCCAGGTCTCCAATGCGGCAGCAGATAGCGAGGAAAGGAGGGATCAATGTTGGCAATGAGAAGGTTAGATTGTCGATTGGGAGTCGAGGCAAGATGATGGCACAGAGGATGGTGGTGAATGGCAGTGGGAGAAGGGTTGTTGGGGGAATGAAGGATAACAAGGAGAAGGAAAGAGGGTGGAATGCTGCGAAAACTGGAAGGGCTGCAATCTGAAGAATTGTTGATATATGTTAGCAAGGACAGCTGATTATTCGGGCGAGGCTACGCGTTTGCTGAGAGAGCTTCTCTCAGCAACTACTTGCAGAAATGCGCGCTATCTGTAGCCTCGACCCCCTGACTTATTCATCATGAAGTGGAAGGTTTGTTTTGATTTTTCCTCCATTACCATGGATTAGTATTGTATCAAGGCTTTGGGATGAACACTGCTTTCTCAGAAGAACTCTATTGACAGTAGGGGTCTTTAACTGTTTATTTGGACGTGTGATTGCTCAGAGTCCTTGCATATCATATGGTAGAAGGACCAGAGTGGGGTGCTATTGATGTCTTCAGGCCAATGATCAATTGGGCAGGATTCTTCTGTATCTATTTTTATCTTGATGGATGCAGTAACATTTCTAGTGTACATTAATGACAGTGTGTTTGATGTACTTATTTGACTATTTGGGTCTTTGTAAAGGCCAAGTTATCTTCTTTTGGCCAAAGGTTTTTTACTAGTTAGCTGAGTTATAATGTAGATTAGGTTACAAAACCTCCAAGATTTAGTCATCCACTTAGATCACTGCAAGGTCTTTGATGAAAAGAAGAAAAGGGCAAATCCAAAGGTTGTTTTTGTGATGGTAAGTAATGAGGGTTGGTACAATATTACTTCGACTTCAATTCCTGCAGACTAACATTTTTGAGAGGGAAATGGTATCATTATATGTTCATAGCGTAAATTTTCACAACTTTTTTTAAAAAAAAAAATTTACACACCCACAACACATCTCTCTAACTATCTTAGTCCGTTTCAACAAGCGATCATCCTTTTTTTTTTCTTCTTATTAGTTTTACCTTTTTTCATTCAATCGACTTCGATAATAAATTATGATTACCACATAAAGACTTCACTGATCGATCCAACATCATGACGTTATAGATTCGAAAATAGTGGCCCCTAAACTGTAGTTCTATATAAATAAATTTGTTCTCTAGAGTATATTTACAGCAAAATACAACCTATGCGCACTAATCATAATTAACAGGCATAAATTCTGAAACCCCCATGGAACTAACTTACATGCAACGTGATACATCATTTTATGATCATGTTCAATGCATCTCGTTGGTGAACGAATCAATGATTAGACGTATAGTTGACCTCAACTACATGCAAAACAGAAATATCATTACTAATGCTCCACTATGCATGCATTTGATGGAATCCGTAGTTTAGAATAATGGTTATTATTTTTAAGTGTTGGTTTAAAAATGTATTGAATTCAAAATCATGGGATTGCAGGGCAACCACCAGACTTGTACCAGAACGGGGGTCCCCAATCATATGCTCTAATCACATGGTTTTGTTTTTCTTTCCCTCTTTGCATTATTATCTATCTCATAATGTTTGTGTTGATCTCTGATTTCAATTGTTTAATCTCAATCATGCTGCCTCCATTGACCAATTTGTGAACCGTTGATAGGGTTTGTCTCAGTCAAGAAGATTGGACTTGGTATGACGTGGGGTTTCTGGTCCTATTCTAGATACGGTTTGCATAACGGTTTTGGAGCGTGGATGATATGGATCGTCTCAAAATTTAGAGTTTGAAATTTTTTCCTTTGAAGATTAGAGAAGACTCGGGGCCTTGTCTTCCGCGCCTTTGTGGGTTTTAGGGGATTCAATCTAGCATATTTGAATTCATAAGTATTCATTATTACATCGATATATTGGTTTTTGTCCTAGTGAGCAGTACTCTAAAATCATTTTTTCTCAACACTGAATAATGAACATTATGAATGACCGTAGATGTAGATCAAATGTGATTCAGTCAAACTGTCGAACCATGTGAAGTGTCTCAACATAATCTGGTTGTAGAACAACCTTCCTAAACTCGTACTCCAAAACTAGCGTGACTTGAGACCTTGTAAGTTGTAACATTCCCAATATCAACAAGACCTCCCCACATACAAAGTTGAATCAATAAACTAAAAGCCAAAACGGTAATGCTCCCTCCTACTCCTATATTATAAGAACAACAATCCATTATTAGATTTGTGTATTATTATCTGAGCATTACTCTCCGACATTGCATTTAAGTCACGAACCCACTACTAATAATTTGACCCCCCAAAAACAAGATAATATTATGATAATCCATCCTATGGTGGATTCCAGAACCCTCCAAAAAAAAAAAACACTGAAACATGGGAAGCCACTGCATTGCATGAAAGAAGGATTTGTTAGGTGAGAAAAGTAAATTGTTTGCGGCTGCTGTCCAAATTCAACTTCCATTACTTAGCTCTTTTTTTGTTTGTTTGTTTTAGTGTCATCGTCATTAAATTCCCACGCAGCTTTTCTGACCAACTCACCATTGGATTCTTCTTTCCTGATCTGATCCCAATTAATTACCTTACTCCGAATAACTTAATCACAGCTCAATTATTATTAATCTTGAATCCTTAATCAAATATTAATCCCCACCGCCCTTACTTAATGTCTTAAATATCCTTCTGTCATTTTATAAACCCAGCCACATTTCGTTTCTTTCTTCTCATTCATTTCCTCCAATACTACGACATGGAAGAAGCTCAAGATAATTACTACTACTACGACCACAGCAGCAACAACAATGGTAATAATCCTTCTTCGCCCTGCGACACCGACCTCGATTTCAGCTTCAACTCCACCGTCACCGATCGCACTTTCGCTTCCTCCAGCGCCCGCTCCAGTCTCGCTCGTTCCAGCCTAACCCTCAGCTTCAACGACCGCCTCTCCACCACCTCCTCCTCCGCCGCCGCCGCCGCCGCCGCCACTTTCTCCTCCTACAACTCCTTCGACTCGCTCCACCACCGCAGATCCGACCCTCAATGGTCGGCGATCAGGACCGCTACGAACCTCTCCCCCGACGGCCGCCTCCACCTCAGCCACCTCAAGCTGCTCCGCCTCCTGGGCGCGGGGAATTTGGGGCGGGTCTTCCTCTGCAAAATTAGGGATTCCAGCGACGCCGCCTCCGCCCAATTCGCGCTCAAGGTCGTTGACCGAGACACCCTCAGCAAGAAGAAGCTCTCCCATGTGGAAACGGAGGCCAGGATCCTCTCCTTGCTAGACCACCCTTTCTTGCCCACGCTCTACGCTCGAATCGACGTCTCGCACTACACCTGCCTGTTAATCGATTACTGCTCCAACGGCGACCTCCACTCGTTGCTCCGGAAGCAGCCGGGGAACCGGCTGCCCCTCGCGGCGGCGAAGTTCTTCGCCGCGGAGGTGCTGGTGGCGCTCGAGTACCTCCACGCGCTCGGGATCGTTTACCGAGATCTGAAGCCGGAGAACATTTTGTTGAGGGAGGACGGCCACGTCATGCTTTCCGATTTCGATTTGTGCTTCGAGGCCGATGTGGACCCCACCTTCCGCTGTGATCGCGTGGGGCCCACGCGGCGGCGACGGAGTAGGAAGAGGCGAAAGGGGGTGGTGGTGGAAGAGATGGCGGCGGAGTTCGTCGCCGAGCCGATTGCGGCGGTCTCGAGCTCGTGCGTGGGGACGCACGAGTACCTGTCGCCGGAGCTTCTCTCCGGTAACGGCCACGGCAACGGCGTCGACTGGTGGGCGTTCGGGGTGTTGATCTACGAGCTGCTGTACGGGACCACGCCGTTTAAAGGCGGGAGCAAGGAGAGCACGCTCCGGAACATCGCGTCGAGCAAGCAGGTCTCGTTTCCTCCGGCGGAAGGGATGGAAGAGGCGGAGGATTTGATCAGAAAACTTCTCGTGAAAGATCCGAGGAGAAGGCTGGGGTGCAGCAAAGGCGCGACGGATTTAAAGCGACACCGTTTCTTCGAGGGGATCAAGTGGCCGTTGATACGGCACTACTCACCGCCGGAGCTTCGCGGGCTGGCGGTTAATAGAGCCAATGGCAGTGGATCACGTGGCGGTCACGTGATGGCGGTTGCGCCGAAGAATAGGCGGAGTTGGAGCCTGAAGGGTCTGGTAGAGCACATGTTTAGGAGAAGGAAGAAGAGATACTCCAGGTTGAATTCTTCTTCTAATCACCATCATCAGGCCAATACTAATTGCAATTACTATCAGTACAAAGTTAGGGTGGCTTGATTACACAGTTGATGGATATGTTCAAATCGCCTCGACGATGAAGAGGATTAGTGTAATTATTGAGAACATTAGGATATGTGTTTAGCGATTTTGTCTTCCATTTTTAAATGGTAGTACGAGTGTAAGAATTGGTCTTGTAGATTGACTCTTTGATTTCTACGGGCTTTTTGTTAGAATAATGTCGAGATACTTTGTGCACTTATACAAAAGAGAGAGATCATACAAAATGTAATACATATATGTTCTTTTTGTCATTGTCAAAGGTTTGTATGGTTGATATTTGGGCTAATACCACTACAACACCCGAATTATGACCAAAATGCCACTTGTATCCTATTCTTTTCAATGTTCCATTTATGTCTTGAACTATTTTTCCGTTAGTAATGATCGTTAAAAGTTAACAGAAAATCTAGTCAGCATTGACATGACATCTGACATGTAACTTTTTATTTCAATATTTTTTTTATAGAAAATGAATAATAAGGAAAACAAAACCCCTATCTCCGAGTGGCGGCCTCTTGACGCCACCTCCGAATATTTAATCCTCCCTGTGCACTTCTACTAACGGATAAATAGTTCATGACATAAATGGAATATTGAAAAGAATAGGACACAAGTGGCATTTTGGTCACAGTTCGGGTGTTGTAGTGGTATTAGCCCTTGATATTTTTTAATGTGAGTTTTGCTCCGCAATGTTCTGTGTCAAATGTCTTTTCTTTTCTTATCTTGAAATTTGAGTTTCAAATCTAAAACTTCTAATTTGAAATTTAGTGGTAACATTATTATCCTTGAACCTGGAGGTCTCAGATTAGAATTTCTTCAGTAGTACCCAATTACAAAAATTAACCTATAGGCTATATCACCATTATCTATATATATATATATAAAATTAGTGTAGCAATATCTTGTTTGGAAAGGATAAGAAATTTGGAGGAGGTGAGCTAGGATTGGGCCTGTGGCTGGATCGGGCCCAGGACTAGGAAAAGGAAATGATTAAGGCCCAGTTGACAGCGGTGGGTTGGCGGGAATAAAAAGGCGGGCCCAGATTTTACGGAGGAAGAAGAAGAGAGAGGAAAGGAGGAGCGACTGTAGACCTGATATTTCCAGCGGGGGACTCAACTGCCACGTCCGTCGTCGCCGACCATTTCCGTTGTGACTGTCGCTAGTGCGGTACTGTTATCGCCGTCGTCCCCAATAATCGCCGAAGTCTCAGGTATGCCGGTTTCTTTCAGTTCAAGAATGGCCTCTCGCTCGATGGTGCTGAGTTGAGCCTTCTTCGTTGTATTGATATGCTTTTTTCTTCCGTCGGTAGGCAGAGTGAAAAATTTTCAAGCTCTGGAATAACAATGGGCGACGGTACCATCAGAATCGAGGACTACATTTCGCTCAACGAGTTCAGGGCGGAAATCGATGTGGAAAGTAAAGAGAAAGGCGAAGCAGAAAGGAACTTTTCTCTATGTTTTTGGCTGTATATCGTGAAGAACTCAATCCCGACTGGTTCATCTCCGGCTCCGATAATCTACCAGGTATGACAATCTCTACTTCTAACACTTCGATTAGCTTCTTCTAGTAAGTTAGGGATAATTGCTACTGCATTTTGAGGATTTTGATCGTTTCGGAATCAGTTTAGGTTTTAACCTAGTCAATTTTTGATTAAGGCGAATAACAGCTTGTGATTCTCTAATGTAGGTTGGTTCACATGATGGGAGTGTGGCCCCTTTTCTTATCCTGAACGAAAGGAAGATAATGATGTTACTACCACTGAGTCTTTTACCAACGAAAAACTGTCCTTCCGGTTCTGATTCTGTTTCATCGCTTGAGACGCCTCATGCACCAATGGTAGATGACTTTCCATTAGAGAAGTGGATTCATGTTGGATGTGAGGTATGTTGACAATTTCAGATAAGGTATGTCTTGTCAAGCTCACAGCAAAGGTGCTTATATTAGATATGCCAAAATTTGTTGCTTTCAGGTTACTGCTAATGCTATGCGTCTTCATATAAATGGGGAAGTTCTCGTGGAGCTCCCTTTGCCATTGCCATCCAAGGAACAATGTGCTTCTGAGGGTATGAAGAAGATAATGTTGGCTGGTCCTAATGGAGATGGTGGTTTGCAAGGTTATGTGTACAATGTGCATGTCTCGAACTTGAGTTCATCCATTAGGGACTGCTATTTTAAGGTCCTTATTGATCGTGCTAATTATATATCTGTAAAATTCGTTATTCCTGCAAATTGATATTATCTTACATAGAGCATGTGTCTGGGAGTGTATGCAGGATCCACCTCTTCAATTATCTATTGATAACTCATCTACCATTGAGATTGAAGAAGATAATGATGGTGTCTGGAGTATTGTCAGTGGGAAGGTTAGTTGTGCTGCTGTCAATCGCTCTTGTAAATCTATCCTGCTATTGATTTTTGCATTTGCGAGGATGTGTTTGTTCAAACTTGTTAAGTCAGGGTTTTTATGTCATGTCCATGTTTAATTATGCAGGCTTCTTGTCGCAGGATCTTTTGTTTGGATGTTGTTCTGTTAAATGCAATTAACCAGTCAATTAACAAGGAAACAGAGGTAACTGCATCTGGCTGCTCCTTTTGCACTTCATCATATCTTTTGTTCAGCAGGTTGTCTTACTGTCTTTTTCTGCCATTATATTTGCCACATTCGTTTATTACAGGTTACTGCTTCACTATTATATGCTGATAATGGGCGACCTGTGGAGAAGACATCCGATGATGAACCTCCTCTTTTGGCAAGTTATGAGGGCTTCGAATTTCCTTCTTGTGATAGACCAAGTAAACTAATGAATGGTCGAACCTCATTCAAGCTCAAAATTTCTCAGGTGGTAAATTGTATCTCCTTGTTACTTTCTCATTCTAATAAAAGTTACTGATAGCCAATTTGTAATATAGTCATCCCTCCCTTGGTTGCCACTCATCATGAACCTACTCACTGTTTTTGTTTAACTTATGGGCTTTCTTTTCCTGGAGATTATCATGAACTCTGTATTATACCTTGTGGTTTTTGTACCATTCTGCAAGTCTCAATTTTGCTAAACAACAGTTTTAGGATTGTGCTTTCATTTAAAAAATCTTACCATACTTAGGCCTTGTGGTTTCTAGCATATCCCAATGCTTGGTGTCTTACGTTCTGCACATTCTCGCATATGCTTTGTAATAAAAGTAAACGTTCCTAGTTTCTGGCCATATGTATGTCTATAGTGTTGGAAAATCCCTTTCTAATGTAGAGTTGTAATCTATGGTTATTCCCTTGGCAAAAAGTAAAGAAATTTCTTCAGTTTTGTTGCACATACTATTTCACTTGCTTTAATTTTCCGCTCATCATCTATGGTCCTTTCCAATTGAAATTTCGTGCAACACGATTGGTGATTTCCCCCCGTCTTTCTACGATAGAATTTATTCAGAATCATATCCTCTTCCAAATTGTTTCAGCTCTCGTCCAAGTGTGAAAATAGGCTGTTTCTCATCAAGTTTGAGCTATCAAATTACAAGGGGTATCATTTTCTCGAGGCATTTTCTCATCCTATTCGTTGCATATCGCGTGGCCGGAATCCTCGTACATCATCTGTCATATTGAAAAGACCGACTTCTGTTCAATATTCCTTGAGTGGGTGCCAATCATTTGCATCAGACAGTGGATCTCCTGAATTGCAGCACAGCTCTCTTCAGGTTACCCCGTCTTCAAAGCGATTTAAATTGGTTCAGGGGCAGGCATCTCCAGCGGGGCAATTGGAAGATGAATGTCATTCTCAAGCTTTGGTTAGTAACCAGGTACTTAAAAATATTATTTATCCTGAAAAACCTTTTATTTTCTGATTTCTCTTGCTGTGGATGTCGCACATCAGCACAAGTATAAGTATATATCTAGTTTCTCATTTTGCATGTAACATACCTATGCCAAAGTTGGTGGCTTGGTGCTTTAGATTGCAAAGTTTGGCTACTTGTCTTATTTTTCATTTGTTTTTTTATGTTAGCCCCAAGGACCGGATCTTTGATGGTTTTGAGGATAGAATTGAAAATACAAGCTTTCTAGCTTAGGTCGATTCTCAATTTATGCTTCATCCTTTGCCCAGGATTTGAAATTCTCTGTAACATATTTTAGGCGTTCCTTCCGATGTCCATTTCATTTTAGGCTGAGAATATTGGGGCAAGCATGGAGAAGAGACTGGAGGAACTTGAGGAAGCAGGGAACTCATCATCTTCTTCAGAGAGCACAGAAGAAAAAATGTCGAGTTTCAATACTGTGTCAAGGAATCGATATTCCATCCCAGATTCTATGATTTTCAGGTACTGCATTGGAAGCTTAACTGATTGTGCCCTACTGCTGAAGGAGGTCTCAACCACAGCCTCTGATGAAGAGCTTTCGAGATTTGCAGATGAGGTCTGTCTTTACTCAGGATGTGCCCATCACAGGTAACATATGGTGCTTCTGCTTACTGTAGACTGTCCTTGGAAAGAAACACTCATTTAGACTTTTTTTTTTTTCATTTCCTATCACCTCACTGCAAAATTACAGCAAGCGTCAAGATTGTCTTTTGTGTCCATGACTCGATTTGGAGCATGAAATTCTTGGTTGCATGTTTGCCTCCAGCTGTAAGCTAACACCAGCGTCTACAATGGTCGAAAAGATTCAGAAAACATTTATACTTCCCTTTTTTATTTCAATTTTTTTTATCCTCTGGGGGATTTTAAACCATGCACCTTTCTTTCGTTCTTTCCAAGTTGCAATCTGTCATTTATTCAAGTTCATGTTAATGCTATTCACTTAACTACCCTTTTCATCCTTCAGGAATCAAATAATTATGGGCAGGATGTTAATAGAGGAAGGGACAAGAGTATGGAACTCAATCACTCAACACAGCCATCTTGCCCAGTGGGAGAATATCACTTTTGATATTGAAGAGCGATTCATGAAGATTGCATCGTGCAGTACTAGATCTCTCACTGAAAAGGTTTGTTCTTTCTTGCTTGCATATGGAATAAAGCAAATAGATAGCTGTTTGTGCATTGAGTATCGATAGTGAGTTGAAACCTTAGGTTATTCAGATGGTGGATTTGAAAAGTGATGGTTGATCTAATACTATTGATAACTTTTATAGGACTACGATATACTCCGGAAAATCTCCGGATGCCAAGAGCACTTTGCTCAAGAAAACTTTGAGAAGATGTGGTGCTGGCTATTCCCTATTGCTTGTACACTATCCAGAAGCTGGGTGAACTCATTGTGGAAGTCCACATCGCCCAAGTGGATCGAAGGATTTATCACCAAGGAAGAAGTGGAATTTTCACTTCGAGGTGCTGAGCCTGGCACGTTTCTACTACGGTTTCCTACTTCAAGGAGCTGGCCTCATCCTGATGCTGGTAGCTTGGTGGTGTCATATGTTGGAAGTGATTACTTGATTCATCACCGGCAGCTTTCATCTGAGTACATCAACAGGTGCGTAATACTTCCTAATTTTTTTTAGTGCAATGAGCTATTGAACGGTGGTTAGGAAACTGTTAATAGTTAAACTGGAGTTTGGAGGGTCATGGTGGTAGTAATCAGCCTGTTGAGCTCTATGGAAATTTATTGTTTAGATTTAAAGTTGGTGAATGTTAGCTTTAGCACCTCTATTGCTACATAAATGGTCACTAACGAAGTGGTCATTGAAAAACTTGTAACAAAACAATTATTTTGTCCATCATCGTCAATTTATTTTGTATTGATGTTCAATTTCTTGATGGCTTTTACTGCTTCTCTTTTCCCTGGTTCTATATCTTCTTGCTGCTAAAGGTGTGTTAATGATATGAAAATCAGTTAAGTTTTGGCTGATGGCGGCAGCTGTGATGACAAAACTCACACTTCTCGATACTGATCCGGTTGTAAAATACTGGGGCTTTTCTTTGGGTATGGACCGTACCTTGAGAAGCCAATTCCTGATGACCGTGTTTATGCGTGTCTGAGCTTGCCTGCCTTCAAATATTCCCCCCCTTTTTTTCTCATTGCTTGTACTCATGCCTTCAATAAATCTGTTGTTTACGCATTTCTGCCTTCTCCCGTATATGTTAGAGACAAATAGTTAGGGATACATGAGCAAGTACTAGTAGTAGTAATAGCTTGGACATTCGGAAGGGCTGCCTGAAAGTAGCTAGATTCTTTGAAGACCATTGTTGTGCAATGCAATATTTTGAAGTCATGTTTTTTTTTCATTGGAGTTTCACTTGGTTCCATCAACTTATATGCATTGGTCTTCGCTCAAAGCTTGTATCTGTTTCTGTCTAGCTTTGGGGAAGGGCAAGTAGACGTAAAGCAAGTGCAGGAGATGCTATTCGCAGAGCCAGAACTGCGTCGATTGGGAAGGCAGGTTTTTCTTGTTCCTTTCGATTCAATCTTCTAGAGGCCGCATGGTGGGTGTTATATATTGAGCTTTGTAACTGTTGATTCTAATTCCGTTGACATTCACACTTGTGCAGGATCGTACGAAGTTAGAAGAAAATGCTGGTCTTTCGTCGGCCCTTTTAGTTCTCTTGTAGATATAACTAACTAAGCTAACTATGCCGTTAACCTCATTAGTCGTCACCTGTTTCTTATCTTCTTCTTAGGGTCAGCGATAAATCAGATACAGAAGGTCTTTCAGATAGATGTATTAACCAAAGTTGAATGTATTTTCCAATCAAGATAGGTAGTAAAATGTTGGATTTATGGTTCATTGAGCCTAATAACTCCGCTTTATCCATATAAAGTAAATTCAATACTCAATCAGGGAGGAGCCGGAATTTGAGTTACCGGGATGAAATAATTTAGTATATTATCGTAAAAGAAGAAAATATTAATAAGCACGATGATTGACTTTATAAGTGGTGGAGAAAATCCCAAGTAATTGACATTATTTTCAAATGATATATTCGTAGTAATTAAAAGTTCCGTAGTAATTAAAAGTTTGGGTACCAAAATGTAATTAAATGATATATTCGCCCGAAATCTGTGATGGTACCCCTTTCCGAAATGCCATTTTCTTTCGATTCTAGAGGCTCTAGATCACGGAATCAGGCCGAGCCTATCTCCATCGATAAAGAAGTCTATTGATCCTATTCTCCACGGATGATAAGTCCATTAAGCACCGATTTGGTCCAATTTATTTTCGCATGGTATTTTCGTAATTTTTTGGGCAAAGAAAGACAATTTTCCATGGATTTTGAAGGCTACAGATCATGGATTCAGCGTGAGGCTATTCTTCAACGATGATTAAGTTCATTAAGTGCCGATTTGGGCGAATTTATTCCGGGTCCATTTTTGGCAGATTCCAAAGGGGTACCATCACAGATTTCGGGCGATTTTTCCGAAATGCCATTTTCTTTCGATTCTAGAGGCTCTAGATCACGGACTCAGGCCGAGCCTATCTCCATCGATAAAGAAGTCTATTGATCCTATTCTCCACGGATGATAAGTCCATTAAGCACCGATTTGGTCCAATTTATTTTCGCATGGTATTTTCGTAATTTTTTGGGCAAAGAAAGACAATTTTCCATGGATTTTGAAGGCTACAGATAATGGATTCAGCCTGAGGATATTCTTAAATATTGATTAAGTCCATTAAGTGCCGATTTGGGCGAATTTATTCCGGGTCCATTTTTGGCAGATTCCAAAGGGTACCCATCACAGATTTCGGGCGATTTTTCCGAAATGCCATTTTCTTTCGATTCTAGAGGCTCTAGATCACGGAATCAGGCCGAGCCTATCTCCATCGATAAAGAAGTCTATTGATCCTATTCTCCACGGATGATAAGTCCATTAAGCACCGATTTGGTCCAATTTATTTTCGCATGGTATTTTCGTAATTTTTTGGGCAAAGAAAGACAATTTTCCATGGATTTTGAAGGCTACAGATCATGGATTCAGCGTGAGGCTATTCTTCAACGATGATTAAGTTCATTAAGTGCCGATTTGGGCGAATTTATTCCGGGTCCATTTTTGGCAGATTCCAAAGGGGTACCATCACAGATTTCGGGCGATTTTTCCGAAATGCCATTTTCTTTCGATTCTAGAGGCTCTAGATCACGGACTCAGGCCGAGCCTATCTCCATCGATAAAGAAGTCTATTGATCCTATTCTCCACGGATGATAAGTCCATTAAGCACCGATTTGGTCCAATTTATTTTCGCATGGTATTTTCGTAATTTTTTGGGCAAAGAAAGACAATTTTCCATGGATTTTGAAGGCTACAGATCATGGATTCAGCGTGAGGCTATTCTTCAACGATGATTAAGTTCATTAAGTGCCGATTTGGGCGAATTTATTCCGGGTCCATTTTTGGCAGATTCCAAAGGGGTACCATCACAGATTTCGGGCGATTTTTCCGAAATGCCATTTTCTTTCGATTCTAGAGGCTCTAGATCACGGACTCAGGCCGAGCCTATCTCCATCGATAAAGAAGTCTATTGATCCTATTCTCCACGGATGATAAGTCCATTAAGCACCGATTTGGTCCAATTTATTTTCGCATGGTATTTTCGTAATTTTTTGGGCAAAGAAAGACAATTTTCCATGGATTTTGAAGGCTACAGATAATGGATTCAGCCTGAGGATATTCTTAAATATTGATTAAGTCCATTAAGTGCCGATTTGGGCGAATTTATTCCGGGTCCATTTTTGGCAGATTCCAAAGGGTACCCATCACAGATTTCGGGCGATTTTTCCGAAATGCCATTTTCTTTCGATTCTAGAGGCTCTAGATCACGGAATCAGGCCGAGCCTATCTCCATCGATAAAGAAGTCTATTGATCCTATTCTCCACGGATGATAAGTCCATTAAGCACCGATTTGGTCCAATTTATTTTCGCATGGTATTTTCGTAATTTTTTGGGCAAAGAAAGACAATTTTCCATGGATTTTGAAGGCTACAGATCATGGATTCAGCGTGAGGCTATTCTTCAACGATGATTAAGTTCATTAAGTGCCGATTTGGGCGAATTTATTCCGGGTCCATTTTTGGCAGATTCCAAAGGGGTACCATCACAGATTTCGGGCGATTTTTCCGAAATGCCATTTTCTTTCGATTCTAGAGGCTCTAGATCACGGACTCAGGCCGAGCCTATCTCCATCGATAAAGAAGTCTATTGATCCTATTCTCCACGGATGATAAGTCCATTAAGCACCGATTTGGTCCAATTTATTTTCGCATGGTATTTTCGTAATTTTTTGGGCAAAGAAAGACAATTTTCCATGGATTTTGAAGGCTACAGATCATGGATTCAGCGTGAGGCTATTCTTCAACGATGATTAAGTTCATTAAGTGCCGATTTGGGCGAATTTATTCCGGGTCCATTTTTGGCAGATTCCAAAGGGGTACCATCACAGATTTCGGGCGATTTTTCCGAAATGCCATTTTCTTTCGATTCTAGAGGCTCTAGATCACGGACTCAGGCCGAGCCTATCTCCATCGATAAAGAAGTCTATTGATCCTATTCTCCACGGATGATAAGTCCATTAAGCACCGATTTGGTCCAATTTATTTTCGCATGGTATTTTCGTAATTTTTTGGGCAAAGAAAGACAATTTTCCATGGATTTTGAAGGCTACAGATAATGGATTCAGCCTGAGGATATTCTTAAATATTGATTAAGTCCATTAAGTGCCGATTTGGGCGAATTTATTCCGGGTCCATTTTTGGCAGATTCCAAAGGGTACCCATCACAGATTTCGGGCGATTTTTCCGAAATGCCATTTTCTTTCGATTCTAGAGGCTCTAGATCACGGAATCAGGCCGAGCCTATCTCCATCGATAAAGAAGTCTATTGATCCTATTCTCCACGGATGATAAGTCCATTAAGCACCGATTTGGTCCAATTTATTTTCGCATGGTATTTTCGTAATTTTTTGGGCAAAGAAAGACAATTTTCCATGGATTTTGAAGGCTACAGATCATGGATTCAGCGTGAGGCTATTCTTCAACGATGATTAAGTTCATTAAGTGCCGATTTGGGCGAATTTATTCCGGGTCCATTTTTGGCAGATTCCAAAGGGGTACCATCACAGATTTCGGGCGATTTTTCCGAAATGCCATTTTCTTTCGATTCTAGAGGCTCTAGATCACGGACTCAGGCCGAGCCTATCTCCATCGATAAAGAAGTCTATTGATCCTATTCTCCACGGATGATAAGTCCATTAAGCACCGATTTGGTCCAATTTATTTTCGCATGGTATTTTCGTAATTTTTTGGGCAAAGAAAGACAATTTTCCATGGATTTTGAAGGCTACAGATCATGGATTCAACGTGAGGCTATTCTTCAACGATGATTAAGTTCATTAAGTGCCGATTTGGGCGAATTTATTCCGGGTCCATTTTTGGCAGATTCCAAAGGGGTACCATCACAGATTTCGGGCGATTTTTCCGAAATGCCATTTTCTTTCGATTCTAGAGGCTCTAGATCACGGACTCAGGCCGAGCCTATCTCCATCGATAAAGAAGTCTATTGATCCTATTCTCCACGGATGATAAGTCCATTAAGCACCGATTTGGTCCAATTTATTTTCGCATGGTATTTTCGTAATTTTTTGGGCAAAGAAAGACAATTTTCCATGGATTTTGAAGGCTACAGATAATGGATTCAGCCTGAGGATATTCTTAAATATTGATTAAGTCCATTAAGTGCCGATTTGGGCGAATTTATTCCGGGTCCATTTTTGGCAGATTCCAAAGGGGTACCATCACAGATTTCGGGCGATTTTTCCGAAATGCCATTTTCTTTCGATTCTAGAGGCTCTAGATCACGGAATCAAGCCGAGCCTATCTCCATCGATAAAGAAGTCTATTGATCCTATTCTCCACGGATGATAAGTCCATTAAGCACCGATTTGGTCCAATTTATTTTCGCATGGTATTTTCGTAATTTTTTGGGCAAAGAAAGACAATTTTCCATGGATTTTGAAGGCTACAGATCATGGATTCAGCGTGAGGCTATTCTTCAACGATGATTAAGTTCATTAAGTGCCGATTTGGGCGAATTTATTCCGGGTCCATTTTTGGCAGATTCCAAAGGGGTACCATCACAGATTTCGGGCGATTTTTCCGAAATGCCATTTTCTTTCGATTCTAGAGGCTCTAGATCACGGACTCAGGCCGAGCCTATCTCCATCGATAAAGAAGTCTATTGATCCTATTCTCCACGGATGATAAGTCCATTAAGCACCGATTTGGTCCAATTTATTTTCGCATGGTATTTTCGTAATTTTTTGGGCAAAGAAAGACAATTTTCCATGGATTTTGAAGGCTACAGATAATGGATTCAGCCTGAGGATATTCTTAAATATTGATTAAGTCCATTAAGTGCCGATTTGGGCGAATTTATTCCGGGTCCATTTTTGGCAGATTCCAAAGGGGTACCATCACAGATTTCGGGCGATTTTTCCGAAATGCCATTTTCTTTCGATTCTAGAGGCTCTAGATCACGGAATCAGGCCGAGCCTATCTCCATCGATAAAGAAGTCTATTGATCCTATTCTCCACGGATGATAAGTCCATTAAGCACCGATT